GGGAGGGGGAGGAAGGTGACCAAAGGCGCGGTCGAAAAGAAAGGTCTTCAGCAGAGACGTGACAATGTGAAGGGACGAAGGCAGTTCCAGAGCCTCGGGGCGTAGTGGCTGAAGGCACAGCCGCTGAGGGTGGAGCGGAGGACTTGGGGGACGAGGAGGAGGCCAGACCCGGAGGAACAAAGGCAACGGGTACTGTTTTGAAGAGAGAGGAGGTCAGAGAGGTCGGGGGGTGCAGAGGAGTGCAGGGACTTGAATACAATGGTGAGGATCTTGACATCGATCCTCTCTGGGACAGGAGCCAGTGCAGTCTGGCCAGGACTGGGGGGGTCTGGGAGCGGAGTTTGGGGGTGGGGGGAGGGCCAGGACTGGGGGGTCTGGAGCAGAGTTTGGGGGTGGGGGGGAGGGCCAGGACTGGGGGGGTGGGGGGGAGGGCCAGGACTGGGGGGAGCGGAGTTTGGTGCGGGTGAGAATGCGGGTGGCAGAGTTTTGAATGAGTTGGATTTTATGGATGGTAGTGGAGGGGAGACCGGCGAGGAGGGCGTTGGAGTAGTCCAGCCGAGAGGTGACAAAGGCCTGGACCAGGGTTTCAGCGGCTTTTGGGGAGAGGTATTGGCGGAAGTCACTTATACATTGTCTCTGTGTTGTGTGTGTGTGTCCGTGTCGTGGGTTTATGTCTGTCTGTCTATGTGTGTGTGAGTGTGTGTGTATGGAGTCCTGTAGCTCAGTGGTTAGAGCTCTCGCCTCGCAAGCAAGAGGACCTGGGTTACATTCCCGGGCAGGGCCAAACGTTGGGCAAGTTTCCTTACTCCACACACGGACACGCTTCTGTTTACCAGTAGTAAGTCGGAACCCGGTGTTAGTCAATTGGTGGGTCGCTTCTCCGAGGGTAACAAATCCTTCAAAAAAAAAATAATAAATTGGTCACTCAATCCATGACTGTTTGTGGGACGCTGCTGTCCACAATTGGCTGCCATGTTTTGTCCACAAAATATACAGTCCATTCACTTTATATTCTGTGAAGCACTTGAGTCGTCTTGAAGATGTGATAAGGTGCTATATCAAATGCAAGGATTATTATGTGTATGTGTCTCTTTGTGTTTTGTGTATGTGTGTGTGCGTATGTGTGTGTGTACGTATGTATGTGTGAGTGTTGTATGTGTGCGTCTCTGTGTTGTGTGTGGATGTGTGTGTGTTGTGTGTGTGTCTGGTCGGGCAACACGGAGATTCCCGAGTGAGATTCCTGACAGGTGACAGCCGGCAGATGTCTGGTGCTGACAAGTTGTTGGTGATTTAGACTGTTTGTGCCGCTCTTGCCTCTGCTCCCCCTGTGCTGGAGAATCTGTCAGCGGCAGTGACTGAGGTAAGGTTTGCTTTGCTCAGACCGGTCACATTGCTCTGGGCTTTTCCGCCCCTGAACATTCCTGAGTGTCTAAGTTTAGAAACAGACGTTCCAACAGCGCACTGGTATTGGCTGTGGGGGAGGGGAGGGGGAGCGCTGTGTGTCAGGGCAATATTAATGAGATGTGAGACATGGGGTGTGAGATGTAGGGTGAGGGGCAGTGTGTGGGGGACTGACGTGGGGGGTGAGGCTCTGCTCGGTCGGGGGTTGTGGGGAGGGGTGAGACGCTATCTCAGTGGGGGGGGTGAGGCGCTGGCTCAGTGGGGGCGGGGGGGTGAGGCGCTGGCTCAGTGGGGGGGGGTGACGCGCTGGCTCAGTGGGGGCGGGGGGGTGAGGCGCTGGCTCAGTGGGGGGGGGTGACGCGCTGGCTCAGTGGGGGGTGGTGTGAGGCGCTGGCTCAGTGGGGGTGTGTGTGAGGCGCTGGCTTAGTGGGGGTGTGTGTGAGGCGCTGGCTCAGTGGGGTGGGGGGTGAGGCGCTGGCTCAGTGGGGGGGGGGGTGGGTGAGGCGCTGGCTTAGTGGGGGTGTGTGAGGCGCTGGCTCAGTGGGGGGGGGGGGGTGAGGTGCTGGCTCAGTGGGGGGGGGGGGTGAGGTGCTGGCTCAGTGGGAGATGATGGTTGCTGTGAGGTTACAGTAAACAGCTGAAGCGAGAGCCTGGCTGTGGGTCAGGAGGGGCCGGTTACAGGGACGCGATTCACTCTCGGTCCCCGTCACCAGCTCATCACAAGGTGGGTTTGGATGAGGACAACCTTCGGCCCCTTTGATCTGATCCTTCCAGAATCCTCTCTCCAGCCAGTGCCAAGGGCGGAGCGCGGGAGGGTTTGTGGATGAGTCCACCGGCCTGGCGGTCAGACTCTCACCCCCCACCCCAGCCCTCAGCCCCCACCATGCCAGCCCCTAGCCCCTCACCCCCAGCCCTCAGCCCCCACCATGCCAGCCCCTAGCCCCTCACCCCCAGCCCTCAGCCCCCACCATGCCAGCCCCTAGCCCCTCACCCCCAGCCCTCAGCCCCCACCATGCCAGCCGCTAGCCCCCCAGCCCCCACCACACCAGCCCCCAGCCCTCGGCCCCAGTCAGTGCAAGTGAGGTGGTCTCTCTCTCACTAAACAGATTTAATTTCTTTGCTTAGAGCAGACTGTGTCATGACACAAGTGTTTGGTGGCGAGGTGCTACATTGCTCTGAGAGCAGTGAGGTGGCTGTTATCTTGGGGGATGAGGCAGTGCCTCTGGCAGTGGCCGCTCACAGCTGCGAATAGCAACTGAGCTCAGAGCGGAGGGATTCCTGTGTGCGTCTAACCCTAACCTGCTCTGGGTGTGTGTGTGTGTGTGTCAGCCGCTATTGATAGAGACCCCCCCCTCCTCCCCAGTCTAACACTAACCTGCTCTAATAATAATAATAATCCTGGCATTTGACCCAGCGCCTTATCACGTCTTCAAATCATCTCAAAGCGCTTCACAGGATACATGTTAAAGTGTAGTAACCATATTTTGTGGTTGAAATGTGCAGTCAATTGCGCACAGGAGTGGCCCACACACAGTCATGAATTGAGTAACTTATTTTCATTATTTTATTTTTTTGGAAAGGATTATTACCCCTGGAAAAGCGATCCTCCAATCGACTAACAACCGGGTTTCTACTCACTGCTGGTAAACAGAAGCGTGGGGAGTAAGGAAACTTGCCCAACCCTTCACCCTGCTGGGAATCAAACCCAGGTCCTCTTGCTTGCACGTGCAGTGCTCTAACCACTAAGCTACAGGACCCCACTGTGTGTGTGTGTGTATGTGAGTGTATGTGTGAAAGTGTGAGTGTGTGTATGTGCATGAGTGAGTGTGAGAGTGAGTGTGTATGTGAGTGTGTGTGAAAGGGTGTGTGAGTGGATGTGAGAGCATGTGAGTGGTTGTGAGTGTGACAGAGTGTGTGAGAGTATGAGAGTGTGTGTATGAGTGTGTGTGTAAGTGTGAGAGTGTGTAAGTGTGAGAGAGTGTATGCCTGTGAGTGTGAGAGTGAAAGCTACAATTGAAAGACACGCTGCCCCCCCCCCCCCACCACGGTCTAACACAATAACAACTACAACTTGTATTTACACAGCGCCTCTCACACAGGGCAGCGTCCCAGAGCGCATGACAGTAGCGGAGCACCACCCCGAGCCGGGGGGAGGGGGAAGGTGACCATAGGCACTGGTCGAAGAGGAAGGTCTTCAGGCGCGACCTGAAGATGGGGAAGGAGGGGGCAAGGCTGAAGGATAGAGGAAGAGGGAGGAGGCAGGGGAAAAAAATGGACAAGTTTCCTTACTCCACCCGCCTGGTTACCTAACAGTAAGTGGGAACCCGGTTGTTAGTGGATTGGCGGATCACTTTCTGCGGGTAATAATCTCTCCAAAAAACAAACAAATAAATAATAATTTGGTCACTAAATCCAGGACTGTGTGTGGGCGCAATACACTGAACATAGATCCTTCACTGCCCGGTGTGTCCTATGAAGCGCTTTGAGACTCTGGAGGACGTGACCAGGCGCCGGGTCAGAGTTTCCAGAGTTAAACCACGTGTGAGAGTCCGAGTGTGTGTCACCTCACCCGCACCCCCACCAGCATCCTCACCCCCACCCGCATCCCCAGCCCCACCCTCACCCCCAGCCCCACCCGCACCCCCACCAGCATCCTCACCCCCAGCCCAACCCGCACCCCACCCGCACCCCCACCCGCACCCCCAGCCCCACCCGCACCCCCAGCCCCACCCGCACCCCCACCAGCATCCTCACCCCCAGCCCCACCCGCACCCCCAGCCCCACCCTCACCCCCAGCCTCACCCTCACCCCCACCAGCATCCCCACCCGCACCCCCACCAGCATCCTCACCCCCAGCCCCACCCCCACCCTCACCCCCAGCCCCACCCGCACCCTCACCACCAGCCCCACCTTCACCCCCAGCCCCACCCTCACCCCAGCCCCACCCGCACCCTCACCCCACCAGCATCCCCACCCTCACCCCAGCCCCACCCTCACCCCCACCCGCACCCCCAGCCCCACCCGCACCCTCACCCCCACCCGCACCCTCACCCCCACCAGCATCCCCACCCTCACCCCAGCCCCATCCCCACCCTCAACCCCACCCCATCCTCACCCCCACCCTCACCCCATCCCCACCCTCACCCCCACCCCCATCCTCACCCCCACCCTCACCCTGTGGGTGAGGGAGTGGCAGCCGCTATTGATAGACCCCCCCCCCCCCCCCGCCTCACACACCGCCCAGAAATAGCTCTCAGGCCATGTCTGTGTGTCACTAACAGCGCAGAGGGTCATCGCCTCCGCTCCACGTTTCCCAAAATAATCCGCTGCTCATCCCTCTGACCGGAGCCGCGCCAATGGGCGCCGCGCTATCATTAGCCGCCAATGGGGAGTGCGGGGGCCCCGGGGGCCCCCAGGCCGCTCACCCCGTGTTAGGTTTATATGGGCATCGCGGCTGGCATTCCTCCTGCCCCCGCCCCCGGCCCGACAGCGACAGCTTAAAGCCCCCGACCGGCCCTCACCCACAGTCACTTACTCCCTCAGTGAGAGCTCACGCACTCACTCACTCACTCACTCACAGCTCGTCAGTCACTCACACACTCAGCGGAGTCCGTCTCTCTCTCACACACACCGCCTCGGGACACATTCTCTCACCGACTCGTGAGTTACTTCACTCGATTCGGCGCCGTTTGTCGAAGGGGTGTGAGAGGGGAGAGAGAGAGAGAGGAGAGAGGAGAAGTTGTGAGAAGTTGGTGTGAGTTGGTGACAGCCAAAGGGCCCCTCCCTGTCCCCCCCACACACACAGCACAGCCCACACCACAGCCCTATAAAACGGCCATGAGCCTGTCGGCGGCCGCTAACGGGCAGGGGGGGCCGGAGGAGGGGGAGATGCCGGCCACAGAGAAGGAGTTGGCGGAGGACGCGCCCTGGAAGAAGATCCAACAGAACACGTTCACCCGGTGGTGTAACGAGCACCTGAAGTGCAGTCAGAAGCAGCTGTCGGATCTGCAGAAGGACCTCACTGACGGCCTGAGGCTGATCGCGCTGCTCGAGGTCCTCAGCCACAAGAAGATGTACCGCAAGTACCACTCCCGCCCCAACTTCAGGCAAATGAAGCTGGAGAACGTGTCGGTGGCTCTGGAGTTCCTGGACCGGGAGCACATCAAACTGGTGTCCATCGGTAAGTCTGACCCCCTCGTCCCGACCCTAACCCCAGCCTTACCCCCTCCTCTCTCTATGTCAGCGCGACCTCAGAGCCTCCCCAACCTCCTCTCTATCCCCTTTCGTAAATGTCTCTTCCCCCCTAACCTCCACGTCTCCATCTCTAGTCCTATCTCCCTCTCTAACCCCACCCCTAACCCCCCTCTCTACCCTATCCCTAACCCCCCTCTAACCCCATCCCTAACCCCTGTCTCTAACCCCAAACCCAACCTCCCCGCTCTAACCCCACCCCTAACCCCTCTCTCTAACCCCAAACCCAACCTCCCCGCTCTAACCCCATCCCTAACCCCCCTCTAACCCCACCCCTAACTCCCTCTCTAACCCCAAACCCAACCTCCCCCGCTCTAACCCCACCCTAACCCCCTCTCTAACCCCACCCCTAAACTCCCTCTCTAACCCCAAACCCAACCTCCCCGCTCTAACCCCACCCCTAAACCCCCTCTCTAACCCCACCCCTAAACCCCCTCTCTAACCCCACCCCTAACCCCCTCTCTAACCCCACCCCTAAACCCCCTCTCTAACCCCAAACCCAACCTCCCCGCTCTAACCCCATCCCTAACCCCCTCTCTAACCCCACCCCTAAACTCCCTCTCTAACCCCAAACCCAACCTCCCCGCTCTAACCCTATCCCTAAACCCGCTCTCTACCCCATCCCCAACCCCCCTCTCTACCCCATCCCTAACCCCACTCTCTACCCCATCCCTAACCCCCTCCCCCCTCTCTACCCCATGGTCCCATCTCTAATCCTGGCATTTGATACAGCACCTTATCACATTGCTGAGACGCCTCAAAGTGCTTCACAGAATATACTGTAAAGTGTAGTGACTGTATTTTGTGGGCATCATAATCTCTATCCTAATCTCAGCCAGTGTCCCATTGCCCAGGCCTTTATCCCCATCTCGGGGGTGGGGGGTTAGCGAGGGCTGAGCTGGGGTTCCCAGGCTGGGGCGGGGGCCTCACTCACTCTCACCCCAGTGGGATCACGACCCTCGTCCTGACCTTTACTTCCTCTCAGTGTCTCAGCCATCGGCTCCATACCCACTGCTCCCCCCTCTGACCCCGGCCTCCTGCTCATTCCACCCCCCTCCACCCCATAGCAAGTCTCCCTACATTCACAACTCTCGTACACCCCCAAACCCCCCTCCGCCCCTCTCTATAATCCACATCATCATTGTGGAGTGCTTTTGAGACATTCACTGTGCGCCAGTCCAGCTCAGTCAATCACACACTCGCCTCCACGTCAGGAGGTCGTGGGTTCGAGCCCCACGTCAGGGACTCTGAGCTCACAGTCCAGGCTGAGGCTCTTGTGCAGTGCTCGGGGGAGAGAGCTCTGCATTGTGCCTGTTCAGGCGGGTCCCGCAGTCCCTCCGCCTCGCCCCCTCCCTTTTCTCCTTCAAGACCCTCCTCTTCAACCATGCCTTCGGTCACCCTCCTTCCCCCACCTGCCCTCCACCCTCACTGATCCCGACCCCCAGCTCGGTCCGAAACACTGACTGTCCAGTGCCTTGGGACGTTCTCCTGACATGAAAGGCGCTACACAAATGAAATTTTGTTGTTGTTAAAGATCTCGAGGCACTGTTGGAAAAGAGAAGGGAGTTTTTCTCATGTTCTAGTCAACAATTCCTCAAATTGCTCATAGCTGTTTGTGGGATGTTGTTGGACATAAATTGGCAGCTTTGTTCGCTTACAAACACATAGTCCCTACAGTTTACAGTAAAATATTATGAAGCGTTCTGAGACATCTCGATAATATGAAATGTGTGATATCAGAAGCTGTACAGAAGGGCAAATTGTGTTTGGGGTGGGGGTTTGGGCTCAGACTCACTCTCACACTCACTCGCACTTACTCATACACATTGTTAATCCTCACAGTCATACTCTCAAACTCATACATACCACATAGTTACTGCTCTCGCTCACTGTCTATCTCTTCATATTTCTGTTTCTCTCTGTTTCTTCTCGGTTTCTCTCTCTCTCTGTATCTCCGTCTGTCTGTTTCTCTTTCTCTCTTTCTCTCTCTCATTGACTGAGTGTTGTTCCCTTGCTCTCTGTCGGTCACCTTCAGGCCAGGTTGACACGGGGTAACCGGCTCAGTCAGTGTGAAACATGGTGATCACATTAGTAACGACAAGCGGGAGCCAGGCTATGCCCTCGGGGGGGTGGGGGCACATTGACCTTGACTGGCCCAGTGCAGTGGGGTGGGGGTGAGTGGGGAGTTGAGGGGTGAATGTGAGCTGCGGTGGGTTAAGGCTGGTGTGAGCTCCCGTGTCTCTCCGTAGACAGTAAGGCCATCGTGGATGGGAACCTGAAGCTGATCCTGGGGCTGATCTGGACACTGATCCTCCATTACTCCATATCGATGCCCATGTGGGAGGACGAGGATGAGGAGGACAAGAAGCTGACTCCCAAACAGCGGCTTCTAGGCTGGATACAGAACAAGGTGCCACAGCTGCCCATCACCAACTTCCACCGTGACTGGCAGGACGGCAAGGCCCTTGGGGCGCTCGTGGACAACTGTGCCCCAGGTAACGGCTCACTCCACCCTGGGCTCGGTCGCCCTGTCCTCACCCTGACCACCGACCCCTGCCTGTCCTGCCCTGCCCCAACTTGTGCTCCCCTCCACCACTCTGTGATCACCCCGGCCCCAGCCCTGCCCCCAGCCCCGCCCTGGCTGTGATTGAACCTACTGACCAGAGTTTGTGCTAACATTGTGTCCGGGGACTGAGCCAGGCTCCAGGCCGGTCACACTGCCCTCTCCCCCTCCCCCAGTCTAACCTACTTCCCCAGGCATGTGCAGAGCTGTGTGCGGGGGAATGTGTGGGTGTATGGGCAGATGTGTGTGTGTGTGCGCACACGGGGGCATGTGCGGGGGTATGTGTATGCTGCTGTGTGTGTGTGCGCGAGTGTGTGTTCTAATGTGTGTGTGCACGGGTGTGTGTGCCTGCGCTGGTGTCTGGATGGGTGTGTGTGTGTGCACGGGGGCATGTGCAGATGTGTGTATGTGCGGGTGGTGTGTGTGTGCATGGGGGCATGTGTGGGGTATGTGCATGCGTGTGGGTGTGTGGGTGTTAGCGGGGAAATGTGCGGGGGTGTATGTGCAGCGGAGGGTGTGTGGGTCCGGAGGTGTGTGTGTGGGGGGTGTGTGTGTGTGTGCAGTGGCGCTGCAAGGGTGTGTGTGTGCTGGGGTGTATAGTGAACTGACACTGAGCTTTGTGTGCAGGTCTGTGTCCAGACTGGCAGCGTTGGGATCCCAAACAGCCAGTGGACAATGCCAGGGAGGCCATGCAACAGGCAGACGACTGGCTCGGAGTCCCACAGGTCATTCTCTCTCTCCCTCTCTCACACTCTCATGTACAGTGACACACACAGTGTCACACACACACAGTGACACACACACACAGTGACACAGAGTGACACACACACACACACAGTGACACACACACACAGTGTGGGGAGGGGGGCCTGGGGGGGAGATTGTATAGGGAGGGAATTCAACATGCAAAGAGAGCCCCCAAAGCTATAATAGCACCTGGGCCCCCGTCAGCCTGAATCTGGCCCCTGCTGCTCACTCCCCCTCACACGCGCTCTGACTCTCTCACTCTCTCTCAGGTCATTGCCCCGGAGGAGATAGTTGACCCGAATGTGGACGAACACTCTGTGATGACCTATTTGTCACAATTCCCGAAGGCAAAGCTGAAGCCAGGAGCCCCGGTCCGCACCCAGGTCAACCCCAAGCAAGCCCGGGCCTACGGATCAGGTACAGAGGGGGAGCGGTGCCAGGGGAGAGAGCTGGGGGCGAAGGGGAGCAGGGCCAGGGGAGGGGCAGCGGGGCCAGGGGGAGGGGAGCAGGGGGAGAGGTTATCGGGATGGGGCAGGGGGAGCACCAGTCCTGACTCGCTGTGTTACAGGGATCGAGCCACACGGTAACGTGGTTCTGAAGCCGGCGATGTTCACGGTGGAGACAGTTGACGCTGGCCTGGGGGAGGTGCTCGTGTTCGTGGCCGATCCCGAAGGTCACAAGGAGGAGGTGAGGGGCCTGGGCAGGATGAGGGGTGTGGCTTAGGATGGGTGAGGGGGGTGGCCTGGGAGGGTGGAGGGGGGCGTTGGCCGGGGAAGGTAGGGGGTGGCCGGGGAGGGTGGGGGTGTGTGGCCGGGTTGGTTAGGGGGTGGCCGGGGAGGGTGGTGGGGGGTGGCCGGGGAGGGTGGTGGGTTGTGGTCGGGGAGGGTGGTGGGGGGTGGGAGGGGAGGGTGGGGGGTAGCCGGGGAGGGCTGGAAGGGGTGGTCGGGGAGGGTAGGGAGTGGGTTGGGGGGGTGGCTGGGAGGAAGGGGTGGCTGGGGAGTGGGGATGTGTGGCCGGGGAGGGGTGGGGTCTGGGCAGAGTTTGGGGGATGGCCCCGGTGGGGGCGTGAGTTAGGGCGTGGGTGGGTGGGCGGGGTTAAGGGGTGGGGGAGGAGCAGTGACCATGGCCACTGACTGACTGACCGTTGCTCTCAGGCCCGTGTGATTGCCAACAACGACAAGAACCGAACTTACAGCATCACCTACCTGCCCAGAGTAGCCGGGCTCCACAAGGTACTTCGCCCCTCTCCACACCCCCCACTCTCCTTCCTCCCCGCCCACTCTCCTTCCTCCCCCCCCCACTCTCCTTCCTCCCCCCCCCACTCTCCTTCCTCCCCCCCACTCTCCTTCCTCCCCCCCACTCTCCTCCCCCCCCCACTCTCCTTCCCCCCCCCCACTCTCCTTCCTCCCCCCCCCACTCTCCTTCCTCCCCCCCCCACTCTCCTTTTCCCCCCCCCTCTCCTTCCTCTCCCCCCCACTCTCCTTCCCTCCACCCCCCACTCTCCTTCCCTCCACCCCCACTCTCCTTCCCTCCTCCCCCACTCTCCTTCCCTCCTCCCCCACTCTCCTTCCCTCCCCCCACTCTCCTTCCCTCCCCACTCTCCTTCCTTCCCGCCCCACTCTCCTGTCTCTCTCATTCTATCTCTCACACACTCTCTCCCTGTCTCCCCCCAGGTGACGGTGCTGTTTGCAGGGCAGCACATTGACCGGAGTCCATTTAATGTTCATGTTGACGTGGGTCTGGGCGACGCCAGCAAAGTGTCTGCTCGAGGCCCGGGGCTGGAGCTCAACGGCAACGTGGCCCACAAGCCCACCTACTTCGACATTTACACCGCAGGTGAGAGGCCCATCCCCTGCTCTCTCCCCATCGTGTCTGTGCTGGGACTCGCTCCCCCACTGGAGCTCTCTACGCTAATTCCATTCTTGCTCTGACCTTGGCTGTCACTCCACAGGTGCTGGAGCGGGGGATGTGGGGGTTGTTATCGTGGACCCTCAAGGTCGGCGGGACACGGTGGAGGTGGTCCTGGAGGACAAGGGGGACAATGTTCTCCGCTGCACGTATAAGCCCGTGCTGGAAGGGCCACACTCTGTCCATGTGACCTTCGCTGGGAGCCCAGTGCCCAAGAGCCCCTTCCCCGTCAATGTTTCTGAAGGTAATTACTCTACCTCACTCTCTTTCCTTGCTTTTTCTCTCACTCGCACTCTGTCACTCGCTCTCTGACTAGCTGACTATTTTACTCGCTCTCTTTCTGTCTCTCACTCTGTCTCTCACTCTGTCTCTCTCTCTCTCGCTCAGGAGCTGGACTAGCGACCACCAAAGTGATGGTTGGGGGGGGGGAGAGGGTAAAGTTTGAAGTTGTAAAATCCCTTTTTAAGGGTGTCTGAGCAGATTGCAGTCGGGAGCATTGACCAGACACTAGTTATTGGCTGTGGAACTACAACTCCCAACATCCCCCGGGCCCTGGGCATGTTCAGTGTGTACACTACACAAGTGTCTGGTTTGAGAGACTGGAAACAACAACAACATCCCGAGGGGGACTCGATTCACAAATTGCATTGCCAGTTCAGGCTTGGAGCCATTTAGCTCTGAGGAGACCCTTGTTTCCCCCCCACCAACACCCCAAGCTCCGAGGAGATCCCATTTATACTCTCCCCCCTCAGCCCAAGCTCAGAGGAGCCACCACATCCCTCTCCCCCCAACATCCGAAGTATAGGGATGGATAGTGTCACCTGGGGGTCATGTTGGGAAGTGTGAGAGATCTGCATCTCCGCCCTGGGCTGGCCCCCTGTGTGTGTGTGTATATATGCCCTTGGGCCCTGTGTGTGCGTGCCCTGGGCCCTGTGGGTGTGTGCGTGCCCTGGGCCCTGTGGGTGTGTGGTGTATGTGTGTGCCCAGGACCCTGTTTGGGTGCCCAGGGCTGGCTTGATGGGCAGTGACCGTGACATGTTGTCTCTCCCGATCATGTGGTGTTGGGACTCAAACTCCAGGAACTGCGGCTGTCACCCAGCCTGCTCCTGCTCCACCTCCAATCCAGATCATCCCTCAGGCCATCCACACTCTACCAGCCCAGAAAGCCAAGCCTGCCCCTCCCCCACCTCCACCCAAACCCCAGCGAGCAAGTTAGTACAGCCCGCGTGTGAGTGAGCTGCTATGTCTGCACGAGGGGGGGTGCGGAAGAGATGGCACGGGGGAGAGAGGGCAGGATAGGGGGAACGAAGGGGGAGAGGGGTAATGGGGCGGCAAAGAGGGAGAGAGAGGGGGAAGGAAGGATGGGGGGGGAAGGAGTGGGAGAGAGGGCACGAGGAGAGAGGGAACAAGGGAGAGAGAGAGAGGTGTTGCAGATCATAAAATGATGTCCATTCCTACTCCTGTGAAGCACCAGCACGTAAGTGGGCTCAGGCTCCTCTATGCTGGACTCTTGGGGAAGAGAGGTTGAGTCCACGGGTGGGTGGGAGGATGATGGTTGGGGGGCCAGGGCTGTGATTAGTCGTGTGCTGAGAATGCTGGGATTGCTGGCGGAGTGGGAGCAGAGGTTTGTTTGGAGTGAAGATGACCGCCATTCACTGCTGGATGGAGTTCTATCAGCCCGGCTTCTGATAGGGCGAGTGCTGTGCTGAGTGGGGACGCTGCTTGTTGGGCAGCCTGGTCATTGCTGTTGTTGTTGTGATGGAGTGAAATGACTACTTCCCTGTTACAGGTTGCTGACTGTGGTCCTGGCTGCGGTGTAATGTGTTGTTGTTGTCTTCCAGCACGTTACACTGATCTGTGTGTGTGTTTGTCTTCACAGCCAGTAACCCTGCTGCATGCCGAGCGACCGGCCGAGGCCTGCAGCCCAAGGGTATGCGAGTCAGAGAGGCTGCGGACTTCAAGGTGTTCACCAAGGGAGCTGGCAGTGGCGAGCTCAAGGTCTCCGTCAAAGGGCCCAGTAAGTCACCACACTACTAGTTTGGTGCTAGTTGAGGGGTTGTGTGTGTTGCTAATCTTGCTCTGTGCTGTTCTCTAACCAGAAGGGACAGAGGAGCCAGTGAAGGTGCGAGATGTGGGTGAAGGAGTGTTTGAGTGTGAATATTTCCCCATCGTACCCGGCAAGTACGTGGTGAGCATCACATGGGGAGGTCATGCGGTGCCCAGGAGGTGAGCCATGCCCGGTGTGTGTAGTGTGTACGTCAGTACGTCAGCCATTGGCCAGGCCAGAGTAGTGATGTGGCTCTGTTCTGTTGTCTGTCACAGTCCCTTTGAGGTACAGATCGGGCCTGAGGTTGGGACACAGAAGGTTCGGGCCTGGGGCCCGGGGCTGGAGACCGGGGTTGTGGGCAAGTCCGCAGACTTTGTGGTGGAGGCCATTGGCACCGAGGTGGGAACTCTGGGTAAGTGCTGAGTGGTTTGTTAATGTCCATCCCCCCCCACTCACTGTGGGATATTGTGAGCTGTGGGGTATTGATGACTCTCTCTCTCTAAGGCTTCTCCATTGAGGGCCCATCTCAGGCTAAGATTGAATGTGATGACAAGGGAGACGGTTCGTGTGATGTTCGCTATTGGCCCACGGAGCCTGGAGACTATGCCGTGCATGTCATCTGTGACGATGAGGACATCAAACACAGCCCCTTCATGGCTCACATCCTCCCAGCTAACAACCAGGCCTTCCCAGAGCAGGTCAGTGTCTTCTCAGCCACAGCACCCCACCCCCAGGCGAGGCGGCGGGAAGAGAACCCGCGAGAGAGGAGAAACCCCAGCCAGAAAGGAGAGAGAGCGCAGCACTCCACTCTCATTGACTCCCTCTATCCCTCACTCCCTCTCTCCCCCTCACTCCCTCTCTCACTCTTGTCACTCACACTCACTTTCTCTCCCTCTCTCTCACCCATTCCCTTTCTCTCTCCCTCCACCTCACTCCCCGTCTCACTCTCTCTCAGTCACTCACACTCTCTCCTTTCCCAGTCTCTCCCTCTCTCTCACTCTCTTTCTCTCCCTCTCTCACTCTTACACTCTGACTCTCTCTCCGCAGGTGAAGGCCTTTGGGCCGGGGCTGGAGCCGACCGGCTGCATTGTAAACTCCCCGGCAACGTTCACCATCGACGCTCGCACCGCAGGCAAGGGGCCCTCAAGATCTACGCTCAGGTCAGTGCCAGCAGGGAGCTCACTGGCGGTACAGAGAGAGTGTCACTGGGTGAGGGGTACAGCGAGAGTGTCACTGTGGGGGGTCTATAGAGAGAGTGCCACTGGGGCGCTATAGTGAGAGTGTCACCGTGTGGGGAGTATGAGAGAGTGTCACTGTGTGTAGGGGGATAGAGGGTTAATCACTGTGAGGGAGGAGGGTATAGAGAGAGTGTTACTATGTGGGTGGGGGGATAGAGGGTTAATCACTGTGCGGGAGGAGGGTATAGAGAGAGTGTTCACTCTGTTCTGTCTCTAGGATGCGGAGGGAGCTCACATCGATATCCAGGTGAAGGATAATGGAGACGGGACCTTTGGTTGTGTGTATTTGCCTCTGAGACCGATCAAACACACCATCGTCCTGACCTGGGCCGATGTCAACATCCCACACAGCCCCTTCCGGGTACGTCACCCATTTTCCCCCTCTCCCTGCTGAGACTCGGGTGGGCCAGAGTGGGGGGGGGAGGTGCAAGGGGAGTGTTGAAAGGGGGGAGCGGGGAGCAGAAGACGAACGGGTAAGGGGTGGAGGATGGTGTGGGCAGTGGGGGAGAACTGGGAGTTTGGAGGGAGAATGGGTTGTTGGGGGGAGCGGGTGAGGTTCTTGTGCTGTTGCTGACACTGACTGTGTGGATGGCAGGTGATGGTAGGGGAGGGCAGTCACCCCAACAAGGTGCGTGTTTACGGCCCCGGGGTGGAGAAGGCCGGCCTGAAAGCCAACGAGCCCACGTACTTCACTGTGGACTGCAGTGATGCCGGGCAGGGTGAGTGCCAGCGCATCAATGTCAGTCCTGTAGCTCAGTGGTTAGAGCACTTATTGGGTAAGTTTCCTTACTCCACGCATCTCTGTTTACTTAGCAGTAAGTAGGAACCCAGTTGTTAGTCGATTGGCGGATTGCTTTTCCGGGGGTAATAATCTCTTCAAAACATTTTTAAAAAATAATATTTTGTGAGACACTGTTGTGCGAGATTGTCTGCCACAACTTGCCCTCAAAATACAGTCACTACACTTTACAATATACTCTGAAGCACTTTGAGATGTTCCTGCCTCGACCGGCCTCAGTGTCTCTCTCTCTCTCTGTGGCAGGTGATATCAGTATTGGTATTAAGTGTGCTCCGGGTGTGGTGGGGCCAGCGGAGGCCGACATCGACTTTGACATCATTAAGAACGACAACGACACGTTCACAGTGAAGTACACCCCACCGGGGGCCGGCCGCTACACCATCATGGTGCTGTTTGCCGACCAGGTACCCAGCTCCACATCAGCTTTACAACAGCTCCACACCAGCTTTACACCAGCTCCATTAGACTTTACACCAGCTTTACAACATGGGCCAGGGCTGGGATGGGGTTGGGGGCCGGGGTGGTGTGGATGGGTTGGGGGGCTAGGGAAGGGGCCTGATGGGCGTCCCAGGTGGTATGAACGGCCGGGGGAGCAGCTCCTGACGTGAAAGGCGCTCTATAAATGGAATGTTGCTGTTGTTGTAGTGGGCGGCCTGAGGGAGGCCCAGGCGGGAGGCTGGAGAGGGGTGCCTGAGAGGGGTAACCCTGAGTGGTGTGGACGGGCGGGGGACTGGGGCCTGGCAATGGACCAGGGCAGGGCTCATATTTTTCCTGTCTTTTACAGGAGATTCCCATCAGCCCATTCAGGATCAAGGTCGATCCATCGCACGATGCGGGGAAGGTGAAAGCCGAGGGTCCCGGGCTCAGCAGGACTGGTGAGTGGTGGGTGGTAGGGGGGAGAGAGGCTTGGTGGAGGCTGGGGGCAGGTTGGTGGTGGGGGGGAGGCCGGAGGGGGTGGGAAAGGCTGGTGGGCTCTGTGGGTCTTGGGGCAGGTTGTGTTGGGTGGGGGATGGCACAGGGAGGTGAGATCTGTCTGGGTGGGGGGGAGGGGCACAGGGTGGTGTGTGCTGGGGAGAGCATAGGGAGGTGAGGGCTGCCCAGGGGGTCGGTGGCACATGGAGGTGAGGGCTGTCTAGGGTGGGGGAAGGCCTGGTGGGAGGAGAGGAGGGGAAGGTTGTGGTGGGGGTTGTGTGGGGACAGATGTGTTGGGGGCTGGGGGGCAGGTTGGTGGGGTGAGGTGAAGGCACAGGGAGGTGAGTACTGTCTGGGGGCTCACTGCTGTGCTTCTGTGCCAGGTGTCGAGGTTGGAAAGCCCACACACTTCACCGTCTACACCAAAGGAGCCGGCAAAGCCAAGCTGGACGTGCAGTTTGTGGGTATTGCCAGGGGCGAGGCCGTCAGGGATTTTGAGATAATCGACAACCACGACTACTCCTACACTGTCAAGTACACCGCCATCCAGCAGGTACCGTACCCCAACCATGTAGATGGACAGTGGAGAGGGAGCGTTACTGTGTCTCTAACCCTGACCTGGGAGTGCGGACGGGAGTGCGGACGGGAGTGTGGACGGTTAGAGTAGAAATTGCTTGTTACAGGCGGTGTGGTGTGTGTGTGACAGGCGGTGCGCTGTGTTTGTTACAGGGGAACCTGACGGTGACTGTGCTGTACGGTGGGGACCAGGTGCCGAAGAGTCCGTTCACTGTGGCTGTGGCTCCGCCTCTCGACCTGAACAAAGTCAAGGTTCAAGGACTCAATAACAGTACGTACCTGATTTAACCCTTTAATCCCTGTCCGCTAAATGACTAAATGGTGCCCCCTCCGCCCCACACACATATCCCCGGCCTCCTCTTGCACTCCACACACACTGCTCGAGCGTGCACCCCATCCCTCAGCCCCTTCAGCTCAGGGCAGGAGTTTGTGGGTTCGAGTCCCCCCATGTCAGGGAATTTGAGCTCCTGTCTGTGCCTGTCCAGGCGGACGTTGAATATCCTGTTGGAGAAGAGAAGGGAGTTTCTCTCTCCCGTTGTCCTGGCCAACAATCCCTCAGGTTAATTCCTCATTACTATGTGTTAATTGCCTGCCATGTTTGCCTACAAACACAGTTACTACACTGATAGCCTGACACATGTGGGCCCCACTAGAGCTGACAATCCCTCTCTCTTCCGGCAGAAGTGGACGTGGGGAAGGACCAGGAGTTTGTGGTGAACACACGGGGAGCTGGGGGTCAGGGGAAGGTGGAGGTGAAGATGAGCTCGCCCTCCCGCCGGCCGGTGCCCTGTAAGGTAGAGCCGAGCATGGGCGAGGGTCCGGGGCAGAGCGAGCTGCACACAGTGAGGTACCTGCCCCCCGAAGAGGGGCTCTACAAGGTCGACATCAGCTACGACGGGCACCCGGTGCCTGGGAGCCCCTTCACCGTGGAGGCTGTGCGGCCCCCCGACCCCACCAAGGTAAGCCCCCCCATGACTGCTCTGTGTGTACGGGTATTCCCCACAGCTCACAGTGACTGTGTGTCCCCCTTCTGTGTAAACCCTTCAAAAAAGTCCCTTTTTTAAAAAAAAATAATCTAGTCACTTAATCCACGACCGTCTGTGGGGCATTGCTGTGCGCAATTGGCTGCCGCGTTCGCCCACAAATATACAGTCAATTCACTTTACAGTGTATTCTGTGAAGCGCTTTGAGATGTCTCGAAGATATGATAATTCGCTGTATCAAATGCCGGGATTATTATTGTTATTATTATTACTGTTGTTACTATTGTTGCTATTATTATTGTTATTATTATTGTTATGGTATTGCTGGTTGTGGTGTACCCAGTGCTGGAAGTCAATGCCGATGTGGTGTTTATTGTGTAGGTGCGAGCGTACGGGCCGGGGCTGAAGGGCGGTGTGGTGGGTAAACCAGCCCCGTTCACCATCGATACCAAGGGTGCGGGCACGGGGGGCCTGGGGCTGACGGTGGAGGGGCCGTGCGAGGCCAAGATTGAGTGCCAGGATAATGGTGACGGTTCCTGCTCCGTGTCTTACCTGCCCACTGACCCCGGAGAGTACACCGTCAACATCCTCTTTGCCGACGTGCACATCCCTGGCTCCCCGTTCAAGGCTGACATCAAGTCGCTGTTTGACCCCAGCAAGGTGACGGCCAGTGGGCCGGGGCTGGAGCGCGGGAAGGCCGGCGAGGTGGCCAGCTTCACCGTGGACTGTTCCAAGGCTGGCGAGGCCGAGCTCACCATCGAGATCATCTCTGACGCCGGGGTGAAGGCCGAGGTCCACATCCAGAACAACAGCGACGGCACCTACTCCATTACCTACATCCCCCAGGCACATGGCACCTGCACCATCACCATCAAGTATGGTGGACACCCCGTCCCCAAGTTCCCAGCCAGGGTCCAGGTGGATCCCGCCATCGACCTGAGCGGCGTCAAGGTGTTCGGGCCAGGAGTGGAGCCTCGCGGTAGTCCTGCTCTCTCAGCACATGGCTCTGTGGGTGACTTGTGTCACACAGCGACCGAGCCGGGCTGCCGCACAGCGACCGAGCCGGGCTGACGCACAGCGCCCGAGCCGGCCTGACGCACAGCGCCCGAGCCGGCCTGACGCACAGCGCCCGAGCCGGCCTGACGCACAGCGCCCGAGCCGGGCTGACGCACAGCGCCCGAGCCGGGCTGACGCACAGCGCCCGAGCCGGGCTGACGCACAGCGCCCGAGCCGGGCTGACGCACAGCGCCCGAGCCGGGCTGACGCACAGCGCCCGAGCCAGGTTGACGCACAGCGGCCGAGCTTCATGTTCAGCTGGAATGGTTTCAGATAGGATTGAGATTGTGTTATTTAGGAACTGGGAAGACCACATTACAAAACACTTTAACAACGTTCCTTAAATATGGAGCAGAACGTGTTCAGGTAATATATTTTCCCACACTCCCCGCTCTCTAATCTCTGCCAGAACGTGCCCACACTCCCTGCTTCGCTCTCTGCTCCCTGCCCACACTCACTTCTCTGCTGTCTCCAGGTGTGCTGCGGGAAGTGACGACGGAGTTCACTGTTGATTGTCGCTCAGTATCGAGGAGTGGAGGAGCTCATGTCAAAGCTCGGATTACCAACCCGTCCGGAGCCGCCACCGACAGCTATGTCAGGGACAACGGGGATGGCACGTACCGTGTGGAGTACAGTGCGTACGAGGATGGTGAGTGCCGTGGGCACGGCTTTAATCCCATCAGTGAGAAACCTCTGACACAGTGGTTACCAGCGCAGCAACTTAGTCTCTGCCAACCAGCACCATTACCAGCCATCAGGGCTGACCACTGTGCCAGAGACCTGGAGCGGGACTGCAGAAAGGTTGATGTGGTCCAGGGCTGGATTAAGGGATGCTGGGCTGGGATGGATGGGCACAGGGTTGTGTGGGCGCTGGGTGGGGGCTGGGCTGGGTAGCACAGGGTTGGTCCTGTGTAATGAATGCGTGCTGTTTGTCCAGGGCTCCATGTGATTGAGGTGCTTTACGACGACATCCCATTGCCCAAAAGCCCGTTCCGTGTTGGTGTGACAGAGGGCTGTGATCCCAGCCGTGTGCGAGCCTATGGGCCAGGCCTGGAGGGTGGCCTAGTCAACAAACCCAATCGCTTCACTGTGGAGACCAGGTGAGGCTCGAGAGGCACTCACACTGTGTGTATGTGTGTGTGTAGGGGAGTGGGGCTCACTGTGTGTGAGTAGAGGAGTGGGGCTCACTGTGTGTGAGTAGGGTAGTGGGGCTCACTGTGTGTGTGTGTGTGGGAGTGGGGCTCACTGTGTGCGTGTGGGAGTGGGGCTCACTGTGTGGGGGGGAGTGGGGCTCACTGTGTGTGTGTGTGGGAGTGGGGCTCACTGTGTGTGTGTGTGTGTAGGGGAGCAGGGACGGGAGGTCTGGGCCTGGCTATTGAAGGGCCGTCGGAGGCCAAGATGTCCTGTAAAGACAACAAGGATGGCAGCTGCAGTGTGGAGTACATCCCCTTCACTGCCGGCGACTACGATGTCAACATCACGTTCGGGGGCCATCCCATCCCTGGTGAGTGACCTCTGCCCCCGTCCCCACCTGTTGCCTCCAGCCCGCTCTCCTCCACCCACTACCCCCGGCCCTACCTGCTGTCCCACGCCGCGGCCACCTCCCACCACTCTCCCCTGCCTGCCCACTGCTCCTCTCGCTCGTTCTCATCAGTTGCCCCCACCCTTCTTGCTCTCAGACTCTGCCTCCGCCTGTGCTCTCTATTGACAACGAAGTTAATGTCAGTCTGTCAGACAGACACATTCATGCGTGTGGCTAACGTGTACCTATGTTTCTGGTGTGACAGGGAGTCCTTTCCGTGTACCGGTGAAGGACGTGGTGGACCCCAGCAAAGTGAAGTGCACGGGGTCGGGGCTGGGCACAAGGGTCAGGGCACATGTCCCCCAGACCTTCACTGTGGACGCCAGCAAAGCTGGAGTTGCTCCCCTGGGAGTGCAGGTGCTCGGGCCCACAGGTGAGAGCAGTGACCGCTACACACACGCGCACACACAGTGAGCCCCGCCCTGGTTACACCTGTAACTTCACCCCGCCCTCAGCCTCGCCCTCGCTCTCCCCCAGCCTCAAACTCGTTCTCCCCCAGCCTCGCCCTCGGCCCTACCCTCCTCGCTTTCCACCAGCCCTCGTTCTCCCCCAGCCTCGCCCTCGCTCTCCCCCAGCTTCGCCCTCGCTCTCCCCCAGCCTCGCCCTCGCTCTCCCCAGCCTCGCCCTCGCTCTCCCCCAGCCGCTCTCGCCTCCCTCGCTCTCCCCCAGCCTCGCCCTCGCTCTCCCCCAGCCTCGCCCTCGCTCTCCCCCAGCCTCGCCCTCGCTCTCCCCCAGCCTCGCCCTCGCTCTCCCCCAGCCTCGCCCTCGCTCTCCCCCAGCCTCGCCCTCGCTCTCCCCCAGCCTCGCCCTCGCTCTCCCCCAGCCTCGCCCTCGCTCTCCCCCAGCCTCGCCCTCGCTCTCCCCCAGCCTCGCCCTCGCTCTCCCCCAGCCTCGCCCTCGCTCTCCCCCAGCCTCGCCCTCGCTCCATCCACAGCTTCGCACCGCCCTTGGCCCTGCCCCTTGGCCCCACCCCCACAGGGTGACAGACAGTTGACGTGTGATGATCTCTGGGTGATGTTTGGCTCCTCTCTTGATGAAGGTGTGGCGGAAGCAGTGAAGGTGATGGATAAGGGAGACGGCACACATGCTGTCTCCTACACACCATCAGCAGACGGTCCCTACACCGTGTCTGTCAGATACGCTGAGCAGGAGGTTCCTCGCAGGTGAGACCAGGAGAAACATTGACGTTTGTACCTCCAGCCCCACACAGGGTCAGGCTTCGCTCTGATTGGCCGAGGTGCAGGGTCAGACACTAACCTCTCAACAAAAATTTACTTGTATATTTAGCTTTGGCGACTCCCAACATCTCCCACTGATTGCTGCCTGAGCTAGTGGGAGAGGCTGGGTGTTGAGGTGGGAGAGGCTGAAGCGGGGGGAGGGAGGAGGTAACCGTAGGTACGGTCGAAGAGGAACCAGGTGCAACCTGAAGATGGGGAAGGAGGGGGCGAGGTGGATGGATAGAGGTAGAGTGTTCCAGAGTTTCGGGGCGTAGTGGCTGAAAGCACAGCCATCGATGGTGGAACGGAGGGCACAAGTGTTAAGCAGGAGGCCAGAGCCAGTTGAGCAGAGGCAGCAAGTGGTGAGCTGGGAGGTAAGCTGGTCGGAGAGTTAAGGAGGTGCTGGGGCATGAAGGGATTACACCCCTGGGACCTGGGCACAGGACACGCCCGACCCCCCCCCCCCTCCCCAGGGCTCATGGTGACACTAACACCGGCTTCCTGTCTTTCAGCCCCTTCAAGATCAACGTTCTCCCCACGCACGACGCCAGTAAGGTCCGAGCCAGCGGCCCCGGGCTCAACGCCTCAGGAGTGTCAGCCAGCCTGCCCCTGGAGTTCACCATCGATGCTCGCGATGCGGGGGAGGGGCTGCTCACTGTGCAGATCATTGTACGTTTCACACGCACAGCACTCAGCGCCACCGTCACCCACCCTCGTCCTCAACCCCCCACACCCATCCTCGCCCAGCACCACCTTTGTGCAACACCATCCTCGCCCTCATCCCCCACTCCCACCCTCGCCCTTACAGCCATCGCCTCCCGCCCCTTGCCCCGTTCGTCTGGCGCTGTATCCTCAGTAACGGATTGTCTCACTGTAACTCCATCTTGTATCAGGACCCGGAGGGGAAGCCGAAGAAAGCAAACATCCGTGACAACGGTGACGGCACCTACACGGTGAGCTACGTGCCGGACATGACCGGCCGCTACACCATCACCATCAAGTACGGTGGGGATGAGATCCCGTACTCCCCCTACCGCATCCACGCCCTGCCCACCGGGGATGCCAGCAAGTGCCTCGTCACAGGTAGGAGCTCTGTCGTGCCAGTATCCGTGCCCCCGTCACAGCACAGTGCCAGCCTGGCCCTGCCTTCCTCACAGCACAGCACCGGGTAGACTGGCCTGTTTCCGTGCTATAACGTTCCTTGCCACATGTGTATGTGGTGAGTGTGTGTAACGTGAGTGTGTAATTGGTGTGTGTGTACTCAGTCAACCTGATTTAGGATTGACAAACTTTCTCTTTCTCCACAGTGTCCATTGGAGGCCACGGGCTGGGTGAGTCCTCTTTACTGTTCACTCTTCTGGTTAGGCCGGCTCTTCTCATTACCGGTTGTCTGTCGCGTGTGAGTGCGGGGCATGGTGTGGTTGAGGAGTGCAGGTGCTGTGTGCGGGGAAGTGTGTGTGTGTGAGTGCGGGGCAGGGTGTGTGTGTGTGTGGGGTGGGGGGTGAGGGGCAGTGTGTGTGAGTGGGGGGCATTGTAAGTGGGCTGTGCCCTGCTCAGTGCCTTGCTTGACCCTAGCCCTGCGATGCCCAGGGCAGTGTGGCTCAGCTTCCGGCAGTGAGGAGTCTCTGTGGGTGGCACTAGCGGAGCCTGTTTGGGGCTGGTCAGTGATTGGGTGTCAGTATCAGTGGGTGGCAGTGAGCAGTGCCAGTGGGTGGCAGTGAGCAGTGCCAGTGGGTGGCAGTGAGCAGTGCCAGTGGGTGGCAGTGAGCAGTGCCAGTGTGGCAGTGAGCAGTGCCAGTGGGTGGCAGTGAGCAGTGCCAGTGGGTGGCAGTGAGCAGTGCCAGTGGGTGGCAGTGAGCAGTGCCAGTGGGTGGCAGTGAGCAGTGCCAGTGGGTGGCAGTGAGCAGTGCCAGTGGGTGGCAGTGAGCAGTGCGGCACTAGCGAAGCCTGGTTGGGGTTAGTCAGTGAGTGGCAGTAACTGTCTGACCCCCATGGCAGGCGCTGGGTTGGGCCCCACTATACAGATCGGGGAGGAGACGGTGATCACAGTGGATGCCAAGGCTGCAGGGAAGGGCAAGGTGACATGTAAGGTGTCCACGCCGGATGGTGCTGAGCTGGACGTTGACGTGGTGGAGAACCAGGACGGCACCTTTGACATTTACTACACAGCCCCCGAGCCCGGAAAATATGTCATCACCATCCGCTTCGGGGGGGAACAGATTCCCAACAGCCCCTTCCACGTGGTGGTGAGTGTGAGCAGCAACAACTAACTAACCAGTCACCAGCCGTCACCAACAAGCCATCCAACCACAAAGCCACTCACCCAACAACTAACCAGTCACCCCGTCACCGATCCACCCACCCACCGGTAGCTGGTGACTCCCCTGTGAGATCACATTGTCCCCCGCCCCCTACACACACACGCACACACTCTCTCCCACACGCTCCCTTGTAGCTGACTGGTTTAGATGTATTTCCTTCCCTTTTGAGGTCTTGGCATATCTACCTCGCGTTTACTTTCTTGGTGGCGTTTAGCACCTTATACCTGGGAAAGGTGCCCGGAGCTGAGCTGCCTGTGTTGGAGGCTGCGGTGCTCGCTCACTGCTCAGCACTGTGTCCCTCTGTCTCCCCCAGGCCACCGAGGAGCCCATTGTGCCAGTGGATGTCGCTGACCATGGCCTTCGTCCCTTCAGCCTGGTCATTCCCTTCACTGTGCAGACAGGGGAGATCACAGGTACCACTAATGCTACACTCTCTCCCCGTCTTGTGTATGCCCATGTGTGCGTGCCTGAGTGCGAGTGTGTGTACATATGTATACCCACAATGTTACCCCCCGCCTCACCCCCCAGGGCTCACGGCTTGTGTGTCTGTACAGGTGAAGTGCGAATGCCATCGGGAAAAGCTGCCCGACCCAAGATCACAGATAACAAGGATGGCACCGTGACTGTGAAGTTCGCTCCTAGTGAGAAGGGGCTGCACGAGATGGACATCAAATACGATGGCAACCACATCCCAGGTACATCCCAGGCCACACCCACACCCCAGGTATATCGCAGCCCACACCCACACCCCAGGTATATCGCAGCCCACACCCCAGGTATATCACAGCCCACACCCACCCCAGGTATACCCCAGGTCGCACCCACACCCCAGGTGTGTCCCAGGCCACACCCCAGGTGAATACCAGGCCACATTTACACCCTAGGCCACATCCGAAGTATGTACCAGACTATATCTCAGATACATACCACGCCACTACTGCATGCCAGGCCACATCCATTTTGAGGTGGCGTTAGGGTGTATGTGGGGGGGGGAATTATGTTACCGGGGTGAGTCTCTCTCTCTCTGTCTCTCTCTCTGTCTCTCCCCCCTCTCACTCTCGCTCTCTCTCTCTCGCTGTAGGGAGCCCACTGCAGTTCTATGTCGATGCGATAAACAGTGGTCATGTGACTGCCTTCGGGCCTGGGCTGAGCCACGGGATGGTGAACAAGCTGGCCTCCTTCACCATCATCACCAAGGATGCCGGAGAAGGTCAGTGTGACATATCTGGTCAGTGTGACACTCTGTGGTCAGTGTGACTCTGTGGTCAGTGTGACTCTGTGGTCAGTGTGACTCTGTGGTCAGTGTGACACTGTGGTCAGTGTGACACTGTGGCTGTAACAGTGAAATGCTGTTGTGTGCTTTCCTTACACAGGGGGTCTGTCACTGGCCGTTGAGGGTCCGTCTAAAGCTGAGATCACATGTCAGGACAACAAGGATGGGACCTGCACCGTGTCCTACCTGCCAACCGCCCCTGGGGACTACAACATCATCGTTCGCTTCGATGACAAGCACATTGCAGGCAGTCCATTCATGTCCAAGATCACAGGTAAGCCCCCCACTCCGTACATACCACCTCCCGCCACATACACATCCCCACACACCAGCCCCCCCACACGCACCCCAGCCCCCACACACACCCCAGCCCCCCCACACACACCCCAGCCCCCCCACACGCACCCCAGCCCCCCACGCGGATACATACCAGCCGTCCCACACACATCAGCCCCCCCCCCCCGCCACATACACAAACAGACGTCTCAAAGCGCTTCACAGAATATACTGTACAGTGAATTGACTATATTTTGTGGGTGAAATGCGGCAAACAGAGGTGGAATGAGTGACCAAATTATTATTAATTTTTTTTTAAGGATTATTAGCCCGGGAAAAGCAATCCACTAATTGACAACAACCAGGTTCCTACTTACTGCTAGGATAGATAGTTAGATCTAATGGGAAATTCAGGAGAAACTTCTTCATGCACAGGATAGTGAATGTGAAACTCACAGCTGTGCTTAAAGCAAATAGCATAAATGTATAAGAGAATATATGTATATGTAATGTTGTTGGCATTGGGACCTGGCAGGTGATGACTCGATGAGAACATCACAGCTCAATGTGGGGACATCAGCGGATGTTTCGCTGAAGATCACAGAGACAGACCTGAGCCTCCTGACAGCCAGCATCGAAGCCACGTCCGGCAGTGACGAGCCCTGCCTCCTGAAGAGACTGCCCAATAGGCATATCGGTGAGTGCCCGCTCTCCAACGCGCCCCCCCACAATGCACCCCCCCCAATGCACCCCCCCCTCCCAACGTCCCCGCCCAGCCTGGCCCACCCCAACATCAGTGGCCGGGTCGTCAGCCTCTCTGCCTCCACCCTTTGGAACTCCATCCCACAGTCCCTGCGGCTCGCTCCCTCCCTCCTCTCCTCCCAAGGCACATCTCAAGACCTTACTCTCCGACTGCGCCTTCGGCCACTCTCCTACCCCCACCCTCCCTGCCCTCCACCCCGCCTGATCCCAAACCACTGCTCAGGTCCAAATGCCTGACTGTCCAGCGCCTTGGGATGTCCTCCCGATGTGAAAGGTGCCGTGTAAATGTAATGTGTTGTTGTCTGTGACAGGAATCTCCTTCACCCCGAAGGAGGTGGGTGAGCACGTGGTCAGTGTGAAGAAGAACGGCCGACACGTGGCCAACAGCCCCTTTAAAATCATGGTGGGCGCCTCGGAGATCGGGGACGCCAGCAAGGTCAAGGTGTCAGGGAAAGGGCTGGTCGAGGGTCACACCTTTGAGGTGTCTGAATTCATTGTGGATACCAGACATGCCGGTAAGCCACGCACACGCAAGGCACACGCAACATACATGGGAGCCACACAGTGTCCTAAACACAAGTTGGCGAGAGCCAAGGCTTGGGGAGACCCCAGGGTGTGTGTTGGGGTAACTGCTGGAGTCTAATCAGCTAAACCCACACAGGTTGGCCATCGATATCACTGTCTGGCAGCTTTCCCACTGCTTGTCCAGCTGGGACCACCCTCCCCGTCAGGGCTTTGGCTGTGGGGTTACCAGGAGCTGAGGGAGAGGATTCCCTGCCCCCAGTGACTGGTCGGCCCTTCCAGGTCCTGCTGATGAACCGGGCCGGGCTGTGCTGCCATCAACAGTGAGTGGCCTGGAATACTGCGGCCCCTCCTGGCTCAGGAACCAGACTAGATACAATCACAGAGGTTGGGCTCAATTTCCACTGGCAGATGGGGAGTCTGGAAGGTTGAGAAGGGACAGTCTTATCCCCTCATGTGATCGCCTTCACAGTCATCCCCTCCTGCCCTGCGCTGACCGACAATCACCCTCACAACTCTCCCCCTGTGATGGCCGACAATCCTCCACGTACACTGATTGTTCACATCATGTTTGTGTGACGTTGCTGTTGCTAATCGACTGCTGTATTCACCCACACTGTTCAGCAAAGGCCGGTGATGTATTTTGAGAGACAGTGTGATGTTCTGAACTGAGTGTTAGTGTTATTGTGGGGATGTGCTGAGGGGTCGGTGGGCTGGGGCTGAAAGGATGGTGGGAGGATGTGCTGGGAATGTTTCCTGATATTGCCCTATGCTGTGAGCAGGTTACGGTGGGCTGGGGCTGTCAATCGAGGGCCCCAGCAAAGTGGACATTAACTGTGATGATCAGGAGGACGGCACGTGCAAGGTCAGTTACTGTCCCACCGAGCCCGGAAACTACATCATCAACATCAAGTTTGCTGAGCACCATGTACCAGGTAAGGGCCCCGAGTGTGAGTGTGTGTCTGTGTGAGTGTCTGTGTGTCAGTGAGTGTGTGTGTGTGTGTCTTGGTGCGTATGTGTCTCGGTGCGTATGTGTCTCGGTGTGTGTGTGTGTGTGTGTCTCGATGTGTGTGAATCGCAGTGTGTGTCTCGGTGTGAATCTCGGAGTGTGCCTGACGGAGATGTGTTGGTGCTGTAGGCAGCCCGTTCACAGTGAAGATGACAGGAGAGGGCAGGATAAAGGAGAGCATTACCAGACGTCGTCAGGCGCCCTCCATAGCCACCGTGGGCAGCACCTGTGACCTGAACCTCAAGATACCAGGTATGTCTGCGCCCACGGCCTCCCTCCTCGTCTTCACACAGTCTGTCTGCAACACGTCCTGTCCAGCTGGGGACAACCCTCCCCCCACCACCCACACAACCAGCCCCCACCCACACCTTACAATAAACCCTGTGAAGCATTTTGTGACCCACGTTGACTTTCATCATGTCCAGCCTCCCCTGCACATGCCTCAGACCATCTAGCACTCTGCTGCCCTGTCCTCTCCCTCACAGCTCTGCCAGCTGTCACCCCCCCTCCTCGCCCATCTCCCCACCCTCGCCCCGCTCCGCCACTTCCCATCCCCCACAGCAGCCAGTTCAGGAGCCTCGTCCTCACTTCCCAGTGGAGTGGGGGGGACGGGACAGGGTACAGATTGCTCTAAAGCCTGCTTTCACTCACCATCTCGCTGACTCTCAATCCTCCTTCCTCTCTTCGCGCCGCTCTCTCTCTCTCTATCCCCACCGCTCGCTCGCTCTCCCTGCCGCACTCTCTCTCCCCGCTGCTCTCTCTCTCCCCCACGCCGCTCTCTCATTCTCCCTGCTACTCTCTCTCTCTCCCTACATCTCTCTCTCTCCACCACTTTTTCTCTTTTTCCGCCACTCTCTATCTCTCTTGTGTTCTCACTGTCGCTCGCTTTCTCCTCGACACTCTTTCTTGCTCTCTCTCTCTCTCCTATCGCTCTCTCTCTCCCTATCGCTCTCTCTAACCTCACCGCTCTCTCTTGCTTTCTCTCCCTATTGCTCTCGCTATTCTTGCCGCTCTCTCAGGGAATTGGTTTCAGATGGTGTCAGCCCAGGAGCGCCTGACCCGCACCTTCACGCGCAGCAGCCACACGTACACTCGCACAGAGCGGACGGAGATCAGTAAAACTCGGGCCGGGGAGACCAAGCGCGAGGTGCGAGTGGAGGAGTCCACACAGGTCGGGGGCGATCCCTTCCACAACGTGTTCGGGGAGTTCCTGGGCCGAGAGAGTCTGGGCACCTTCGGTAACATAGCGAGGCCTGAGGGTGAGAGACTGTCGGTGTCTCTGTACTGTCTGTGTCTGACACAGCCCCTGTCTGTGTGTCTGTGTGTCTATTTGTGACACAGTCCCTGTCTCTATGTCTCTGGATTGTGTGTGCCTTAATGTTGTGTTGGGGTCGGGGGAGTGACCACTTTGTCCTCTCTCTTGGTGTCAGTCGGGATGTGTTCTGAGGGGCACTGTGTGTTTCTGGGGGGTGTTTGGGGGGTGTTAGTATGTGTCTGGGAGTGGGTTAGTGAGTGTTTCGGGGGCGAGCAGTATGTGCCTGGGAGGGGGTTGCTAGTGTGTGTTGTGGGGCGGGGGCAGTGTGAGTGTGATGGGGGAGTTTGTGTGTGGGAAGGTAAGTGTGTGTCTCGGGGGTGGGGGGGGGGGTTAGTGCATGTTTCGGGGGGCAGTTTGTTGGGAGGGGGGAATTAGTGACGGGACAGTGTACGGTGACTAACTCTTTGCCTCTCGCTCACAGTGGAGATGGGGGTGTGAGATGGGTGGGTTAGTATGTGTGTGTCTGGGTGGGGGGAGGTGTGAGGGAGGGACAGTATGTGGTGACTGACCTCTGACCTCTCGCTCACAGTGGAGGTGGGGGTACAGGAGATGAGAGCTCAGGTGACCAGCCCGAGTGGAAAGATGGACGATGCTGAGATCATCGAGGGAGAGGACAGCACGTACAGTGTGCGGTTCGTGCCGCAGGAAATGGGGCCGCACACGGTGAACGTGCGTTACCGGGGTCAGCACGTCCCGGGCAGCCCCTTCCAGTTCACTGTGGGGCCCATGGGCGAAGGCGGCTCACACAAGGTCCGGGCTGGGGGCCCCGGCCTGGAGAGAGGAGTGGCCGCTGTGGCAGGTACGTTGTCACCAGTTACCCTGCGCCGGTTACACTAGTTACTGCTGGTTACACTAGTTATCGCTGGTTATGCTTGTTACTGCTGGTTACTGTGATCACGCTGTGTGTGTGTGTTTGTGTCTATCTCTCTGTTCCTGAACCTCTCGGTGTGTCGCTCACTGTAGCTGAGTTCAGTATCTGGACGCGGGAGGCGGGGGCTGGAGGCTTGTCTATCGCTGTTGAGGGTCCGAGTAAAGCAGAAATCACGTTTGAGGATCGAAAGGATGGATCATGTGGAGTTTCCTACATCGTGCAGGAGCCTGGTCAGTGGGTGTGGGGGGCGGGCAGTGTGTGGGGATCAGTGTGTGTGTTGGGAGCATCGGTGTGGAGGTCATTGTGTATGGGGGTCAGTGTACGCGGGGTGCCAGTGTGCGGTGGGGGGGGTTAGTGTGCGTGTGGTGTGGGGGGTCAGTGTGCGGTGGGGGGGTCAGTGTGTGTGGGGGGTCAGTGTGCGGTGGGGGGGTCAGTGTGCGGTGGGGGGGTCAGTGTGCGGTGGGGGGGTCAGTGTGCGGTGGGGTATCAGTGTGCGGTGGGGACTCAGTGTGCGTGGGGGGGTCAGTTTGCGGGCGGGGAGAATCAGTGTGCGGCAGGGCGTCGGTGTGTGTGGGGGCGCGTCAGTGTGCGGGGAGGGTCAGTGTGGAGGGGGCTGCTCGGTTGTGGAGGGGTTTCTGACGGAGGTCAGGTCGGAGTCAGGCTGATGGTTGTCTGTGTTCCAGGTGATTACGACATCTCCATCAAGTTTAATGAGGAGCACATCCCGGACAGTCCCTTCATCGTCCCCATCGCATCCCCCTCAGACGCTGCTCGGAGGCTCACGGTCACCAGCCTGCAGGTCAGTGACAGCCCCCACCCCAGTCTGACCACTGTCCCACTCCACTACCCGCTGCCTCCGCTCGGCTGACTCCCTTTTAGATCGCGACTAAAGCCTTGCCTCTTCGACCGTGCTTACGCCCCCTCCCCGCCCCCCCACCGACTCGGTGTCAGGCTTCGCAACTGTTAAACGCTCCGAGACGTTGCCCTGTGTGAAGTGGGCTGTGTAAGTGCAGGTTGTTGTCGTTGCTGTTTGTGTGACTTGTTGTTTACTGATGGATTGTTTGACATCCAGGAGTCGGGGTTGAAGGTGAACCAGACGGCGTCGTTTGCGGTTCAGCTGAACGGAGCGCGAGGCGTCATCGATGCCAAAGTTCGCACACCGTCCGGAGCCGTGGAGGAGTGTTATGTATCTGAGCTGGACAGCGGTGAGTATCTGGGGCGGCAGGGGGAGTGGGGGCTGGGGGAGCGGGTCAGGAGGAGTGGGGGTTGTGGGCCTGGGGTAGTGAGGCGGAGGGAGCAGGGCGGGGGGAGTGGGGCGGGGACGACAGGTGTCAGGGCTACTCACTCACACACCAGCTGTCAGTGCCTGTAACACACAACAGCTGCCTACTCCCAGAAACGTCCAGAAGGACAACACAAGGTCAGTTAACTGCTCAAGTGCTGACTGACGGAGCGTGTGGCCATTCCGCCCTTCTCTCGGATTCTTTCACTCCCTTTTACCTCCTCGTTCTCTCCATCCTCTTTTTCATTTCTCCACCTCTTTATGTTCTCTTATTCCCCACTCTCTTTCCAATGTATCTCCTGTTCCCCTCATCATTCCTACATTCTCTTGTTCCCTTCTCTTCTGAATCCCCACACTCTTTCTCTCTCTCGTTCCTCCTCTCTTGCTCATTCCTTCTCTCTCATTCCCTTTCTCTCATTCCCCCTCTCGTGCCCCTCTGTCCTTCCATCCTCTCGTGCTCTCTCTCTCGTTCCCCCTGTTGTGCGCTCTCCTAACCCTGAGTCCCATGGCCTCTGTCTGTCCATCATTAGAGCTTGTGTCTGAGCTTTAATTGTGATCCTGGTCCCGGGAACAGCCGGAACCCCACCTGCTGCCAGGGTATGTGTGAGACAGAGACAGACACCAGCAGCTGGGCAGAGAGAGGAGACTGAGAGGTGGGGGGAGACAGAGAGAGGGAGGGAGAGAGAGAGAGAGGGAGACAACAAGGGCTCACTCTCTCTCTCTGGAGAAGTTCTGTGAAGAATAAGATTAGGGCCTCCCAGTCACAGAGACTATATAACAGTGTCACTGAAGAGACTCTATCAAGTGGATTAGCCTGGCTCAGTTAGTTGCATTCTCATGTCTGAGTCAGAAGGTTCAAGCCCCCTTTTGGGGACTTGGATTTCAGCCCTAAGTGATTTTCCCCCAGTTACCCCCAATGCATACTCTGGGGTCCCCAAGCTTTGGCTCTAGCCAACCTGCGCCTAATACATTCCAACAATCTATCTCTGGGATTTCCAGGTGTAGGTGGGATGTGGGGAATTCTCAGTTTGGTTTGGAGACTCTTAAGCAATGGTGATGTGTTTCAGTGTGAGTCAGACACCGGCCTGGGCAAAAACAAAGTGATATATCAAATGCTATGTGTGTCAGCTTGGCCCAGTGGTTAGAAGGTTGTGAGTTCAATTCCCACATCGGGGCATGAACTCACGTGATCTAAGCTGACGCTCCAGTGCAGTGCTGGGGGTGGTGGGGTTGATATCGACCTTCAGATGATACTTTAAAACTGAGGTCCCGTCTGCCTGTTCAGGTGGATGTTAAAGATCCCGCAGGGCTATTGGAGAAGAGAAGGGAGTTTCTCTCTCTCTCCCGGTGTCCTGGACAACAATCCTCCGAATAAATTTGGTCACTCACTTCATGGCTGTTTGTGGGACGGTTGTACACAACTGGCTACCGTGTTTGCCTAGAGATACACAGTCACTCTTATTTCACAGTGAATCCTATGAGTGTCTTGAGATGTGCTTGTGACGTTTTAAGGTGTAATACAAATCCAAGGATTAATATTCTAAAAACTGGGTCCGTGAGAGAGATTCTGTATAAGACCCTGTGCCACAGTGCCCCCCCCCCCCCGCTGGTTAATGGGACACCACCGCAGCCCTCAGCCTTTCTTAGTCAGGCATCCGTCACATGTGGAAACCCATCACTGTCTCCAAACCAGATAGAGTTCCAAATATGTATAGAAATTCCTCTGTGTCTGGAATATAGTGTTCACTCTCCCTCTCCCTGAAGGGACGCACCCTGCTTACCTAATTCTGGAGAGTATTAAGCCCAGCATGACAAGAGCCAAGGTGTTGGACCCCACTGTGCGTTGAGGTAACTGCTGGAGTCTAACCAGCTGAAGCCACATAGCCTTGCCATTGATATCACTGTCTGGTCAAGCTTTCCAATTGCTTGTCCGGCCAGGACCACCCTACCTGTTAGGGCTGCAGGGTTAACAGGAGCTGAGTGGGAAGACAGGCTTGTTCCTATGCTCTAATTGGCTGCAATATTCACTTCCAGATACACAGTAACTTTACACTAAATCCTGTGAGACGCTATCCTGCGTGGAGGGTGCTATATATGCACGTTGTTGTTGTTGGATGTACTGTAAATTGTATTCTTTTAATCCACGGATACTAAGAGATCCTTAGTATCCTTTGGAGTCCTGTAGCTCAGTGGTTAGAGCACTCGCTTTGCAAGTGAGAGACCTGAGTTCAATTCCAGGCAGAGGGTGAAACCTTGGGCAAGTTTCCTTACTCCACACAGAGCCTAATAATAATCCCTCCAAAAAAACAAAACAATAATAAATTGGTCATTTTCAATCTACGACTGTTTGTGGGACATTGCTGTGCGCAATTGGCTGCCGCGTTCGCCCACAAATATACAGTCAATTCACTTTACAGTGTGTTCTGTGAAGCGCTTTGGGACGTCCTCCTGACGTGAAAAGCGCTATATCAAATGCAAGGATTATTATTATTATTATTATTATTAAATATTTCAGTGAACTTTAAATGACTTAAAGGTGAGGTTCTACGTGTAAGGATTATTTACCATGAATTCCCGATGAGCAACACAGCTCAGCATGAAATGTGTGAGAGCTTTGTCATATCCCTTCCCACTGAGCGATGGTTCCATCAGGTGGAGGTGTGGAGCCTGAGCAGAGGTGGCTTATCTCAGGGTGGATTCCAGCCGCTGGTTATGGTGCTGACTGGACCACAGTAACACACCCACAGATAAGCTGGTGATGATGTGACATCTTCCCGTTCCCAGATAAATACGCAATCCGTTTCATTCCACGGGAGAACGGCATCCACTCCATCCACGTCAAGTTCAACTCCAGCCACATCCCAGGCAGCCCCTTCCGCATCCGTGTGGGGGAGCCAGGCCAGACCGGGGACCCTGGGCTAGTGACTGCCTGTGGCCCAGGCTTGGAGGGAGGAGTAACAGGTACGTACTGGGGAGGGGGTAGATATAGAATAACACACCATCTGCAGGGAGGGAGGGAGTTACAGCCTGGAATCTAGCCTAGGGTTCGGGGGGGTTATGCTGGGGTTCGGCAGTTGTTCCAGGGTTGCGGTGATGGAGGTGGGGGGAGGGTTGCGTTGATGTGGGGGCGGGTAGTATTGCAGCGATGTTGGGGGAGTTGTGGTGTTGTGGGGTGGGGGTTGCGGTGATTTTGGGGTGTTGATTGCCGTGTGTACTGACAGGAGTTGCCGCTGATTTTGTGGTGAACACGTGTGGCGCTGGGGCGGGCGCTCTCTCTGTCACCATCGATGGCCCCTCGAAGGTCAAGATGGATTGTCAGGAATGTCCAGACGGCTACAGGGTTATCTACACCCCAATGGCCCCCGGCAGCTACCTCATCTCCATCAAGTACAGTGGCCCGCAGCACATCGTGGGTAGCCCCTTCAAGGCCAAGGTCACAGGTCAGAGCAACAGAGAGCGGAGTGGGGGTGGTGTGTGTGACTGTGTGGGGGTGTGTGTGTGTGAGGGTCTGAGGATGTGTGTGTCAGGGTATGTGTGTGTGTCAGGGTGTGAGGTGTGTCTGTGTGTGTCAGGGTGTGTGTGTGTGTCAGGGTCTGAGGATGGGTGTGTCAGGGTGTGTGTGTCAGGGTCTGAGGATGGGTGTGTCAGGGTGTGTGTGTCAGGGTCTGAGGATGGGTGTGTCAGGGTGTGTGTCTGGGTTAAGTGAGTGACTGCTCACTCTCTGCCTGTGTTACAGGAGTCCGCCTGTCTGGGGGACACAGTTTACACGAGACATCCAGTGTGCTGGTGGAGACAGTGACAAAGTCGGCCACAGTGGGCGGAGGGTACGGGCCGCTGCCCAAGTTCACGTCTGACGCCAGCAAAGTGGTGTCTCGAGGCCAAGGCCTGTCCAAGGCCTTCATTGGACAGAAAAACGTCTTCACAGTAGATTGTAGCAAAGCAGGTGAGAGGGTCTATACTCTAACCCCATTCCCTCCTCTCTCTCCCCACCGTGTCTGTGCTGGGGCTCACTCCCCCACTGGAGCTCTCTACTCTAACCTCATTCGCTGCTCTCTCTCTCCCCACCGTGTCAGTGCTGGAGCTCGCTCCCCCACTGGAACTCTCTACTCTAACCCCGTTCCATGCTCTCTCTCTCTCTCCCCACCGTGTCTGTGCTGGGGCTCGCTCCCCCACTGGAGCTCTCTAGTCTAACCCCATTCCCTCCTCTCTCTCCCCACCGTGTCAGTGCTGGGGCTCGCTCCCCCACTGGAACTCTCTACTCTAACCCCGTTCCATGCTCTCTCTCTCCCCACCGTGTCTGTGCTGGGGCTCGCTCCCCCACTGGAGCTCTCTACTCTAACCCCATTCCCTCCTCTCTCTCCCCACCGTGTCAGTGCTGGGGCTCGCTCCCCCACTGGAACTCTCTACTCTAACCCCGTTCCATGCTCTCTCTCTCCCCACCGTGTCAGTGCTGGGGCTCGCTCCCCCACTGGAACTCTCTACTCTCACCCCATTCCCTGCTCTCTCCCCACCGTGTCTGTGCTGGGGCTTGCTCCCCCACTGGAGCTCTCTACTCTCACCCCATTCCCTGCTCTCTCCCCACCGTGTCTGTGCTGGGGCTCGCTCCCCCACTGGAGCTCTCAACTCTAACCCCATTCCCTGCTCTCTCTCTCCCCACCGTGTCTGTGCTGGTGAGTAACTCTGGCTCCTGTGTGCAGGGAGCAACATGCTGATGGTGGGAGTTCATGGGCCGAAGACGCCATGTGAGGAGGTGTATGTGAAACACATGGGGAATCGTGTGTATAACGTGACCTACACTGTCAAGGAGAAGGGCGACTACATCCTGATCGTCAAGTGGGGGGACGAAAGTGTTCCCTGCAGTCCTTTCCACGTCGCTGCCACCTGAGACCCAGCCTGCCTGGCGCTGCACAGAATACACTGACTTTACCCCCAAAAATTGAAATCACCTTAAACAAAACAGAAAATGTCAGATTAGTTGAAGTAAAAGAAGATTTTCCCGGATTCTTATTTCCAGACAGGTCTCGGCCTGTGTGCGGGCGACAGGGCAAACCAAACTGATCCCAAACTGACCTGATTCCCTCGTTTCTCTTCCTGCCTTTTGTAAAAGTTCCTGATCTCAAAGCTGATGAATGTCAAAGTATTTTTGTATTGGGTTCAGAACTGGCTCAGACTCACTGGTAAATCCAGACTCAATCAGAAACTGTGTCTGAGAGATCACCCCGTACCCACTGGACCAGTGCAGCTCACTGCAACACTCGCACTGCTCCACTGGTGCTCTCAGACCTGCTGTTTGCTGTCAGCGCAGTCAGAGGAGGGTTCTCTTTCCAGTAACTATTTATAGGCGGTCTCCACTCCTCGTGTTGTCAGAGATACAGACACTACCCGATGGCAGAGACTGTTTGCTACTGGAGAGGTTGCTGCCCCCCCCCCCACTCCCTGCTGCTCTGCCTCTAAATTCAGCCATTCGCTGTCTCTCCCTCCCCCCCAAACACTGTGAATCAGAACAGCGCAACCTCAGATACTGCTCTGGACCCTGAGCTCCAAATCCAGTCTCTTCCCAGGCTCAGTCTTCCTGTAAATCCACAGGATATTCCCAGCTTTCCAGAGAAACTTTAGAGGATTCTTTTCCCATCAGCTGGGAGGGGGGGGGGGGGGGGGAGTCACCTGTCTCTCTGTCCTCTCGCCCCACCTGCCAGAGACGCTGGTCCAGTGGTGGGGGGCGACTGATTGATGTCTGCCTCACGTCCTGCACCAGTCTAACTCCTCCCGAACCAGATTAACTAGCGCTTCATGAGCCATGACCCCAGGAAAGGTGGGGAGGCCCCCAATGGCTGTTTTGTGGGCGGGGGCCCAGTGGCTGTTGGTGGGGGGGACCCAATGGCTGTTTCGGAGTAGGAAGGTGGCAATTAGTGATCAGAGGCTGTGCGCAGTCGTCCCCGGTGGTCTGCGCCACTGGAAGGTTATCTGACCCCGGAACCCTTACCCACTGTGCTCCGACTCCGAGTCTGGCCCCATGACAACAACAACAACCACCACCAAATGACATTTATTTTGCCCACACAGTGCCGCTGCTTTGCATTACTGAGTGCCTCTGACCCCCCTCAGGTGTGTGCTGGGGCGGGGAGGGCACTGCGCTATTAAAGGTTCTTCTCCAGATAACCTTTGTACGTCTGATTGTGTTAAACTGATATTTGATTAACTTACTGTCCGGCGGCAAATAATAAAGTGTAAACGCTACAAACCGCTGCCCCCCCCCCCCCCCCCACCGAGGCACTGCCATCAGCGCAATTGTGGATGAGACGTAAACCGGTCCCATCTGTGGCTGTTCAGCAGTGACTTAAAGATTTCCCCACGTGTGACAGTGTGTGTGGGGGGGACCACTGTGTGGGGGGGGGGGGCGCGGGGAGGGATTGTGCGGGTGGGGAGGGTGTATGTGGGGTGGAGTGTGAATGTGGGGGGGGGGGGGTGTGGGGGGGTGTGGGGGAAGAGATTGATGGTGAGTGTGACCGTACGTGTGGGGAGGAGGGCGGGGCTATGGTTGGGGGCTGGTTGTTAGGGGCGGAGCTGTGGTGGTGAGGGGCGGGGCTGTGAGGGCAGTGCGCAGGCGCGGGATGGCTGTGGGCGGGGCGGCGGCAGTGCGCAGGCGCGGGATGGCTGTGGGCGGGGCGGGGCGGCGGCAGTGCGCAGGCGCGGGATGGCGGGCCGGGGGAAGCTGATCGCGGTGGTGGGCGATGAGGACACCTGTACCGGGTTCCTGCTCGGGGGGGTCGGGGAGCTCAACAAACACCGGAGGCCCAACTTCCTGGTGGTGGAGAAAGAGACGAGTGTCGCGGAGATCGAGGAGACCTTCAAGTGAGGACCTGAGGGGGCGGTGTGTGTGTGTGTGTGGGGGTGTGGGGTGGGGGGTGGTGTGTGGTGTGTGTGGGGGGGCGGTGTGTGGGGGGGCAGTGTGTGGGGGGGGGGGTGTGTGGGGGGGGGGTGTGTGGTGGGGGGGATGTGTGTGTGGGGGGGGGGGGTGGGGGGGGGTGTGTGTGTGTGGGGTGGGGGGGGTGTGTGGGGGGGGGGTGTGTGTGGGGGGGGGTGTGTGGGGGGGTGTGTGTGTGGGGGGGTGTGTGTGTGGGGGGGGGTGTGTGTGGGGGGGGCGGTGTGTGGGGGGGGCGGTGTGTGGGTGGTGGGGGGGGGGTGTGGTGTGGGGGGGGGTGTGTGGGGGGGGGCGGTGTGTGGTGTGGTGGGGGGGGGTGTGTGGTGTGGGGGGGGTGTGTGGGGGGGGGCGGTGTGTGGTGTGGTGGGGGGGGGTGTGTGGTGTGGGGGGGGGTGTGTGGGGGGGGGCGGTGTGTGTGGGGGGGGTGTGGTGTGTGGGGGGGGTGTGTGTGTGGGGGGGGGGGCGGTGTGTGTGGGGGGGCGGTGTGTGGTGTGGTGTGGGGGAGGGTGTGTGGGGGGGGGCGGTGTGTGGTGTGGGGGGGGGTGTGGCTGAGGGCTGACCGAGGCCCAGTTCAGGTTCGGGCCCCGGGGGCCGCGGTGCAGATTCATTGGAAGCGTTTCAGACGGAAGGGGTTAAAGGTTGTGAAGTCTTGTGGTGTATTTGCTGAGTGTCGGCGGTGACGGTCGGTATTCACAATGACAAAGGGACGGGAGTCGCTGCGGAGGAACCTTCTCCTCTATTGAGGGAGTCCGTAACGAGGAGCAGAATCTTACGCTCAGCTCAGCCTGAGGTCAGCCCAGGACACTGGTGTCACAGACTTGTGATATCTCTGACCTACTATCCCCCCACGTACCCGCCCGTACCCTCCGTTCCTCGGGCTCCGGTCGGCCCCACATCCCCCGCCCCAACCGCCCGACCATCGGTGGCCTTCAGCCTCTCAGCCCCGAGGCTCTGGAACTCTATCCCCAGTGCCTTCGCCGCTTCCTCCCTTTCCTCCTTCAAGGCCGGTCTCAAGACCTTTCTCTTTGACCTTCAGCCTTCAGCTCCTCTCTCGACTCTCTACCCCCTCCTCCCTCCCTCCCCTCCCCTCCCCTCACCCTGACCATTTCCCCCCTCCTCGCTCCCTCCCTTCCCTCCCCTCACACTGACCATTTCCCCCCAATGCTCGGGTCCTGACCCAACTGTGCAGAGCCTTGGGACGTCCTCCCGACGTGAAAGGCGCTCTATAAATGGAATCTTGTTGTTGTTGTTGTGGAATTCCAAAATTCTCCTATAGGGTGAAGGCTGCAGCTGTCGGGTAAGTGGGAATGGTCAAGTCCGATGTGAGCAGAAATGTGTTGGGGCAGAGTATCGGGGGATATAGAGGAGCGGCAGATAAATCAGCTGAGGTCCAGATCAGCCGTGATCCCATACAATGGTGGAACAGGCGCGAGCGCGAGGGCTGAGTCCTGTTCCACTTGGCGTAGCAGAATGTGGAATAGGGAATATCTGAAAAGAAAAATCCCAAAGTGTCTGTGTGTGTGGAGAAGTGGGGGGGGAGTGGGGGGAGAGAGACAGAGTGCACTGAGTGGAGACGCTGTTTTAGGGAGTGGCGCAGTTCGCTGAGCTGTAACATTCTCGGAATTACTGTATCTCTGTAGTCTGTTCCAGGCTCTCCCTCCCGTCCCCCCGACCCTCCTCTCTCGTGCTGGTGGGTCAGCTCTCAGTCTCTCTCTCTCTCTATTGAAGGGGCTTCCTGAGCCGGGACGACATTGGGATCATCCTGATTAACCAGTACATTGCGGAGATGATTCGGCACGTGATCGACGCTCACACCCTGTCCATCCCGGCCGTGCTCGAGATCCCGTCCAAGGAGCATCCGTATGACGCTGCCAAGGACTCCATCCTGCGCAGAGCCAAGGGCATGTTTACCACCGATGACTTCCGCTAGTGCCCGGCTAGTCATCTCCAGCTCTGCTTTCCCTGTGCTTTACCCACACCCTTGCCTGCTGCCCTGAGGCTCATTCCTCCTCTTCCCCCCCCCCTCCGCATGCGCTGCCCTGGGACTCGTTCCCCCTCCCCCGCTACCCTGAGGTAGTCCCCCACCCCTTCCCCTTATCTCCGCGGGGTGAGAGCTGAACTCACATCCCAGAGGTGGTCTCGGCCTCAGTGTTGTTACACTGGCTGCTGTGTTCCAATATCCTGCTGAGTGTTTCCTGTAGGAGCACTGCGATGAGCTCCCTCTCAGTCAGTATGTTCCTGAGCAGCGAGTGCTGACAATCCGTGTGGTTGGGCTAAGACGATTCCAGCATCAGAGACCAGGTATACACAGTTCCACCACTCTGTGTTATACAATCCCAGGGCTCCGTGTTATTTTCAATCCCCGTGTTATACTCAGTTCTGCCTCTGCATGTTATACACAAAGCTGCTCCTGAGCGGTATTGTGTTCGTCCAGTCTGTTTTTGATGTCGATCATGAAATAAAACAGCTAATCTTCTGTGTGACTGTGCGGTGTTTTCATTCTCACCAATCACTATGCAGCCGGACAGCATTTCTCACAGAGATGGACACGGTCACACACACACAAACCTCCACACACATCCTCCATGCACACCACTGTTTGTCTCAGATGCTCTAGCTGTCTGTGTCTTGCTCACTCTGCTTGTCTCTCTCTCTGTCACTGTATGTCTGTTGTCCATGTTGTGGACTCACAGTCAAGCTGACTCTCCAGTGCAGTCCTAGAAAGAGCTGCATTGCTGAAGGTACCGTTGTTTGGATGAGACCTGTCTGTGTCTCCGGGTGAATGTTAACTATCCTGCAACAATACTGGAAAAGAGAAGGGGGTTTCTCTCTCCCAGTGTCCGGGTGACCATCTCTCACAACTTCACTCACTTGCGACTTGTTTGTTGGGAGTCGCTGTGTGCACAGGAAGCCGTAGCTTTCACCTCTGACTGTCAGGTGGTTGACAGCAACTTCCACTGATGATCCTGGTGTCTGATTGAAGCCAGGAATTCTGGTGCTGAGTGACTGAGAGGGCCTGTTGCCCTGAGCTGCCGGGCAGTGACTCAGTCACATCATGTCATTCGCTTCATTGTCAGTGTAACACAGAGGTGCCTGGATACCAGGGGCCAGGCCTGTTAGCAGAGGGCTGCTCACATTGTGCTTGTCCTCCCCACGCCTCCCTGTGCCTGGTCATTGAGGTGCTGCTGGCACACAGCGCAAATTCAACATGGATACCCAGCAACAGAACTTCTGGAAAGAGACCATCAACAAGGAGAAGCTGCTAAGCCTGTGCTGGCTCCGCCGCTACCAGCCGGACCCCTGCAGACCCCCGCCCCGCAAGAGGGAGCGCAGGAAACTCTTCAGGCTGCCCAAGATCGAGGTTAAGGAGGAGGAGAAAGAGAAGGAGGAGGCAGAGGAGGAGAGGAAAAAGGTGGCGGCGAAAATCGCTGAAAAGGCGAAGAACACGTCCGTGACAGTTTCCATCCCCAACGACATGCGTCCTGTCACCCCCCAAACACGTGCCCTGCTGTACGATGGCTTCTCCAAAGAGGAGAAAGGCCGATACCAGTACCTGAAGGCCCGGGTTAGCAAAGGCCCCGACGAGAAGTACGAATACCCCTTCACCACATCCTGGGACTACGGCTGGCGGCTCGGTGAGGGGCACGGTGGCAGTTGTGTTGGGGGGGAGGGGGCTGTTTGGGGGTGATTGGGGCCAGGAAGCTGGTGGAGGGGCAGTATTGGGAGGGCAGGAGACTGTTGTGGGGCAGGGGTTCGTTGGGGGCTGTGGGTGGGCGTCCCGCTGGTACCCTCACTGAGCCGCTCTCTGCTCATGCCCGCAGGTGACATGGTGAAGTACCAGACCCCGGCTCATGGCCGCTCAGCAATCATCCAAGGAACATTTTACCGCAAAAACGGCATCTTCGCCTCTCAGGAAGCCACCGACGTGGTGGACTGAGCAGCCACGGCTGGCCCTCTCCACAGGGCTCACTGTGAACACTATAACTCTACACCCCACGGGAGTGAGAGCACGAAAGAGAGAGAGAGAGAGAGAGAGAGAACATGTGAGTGAGAGAGCGAGCGAAAGCAAGAGAGAAAGGTCACATTATGCCACGGGATCAGATTGTTAGGACAGTGTATTAAAGCTGCCAAACACTACAATAGTAACGTTGCCAGCAATGTCCTGCAAACCACCAGCATCACCACCACCACACCCCGAGTATAAACCACACACTCCGGGTATAAACCACAGCCCGGGTATAAACCACACACTCCGGGTATAAACCACACACTCCGGGTATAAAACACACACTCCGGGTATAAACCACAGCCCCGGGTATAAACCACACACTCCGGGTATAAACCACACACTCCAACAACAACAACAAGATTCCATTTATAAAGCGCCTTTCACGTCAGGAGGACGTCCCAAGGCGCTGCATAGTTGGGTCATGACCCGACCATGTGGGGGAAATGGTCAGGGTGAGGGGAGGGAGGGAGCGAGGAGGGGGGAAATGGTCAGGATGAGGGGAGGGAAGGGAGGGAGCGAGGAGGGGGAAAATCGTCAGGATGAGGGGAGGGAAGGGAGGGAGCGAGGAGGGGGAAGAGAGTCGAGAGGGGAGCTGAAGGCTCGGTCAAAGAGAAAGGTTTTGAGACCGGCCTTGAAGGAGGAAAGGGAGGAGGCGGCGAAGGCACTGGGGATGGAGTTCCAGAGCCTCGGGGCTGAGAGGCTGAAGGCCCGACCACCGATGGTAGGGCGGTTGGGGCGGGGGACGTGGAGCAGACCGGAGCCAGAGGAACGGAGGGTACGGGGGGGGTAGGTAGGGGGATAGTAGGTCGGAGGGGTAGGAGGGAGCGAGGCCGGGAATGGCCTTGTAGGTGAGGATGAGGATCTTGAATTCGATCCTCTGGGGGATGGGGAGCCAGTGGAGGCGAGCGAGGGTGAGGGTGAGGGCGAGGGCAAGGGTGGGAGTGATGTGGTCGCGGTGTCTGGTGCGGGACAGTACACGAGCTGCAGAGTTCTGAATGACCTGCAGTGTGGAGGGAGGTGGCGGGAAGGCCGGCGAGGAGAGAGTTCCCATAGTCCAGCCTTGAGGTGATAAAGGCGTGGACCAGAGTTTCAGCAGCGTGAGGGGTGAGGTAGTGCCGTAGTCTGGCGATGTTCCGGAGGTGATGGAAGGCGGTGCCAGTTGTGGTGCGGATGTGAGGGAGAAAGGACAGCTCAGGGTCGAACAGAACCCCGAGGTTCCTGATGGCTTTGAGAGGTGGAGAGTGCAGCCTTGGATGCTGATGGTGTCGGCCCCTCCGGGTATAAACCACACCCCAGGTATAAACCACAGCCCCGGGTATAAAGCACACACTCCGGGTATGGGTATAAACCAAACACCCCAGGTATAACCCTGACGTATAAACACAACCCGGGGTTGGGGGGGGTTCAATATTGTGAGGTGCTTGAGATCTCGCTGCTGTTGCGCTGTGTCGTTGCCCCTGGGGTCTGACGTGGCTCCTCACTGCCCCCCACTGCTCCACACAGCTGCCGGAACCAGTCGGTGTTCCTGTCATACACACACAGCTCACATCAGCCTCCAGCCAACACCCCCCACCCCCCTCCACCCCCACAGCTCACATCAGCCTCCAGCCAACACCCCCCACCCCCCCACCCCCCCACACACACACCTACAGCTGACATCCACCCACACACAGTTCACATCACGTTCCAGCTGACACCGCCCTCCCCCACACTCAAACACTGTGTGAATGAGTGAAAGTGTGTGTGTGTGTGTGTGAGACTGAATGACTGAGTGACTGTGTGAGAGAGTGAGTGAGTGAGTGACTGTGAGAGAGTGAGTGTGTGAGTGTGTGTGTGTGAATGAGTGAGAGGGAGAGGGAGCGAGAGAGAGAGACACACAGACACACACACACTGTACCTCTGGCCTCGGGATTTCAGAGTAATCCTCCTCTCGTGCTGCAGGAGCTCCAGCCTCTCCCTCACTAATACTCGCCCCGCGTCCCCCTGTCAGAGAGAGGGAATATGACAGAGAGACACAGAAAGAGTGTGACAGTGAGAGAGCGAGAGAATGAAACGGAGAATGATTGAGTGTGACAAACACAGAGTGCAAGAGAGTGGACTGGGACTGAGAGAGAGAGTGAGAGAGAGGGAGTGAGTGAGTGTGAGGGACATCAGGAGGGGCAGTCAGTACTCATTGAGCGGTAATGCTCAGCACACCTCTGTACATGGTATGCAGGCTGACTGCCCTGTGTACGCAAGCTGTACGCGGGCTGATTGCACTCTTTACGTGGGCTGATTGTGCAGTGTACACGGGCTGTATGCAGGCTGACGTGTTGTGTAAGCGGGCCATACGCGGGCTGATTGTGCAGTGTACACGAGCTGATTGTGCTGTGTACATGGGCTGTACGCGGTCTGATGAGTTGTGTACGCGAGCTGTACGGCAGAGACTCACCGCGGATCGGCTGCTGCTGCTCATCGGGTGGTGTTGGAGAATCTGTTCTTCCGGCCACTCGGCACATGACCGGCTCTGAGCTCTGCACAACTGCTCCTGGACCTGACAATCCATCATAGAGTTACCAGCAACAGGAACAAACCCTGAGCTGCGGACAGAGGCCAGGGAAGGGGGGGTGAGAGGCTGGGGGGTGAGAGGCTGGGGGGGGGTGAGAGGCTGGGTGTGAGAGGCTGGGGGGTGAGAGGCTGGGGGTGAGAGGATGGGGAGGGGGTATTGAGAGGCTGGGGGAGGGGGGGGTGAGAGGCTGGGGGAGTGGGGGTGAGAGGCTGAGTGGGGGTGAGAGGCTGAGGGGGGTGAGAGGCTGTGGTGAGAGGCTGAGGGGGGGTGAGAGGCTGAGGGGGGGTAAGAGGCTGGGTGTGGGTGGGTGGGAGGCTGAGGGGGGGTAAGAGGCTGGGTGTGGGTGGGTGGGAGGCTGAGGGGGGGTAAGAGGCTGGGTGTGGTGGGAGGCTAGGGAGAAATAATAAATAATAATATAATAATCCTTGCATTTTTTTATAGCGCTTTTCATGTCTTCTCGACATCTCAAAGCTACAAGAACATAAGAAATGCTAATGAAAAAATACCAATGTCCATCCAGTTCGCTTCCACTCTCCTGGTGATCACATGCACATATGTCCCAAACTCCCTCTGTCTATATCCCATAGTGTTATTTCCTAAAAGAAAACTATCTAATTAATCTATGTTTGAACGAATCAACATTTCCTGCTTCAACTGTCCCCCTCGGGAGTCTGTTCCACAGGTTCACTATTCACTCACTGAAATAGTGTTTGTATAGATTTGTTCTGAATTTATCCCATTCAATCGCAGGCCGTGTCCTCTGGTTTTACTATTGTGGGCAAACTGAAACAGCCCGTCATGATCTATATTGTTTTGCCCCTTTAGAATCTTAATAAAGACAGCAATCATGTCGCCTCTCAATCTTCTTTTTTTCGGTGTGAATATGCACAATTTACTTAGTTGACCCTCATAGTCCAGTCCCTCCATTCGCTCAATCATTTTGGTTTCTCTCCTCTGTATCTTCTCGATTTCTCCAATATCCTCTTTCTACTGCGAGACCAGAATTGTACACAGTCTCTAAGTACGATCTCACCAGTGATGTGTGCAGTGGCAGATTACCCCACTATTTCGGCTGCTATGGATCCCAACATCTGGTTTGCTTTACTCACTGCCACAGAGCATTGTTGGGAGAGCTTCAGTTTATTGTGGGGCCTGGGACAAGACTGGAGTTGAGATTAAGCTAAGATGAACACATGGTTGAGGGTAAAAGTGGAGTCCTGTTGCTCAGTGTTTAGAACACTCGCCTTTAGCGAGAGACCTGGGTTCAATTCCAGGCAGAGGGCGAAACCTTGGACAAGTTTCCTAACTCCATACGCCTAATAATAATCCCTCCAAAACTAAAAACAATGATAAATTGGTCATTTTCAATCCCCGACTGTTTGTGGGACATTGCTGTGTACAATTGGCTGCCGCGTTCGCCCACAAATATACAGTCAATTCACTTTACAGTGTGTTCTGTGAAGTGCTATGAGACATCGAGAAGACGTGAAAAGCGCTATATCAAATGCAAGAATTATTATTATTTATTATAAATAATGAGGCTCAAGTGGTTAGAGAGTGGACGGCTCTTCCTTCTTGTGGGGCGAGAATCTTAAGGATGAGGGAGAAAGGATTACCAGGCACCACCTCAGCCCCTCACGACCACCTCATCCTCCTGACCCAGACCCCTCCGATCCAACCACCGCCAACCACAGCCCCTCCATTCCCGGCCCCCCCACTACACATGCCTCGCCGCTGCTCTGCACCCCCACCTTTCAGCACCCACCCCCCCACCTCGCTGCATAGCCCATGGCGGGGGAGCTGTGCGTCTGTCAAGTGTAATGACGTACCCGCAGTGTCTGCCTCTCCCTGTCCCGCAGTTGCTTCTCTTGAGCTTTCCTCTGGGCGGTGGCCAGGTTCTTCCTCAGCACTGCCTGCTCCTGGCCTGACACCAGCACCAGATTCCTCTCCCGGCGAGGCCTGTGGGGCCCCTGCACAACACAACACACCACAGCCCAGCTCACTACCACAACACACCACAGCCCAGCACACTACCACACCACAGCCCAGCTCACTACCACACCACAGCCCAGCACACTACCACACCACAGCCCAGCACACTACCACACCACAGCCCAGCTCACTACCACAACACACCACAGCCCAACTCACTACCACAACACACCACAGCCCAACTCACTACCACAACACACCACAGCCCAACTCACTACCACAACACACCACAGCCCAACTCACTACCACAACACACCACGGCTCGTCACCACACGTGCCATCCTCATGACCTGGGCCAATAGAAAAGTGTGGCAGTGGGAAATGGACCTCAACGTCTGGAAGCCCGGCTGCTGAGGCTGTCTGTGTGTTTCTCCTCTGTATGTGCGCGTCTGTTTGTGAATGGCTCTCTCTCCTCTGTTTGTAAGTGTGTGTGTGTCTGTGTTTGTGAGTGCACATGTGTCTCTGTGAATGTGTGGGTCTCCCGCTGTGAGTATCGCTCTCTGTGTCTATAAGTGTGTATCTGTGAGTAAGTGTGTGTTTGTGTCTCTGTCTGTCTGTGAGTGTGTATGTGTGTCCATCTGTGTCTCTGTGGGTGTTTGTGTGTCTGTCTGTGTGTGTCTGTGAGCGTATCTGTGTGTGTGTCGGTCTGTGAGTGTGTACGTGTGTTTGTCTGTGTCTCTCTGTGAGTGTTTGTGTGTCTGTCTGTGTGTCTGTGAGTGTGTCTGTCTGTGTGTATGTGTCTCTCTCTGTGTCTGTGTGCAGTGGTGAGTCCTGAGAGGCAGGAGGTGGGGACCTCCTGGAGCCCCACAATCAGGACACTGACCTTCAGTGAAGAAATGTAGGTTGGCTGTAAAATGCACCTCTCAATAGCACCAACCAGACCCCGCGGTTTTCCACACAATCAGCCAAATGTCCCCACAATTTTTGGCAAACATTTCTGCAGTTTTCTACTGGCTGCGCCCACAAACCCCGAGCCTCCCACCACACAAACCTCCAGATCCCACAGCCCATCCACCGGCTCCTTTGCCACAGTCAGTGGCTCCATTTCCATGGTCACCGGCAACATCCCCACAGTCTCTGGCTCCTTTACCACAGTTACCGGCTTGGTTACCGTGGTGACCAGCTCCGGCTCCACGGTCACCAATTCTGTCGCCGGTGTAACTGGCTCAGGATCGCTGGGGCTTTCTTTCAGCGCATCCAGTAACACTGTGGCCAGGTTGGTGTGGTGGTGTCGGAGAGCACAGAGCTGGAGGTGAAGGTTCATCAGGTCACCTGAGTCCTGCAAACAAAGACAGGAGAAAAGAGGTGACACCCAATACACCCAAACCCCTCCCCAACACCTCAAATACCCCCTCCGCAACACACCCAACCCTCTCCCCAACACACTCAACAGCCCAAGTACACCCCCACCCATACACAATCAAAACCCCCCCACCCAAATACACCTCAACCCCGCGCCCCCACCCCACAATACACCCAACAGCCCAAATATCACCACCAAACACACCCCAGTGGGTGAGGGAGCTGGTGGGATTGGTGTGTGTGGCAGCTCACCATGTTGTGGCTGTGTGGCAGTAGCTGTGTGAGCTGGGCTCGCTGGCGGAGCTGCAGGTCGCTGAGGGGCTGGGTGACAGGCGCCCTGGTCCGCATTGCGTCTTCCCAGTACAGAGCAAAGGCTTCCCGCAGCATCCCGACCACCACCCACTCCTCCACCTACTGGCAAAAACAAAACAACCCCTCACCCCCACAGTGTCCAGTGCTGACCCTCACCCACACAGTGTCCAGTGCTGATCCTCACCCACAGTGTCCAGTGCTGACCCTCACCCACACAGTGACCAGTGCTGACCCTCACCCACACAATGACCAGTGCTGACCCTCACCCACACAGTGACCAGTGCTGACTCTTACCCATACACAGTGCTCACCCACCAGGCTGTGTCCACAATGTCCCCCCACCCCACCCAAGGCTGTGTTCATGGTGCTCTCAACATGCTATTTGTGTGTCCAAACCCAGTCTATTCCCCCCGGACCCTGTAACCCGTCACCATCTCTGTTCCCTCTTCTCCAGAAAGGTTGTGGGGACATCAGTTCAGCTAACACAAGAGTGTTAGAGGATAGAGTGTTAGAGTTTAGGGTTTACAGTTTAGGGGCTTGTTGGTTTAGGGACCAGGGTTATGTTAGACATACAGGTCTCACCGTGCCATTGATGTAGTGCAGATACTGTTGTCTTAGCTCCACACGCCTCTCCCTGCACCGAATCTCAGCCATCGGCTCCGGACGCGGAGACATCATCCGAGTGTAAATAAACCCCAGAGCCACCTGCCGGCACGAGTGGGGGGTGAGTGACAGTAGGCACCTCACTCTCCTGTGTGTTGCTGAGCCGGTGATGGTGTTGCTGTGGTGACTGTGTGTTGCTGAGCCGGTGATGGTGTTGCTGTGGTGACTGTGTGTTGCTGAGCCGGTGATGGTGTTGCTGTGGTGACTGTGTGTTGCTGAGCCGGTGATGGTGTTGCTGTGGTGACTGTGTGTTGCTGAGCCGGTGATGGTGTTGCTGTGGTGACTGTGTGTTGCTGAGCCGGTGATGGTGTTGCTGTGGTGACTGTGTGTTGCTGAGCCGGTGATGGTGTTGCTGTGGTGACTGTGTGTTGCTGAGCCGGTGATGGTGTTGCTGTGGTGACTTACCAATCGTTCCAGATGGTGATTTTCACACATTTGTTCCACGACCTTCAACTGAGCTGAGGTCAGCCCCAGCTCTGCCCTGACCAGCGCTCTGTGACTGGGGGTCCCTGAACACGGGTCCGAGGCTGGCGTGACCGAGGCTGATCCACGACAGACAAACTCCTGCAGTCTGCGAGCAGCGAGCAGTTCAGACCTGGCCTGGTCCCTGTCACACCTACAGGAAGATAAAGCATCTTATTGGATTACACACACACGCGCACACATACTCGTACACACACGCACACATACTCACTCGCACATATACTCGGTCTCGCTCACACACACACACACTCCCACAAATACTCGCACACACTCTCACACAAACACACACATGTGCAAGCTCACGCATACCCAGAAGGTTATGAGGACAGGGAATGGACAGTGAAAACCCCTGGCTACATGCCCCGATTTATTTTATTAATTTTTCGGTCAGACAGATGACTGACACATGCAGAAACCTATCACTGTGCTTAAGAGTCCCAAAATCCAAAAGAATTCCATGCATCCCACCTACACATGGAAATCCCACAGGGAGATTGTTGGGATGGAATGCGCTCTCTCTCTCTCTCTCTCTGTCCCTGGAGAGAGACTTCCTGTTTACCTAATTCCGGAGAGTATGAGGCGCAGGTTGGCGAGAGCCAAGGCTGGAGGGGGGGCCCAGGGTGTGTGTTGGGGTAACTGCTGGAGTCTAAGCAGCTAAACCCACACAGGTTGGCCATCGATATCACTGTCTGGCAGCTTTCCCACCGCTTGTCCAGCTGGGACCACCCTCCCCGTCAGGGCTTTGGCTGTGGGGTTACCAGGAGCTGATGGGGAGGGGGATTCCCGGCCCCCAGTGACTGGTCGGCCCTTCCAGGTCCTGCTGATGAGCCGGGCCGGGCTGTGCTGCCATCAGCAGTGAGTGCCCTGGAATACTGCGGCCCCTCCTGGCTCAGGAAACGGGACTAGAGACTGTCACAGGTGGGAGGGGCGATTCTAACATTCCTTTGCCAGGCAGGTCACCTTAGAGCCAGTTCAGTTCCATGAAGACCTCGTTCACCTCCCCCCCAAGCAGGATAGACATGCCCCGATCAAGGGGACAGCCACCTACCCACCAGTGCAGCCGCCCTGCACCACCTCAGCAACGCCCACCAACAGCGCCGCCAGCTCAAATGTGTTTTCAGCCTCCGCCACGGTGAATGGATACCAACGCGCCAGGCGGTTGCCCCCGGCCGCCCCACACCCCACAGCCGTCTCCCCCTCACAGCGAGAGTGCAGCTCCAGCAGCAGTGTCAGAGAGGTGGGGCCTGGAGCCAAGAGAGAACAAGGTTACAGCCACCCCCCACCCTCTCATTCCCACCCACAGACGAGACCAGACCGAGGCCACGTCCCCAGAGCAGACGGATCCTTCCTCGCCCCCCGCCCGCGAGACCAGCCCCCATCCACCGCGAGACCAGACACCCGCCCCACCCGTGAAACCAGACTCCCCTGTCTCCCTTCCTGCGCGAGACCAGCACCCACCCCCCAGGGATTATACACATACACAAGACTAGACACCACTTCTCTCCCACACCCCCCGCGCAAGACCATGGCCCTAGACCCTCACAATCCCCTCCTGGATGAGTTCTGATGTCGGGATCCGCTCTGTGGGATGCTGGCTCTGAGAGGGCACTGCTCCTGCCCGTGCCTCCCCTCCTCACCCCCTGAACGGGGGCCGAGTCCTGGGCATGATCCGTGAGAGCAGATGCCATCATCTCCCGCAGCCCCAACCTGGTGAGAAAAGAGACTGGATGAGGTTCCTTTCCTTCCACTCCAACCCCTGTCTTGGTGACTAGTCCGCCCTGGCACAGCGACCCTCATTCACCCCTACCCCCCCCACTCCCCACACGGCACTCACTCTCCCCTGCATGCCGACTGACCAACTGCTCAAATGGGACTCACTAATCCATGACTAATTGCACTGTTAGTGACTTGCTAGTTAGTGAATGATTATCCTCCTCGGGAGGTTAGCGGGGTCTCCTTGGAACTAAACTGGTTGTTACCTGTCTGACTAACCAGACAGTCACTGAGCCAGTGCTGTTACTGTCTGACTAACCAGACAGTCACTGAGCCAGTGCTGTTACTGTCTGACTAACCAGACAGTCACTGAGCCAGTGCTGTTACTGTCTGACTAACCAGACAGTCACTGAGCCCGTGCTGTTACCTACCTGTAAGCTCGGTTGGCGCTGCGGAGGCGAAGCAGGAGACCAGGGTCACTCTCGTGGCTGAAATCTTTCTCCACCTTGTCTCGCAGCCTTGTGACCAAGCGGATCTGCTCCCCACAAACAGCCGGCCACAGGCTCTGTCCTGTGGAACACAGTGACCCATGCACAGTAACACACAGCACACGGCTTGACACACGGTTACTCCCCCCACACCGCCCACACACATACACACGTATGTTTTGTCACTCTCTGTGTCACAGCATCACTCTGGCCACTCTACGTCTCTCTCGTCTCTCACTTTGTGTCTCTCTCACTCTGTCTCTGCGTCACTCACTCACCGAGTTGCTCCTGTAACATCTCAGTGTAAAGCCGTTGTGTCAGTGTGAGGAAGCTCAGCCCCTCTCTCCCCTCCTGGGGGCCGGGCTCCGCATCCTTTCCATCATTACGAATGAGGCCGGCGAGACCACCCTGCGCCCACCTACAGCAGAGGAGCAGCCGCTGGTCAGTGAGGCGGCTCTCCCCACTACAGCCCTTTACTCCAGTCACACGTTAGGGGGGAAGGAAAGCAGTGACTCCCAGGACCAGCTGTGTGTGGCCTCACTGCCTCCCTCCCCTTCTGTCTGTCAGTGTGTGTGTGTGTGTGAGGGGATGTACACAGTGTGTGTGTGTGTGTGTGAGGGGATGTACACAGTGTGTGTGTGTGTGAGGGGATGTACACTGTGTGTGTGTGTGTGAGAGGGGATGTACACAGTGTGTGTGTGTGTGTGTGAGGGATGTACACAGTGTGTGTGTGTGTGTGTGTGTGAGGGATGTACACAGTGTGTGTGTGTGTTTGTGGGGGGATGTACAGTGTGTTTGTGTGTGTGTGAGGGGATGTATAGGCGGCTGTTAGTGAGTCAGTGTCTCTTGACGAAGGGTCATGGACCAGAAACGTTGACTAACTTTCCTTTCTCCATAGATGCTGCCTGACTTGAGCTGCTGTGGGTTCCCGGACACTTCTGTTGTTTCAGATTTCCAGCATCTGCAGTATTTTGTGTTTTATTGGTGTAGTGAAGCCTGGACTTTGGTGAAGATGTGAACGAGGGTCTCAGTGAGGCCGAGGGGAGAGGCCGAGGGGAGAGGCCGAGATGGAGGCGCGACGGACGCTGAGGGTCACTGACCTTGTGCTCAGTCTCTTTGCTTCCTGCTGGATCTGCCACGTGTACAGGATCGTCGCACTCTCCTCAGCCACACAGCGATCCCCCTGCTCACCAGAAAGGTTACACGCACACACACACTGTACACACAGTGCACCCACTGTACACAGCACACACGGCAACGTACACACAGCACACACGGCAACGTACACACAGCACACATGGCAACGTACACACAGCACACACGGCAACGTACACACAGCACACACGGCAACGTACACTCAGCACACACGGCAATGTACACACAGCACACATGGTAATGTACAGATGATACACACTGTACCCGCAGCAATGTACGCACAGCATACTGTACACGCAGTCCATGCCTGTATTCCGTGGCTTGTGCATGTGGCACATACATGTTCACACGGTGCACACCTGTATATCCCCCCAGATAGCCGGGTCAGACAGCAGCTGAGCCAAGAGTAGATGCCATGTGTCTATGGTGATATCGCTCACAGTGCAGGTTGGGAAATGGAGCTCAGTGTGAGGTAGGAATTGTCTCTCCGCCATCTCGGGAGCTGCACATCACTGTGAAGCGGCCACATTGGGAACATGAGGGATAGCCTGGGAAAGCGATCACCCCTCCCCCAGGATATCTGCTCCCCCCAGGGGGAAGGTAGGTCTCCCCTAACCTGACGGAGCTCTCTGCCGCAGTGCTCACCACCACACTCTCCTCTCTCTGGCAGGAGAATCACTAATTTATTACAGACCTGGAGCATTGCGCTCAGCCTCGGACACGTTATACACAGCATCTCCAGGCAACGGCCAGAGGGAAAGCTGATCTGTGGTTGTCTCTGTGCTGCTTCAGTGCCCTCCTCACTGTCCCTCAGTCCATACTCTCTCTCGTCACTGTCCCTCAGTACACACTCTCTCTCGTCACTGTCCCTCAGTACACACTCTCTCTCGTCACTGTCCCTCAGTACACACTCTCTCTCGTCACTGTCCCTCAGTACACACTCTCTCCTCACTGTGTCCCTCAGTACACACTCTCTCTCTTCACTGTGTCCCTCAGTACACACTCTCTCTCCTCACTGTGTCCCTCCGTACACACTCTCTCTCGTCACTGTCCCTCAGTACACACTCTCTCCTCACTGTGTCCCTCAGTACACACTCCCTCCTCACTGCAGTGTGAGGTGGCAATGGAAACCCTGTGAGGGGGAGACGAGCAGAGATCTGGGGCTCAAGCTCAGAGATTAAAATCAGAAATCAGTCACTGAGGCACATTTGATGCTGGTGTTTATTACTGGAATATAGAGGAAAGAGGTGTTTCTCTGGTTAGACACAGCTGCTCACGTTGTTTGGAATATTGGGTCAGTTTGGGGCTCCCAATGTCAGCGGGCAGGATGTCCAGTGACCATCACGAGGCTGATACCTGGGCTGAAGGGGTTTAGCTGTAACAAGAGGTTGGGGACTCGGTATAATCCTTACAGCAGGTGAGGTTACAGGTTAATTTGATTGAGGTATGTAAACCAATGAGAGAAATTGACAGGTTAGCTCGTCCAAATTCCTATTTATCCAGCGGCTTGGAACGTCCTCCCGAGGTGAAAGGCACTGTCTAAATATCATTTGTTTTGTTGTTATCAGCTAGCGGACAGCTCTTCCCTTTGGTAGAGGGATCTTTATTGATTGTACTTCACAATCAATACAGATGTTTAAAACAGAGATAGACAGAGACTGGGGTTGTGTCTAACAAACAAAAGCTCAGTGGCAAACGTTGTTCCTGTCTAACCCTGACCTGGGAGTGTGGACACACAGTGTAGAGCTTTACTGTGTCTCTAACCCTGACCTGGGAGTGTGGACACACAGTGTAGAGGAAGCTTTACTGTGTCTCTAACCCTGACCTGGGAGTGTGGACACACAGTGTAGAGGAAGCTTTACTGTGTCTAACCCTGACCTGGGAGTGTGGACGCACAGCGTAGAGGGAGCTTTACTGTGTCTCTAACCCTGTATGTCAGGCTGTGTGTCACAGTGTGTGTGTCAGGGTGTGTGAGACTGTGTGTCTGGGTCTGTGTGAGACTGTGTGTCTGGGTTGTGTGTCAGGGTGTGTGAGGGTCAGAGTGTGTGAGGGTCAGGGTTTGTGTGAGGGTTAGGGCATGTGGGGCATGTCAGGGCATGTGGGGGTATGTCAGGGTGTGTGGGGATATGTCAGGGTGTGTGGGGGTCACAGGCCGCCGTGGATGATTTTGGGACAGTCCTGTGGTGGGATGCAGTGAGCTCCGTGCTCTAACAGGCCTGCGGGACACTGACAGCCAGGGACACAGGGGCTGAGACACCGAGCCTCCAGCTCCCCCAGCGGCACGTCCTTGTTGAAGCAAGTCTTGGGACACGGGGGTCCGCACTCGTCAAACACATAGCCTCGCTCCTGGGGACAGCCAACAGCTGGGGAGGAGAGAGAGGGTCAGAAACAGCATCGGCCCCCCGCCACACCCCCCCCCAATTCTGTGCTGCAGCCCCCAGCCCCCACCCCCGACTGTGCTGAGGGGAAGGAGGGAGGAAGGAGGGAGAGAGAGGGAGGAAGGAGGGAGAGAGGGGGTGAGGGAGGAAGGAGGGAGAGAGGGAGTGAGGGAGGAGGGAGGGAGTGAGGGAGGAGAGAGGGAGAGCGAGGGAGGAAGGAGGGAGAGAGGGAGGATTGAGAGAGAGAGTGAGTGAGGGAGGAAAGATAGAGAGGGAGTGAAGGAGGAAGGAGGGAGCGAGATGGAGGGAGGTGGGGGTGAGGGAGAGAGCGAGAGAAGGGAGAGAGGAAGTGAGGGAGGAGGGAGTGAGGAGGGGCTGTACCTACCACAGAGCCCTGGTGATCGCCAGTGCAGGATGATACCGGCCTCGCGGCACTCTGAGGTGTAAGCCTCGAGTACATCACACAGACAGCCATCACCGGTGTCTCCGCCCGGCAGACCTGTGGCCCCACAGGCACACAGGTCATACACACAGGAGCCGAAGAACATCTCCGGGGGCACCAGGGTGTGGCAGGGCTGGAACGCGGCTGATTTCAGGATCTTGCACTTGGCGTTGGCTTCCTTACGAGCGCGATAACCGGCCTCTTTACACGGGTCAATGTCCTGCCCGTCAACACATCCAGCACCCGTCTCGTTCCCATCAGTGACCTGCCAGCAACCAGCATCGTCAGGCACCCAGCATCAACCCCCACCCCACACACACAGGCCCCCACACACACAGCCCACCGACACACACACACAGCCCACCGACACACACACACACAGCCCACCGACACACACAGCCCTCCGACACACACACAGCCCACCGACACACACACAGCCCACCGACACACACACACAGCCCACCGACACACACACACAGCCCACCGACACACACACACAGCCCACTGACACACACACACAGCCCACCGACACACACAGACCCCCCACACACAGCACCACCCCCACACACAGCGCCCCTCACACACAGCACCACCCCCACACACAGCCCCACTCACACACAGACCCCCCACACACAGCCCCCTCACACACAGCCCCCTCACACACAGACCCCCCACACACAGCCCCCTCACACACAGCCCTCCGCCCCCTCTCGCCTCCTCACCTTCCAGCTGTTGCCGAACGCAGCCTGAGAGATGGTGGTGAGGCCCGAGCGCAGCTGCAGCTCATCCTGAGGGAAATTGTTGAAGTTTCCACACAAACCGCACGTCTGTCCCCGGTACGTCCCGGCGACACTCACCTCCAGGTGTGAGCGCCCGTCCCACAGCACCTGGGGGGGGCAGCAAAGTCAGCACAGCTTGGCAAACACATACCAGCACACACTCATAGACACACACCCATACACACACACCAGCACACACTCATACACACACTCATATACACACACACACACCAGCACTCACTCATACACACACACACCCACACACACACCAACACTCACTCATACACACACACCAGCACTCACACTCATACACACACACACACTCATATACACACACACACCAGCACTCACTCATACACATACACACACACACCAGCACTCATACACACACACCAGCACACACTCATACACACGCACACACACACTCATACACACACACACCAGCACTCACACTCATACACACATACACCAGCACTCATACTTATACACACACATGCACACACTCATACACACACACTGCAGTACTCGCACTCATACACACACACCAGCACACACACTCATATACACACACACACACACACTCATACACACACAAGCACACACTCACGCACACACACTCATACACACACACCAACACACACACCAGCACACACTCACACACCAGCACACACGCGGACATACACCAGTACAGTGACACCCACAGTGACACACAGGGAGATGGAGGGACTGACCTTGACGCCGATGTTGGTGTTTAATAAGATGGTGTTTGTTTTCCTCTCAATATAGATGTACGGCTCCCGGAGGAATGGCAGCGACACTGTGTGTCCATCAACCTGTACAACACACTCCGTCACTCACCACTGTAACCCTCCCCATTACTCCCACCCACTCCCCTGTCAATCCCCGCCATACCCTCAGAGTGCCCCCTCCCCCAAACTGTGACTTGTATCTAGCAGTGACTTGCAGGGATTACCCCCCACCCAGTCCCCGACCCCCGTACCGTCACAGCCCAGTCCTGGAGCAGCCGCACATGGACGTCAGCCACTAGCACCGTCACCTCCTTCGTCCAGGCCACCCCAACACGGCCACGGTCATCATTAGTCACACGTACACTGAGAGACACAGAGAGAGAGTGTGTGTGAGAGAGAGAGAGAGAGTGTGAGAGACAGAGAGAGTGTGTGTGAGAGAGAGAGAGAGGGAGTGTATGAGAGGAACAGTACGGTGAGGTGTGCTATGGTGAGGTGAGCTATGGTAAGGTGTGATGAGGTGAGGTGTACTATGGTGAGGTGTGCTGAGGTGAGGTGTGCTATGGTGAGTTGAGGTGTGCTATGGTGAGGTGTGCTATGGTGAGGTGAGGTGTGCTATGGTGAGGTGAGGTGTGCTATGGTGAGGTGTGCTATGGTGAGGTGAGGTGTGCTATGGTGAGGTGTGCTGAGGTGAGGTGTGCTATGGTGAGGTGTGCTGAGGTGAGGTGTGCTATGGTGAGGTGAGGTGTGCTATGGTGAGGTGTGCTATGGTGAGGTGAGGTGTGCTATGGTGAGGTGTGCTGAGGTGAGGTGTGCTATGGTGAGGTGAGGTGTGCTGAGGTGAGGTGTGCTATGGTGAGGTGAGGTGTGCTATGGTGAGGTGAGGTGTACTATGGTGAGGTGTGCTATGGTGAGGTGAGGTGTACTATGGTGAGGTGTGCTATGGTGAGGTGAGGTGTCCTATGGTGAGGTGTGGTGAGCTATGGTGAGGTGTGAAGAGGTGAGGTGTGCTATGGTGAGGTGTGCTATGGTGAGGTGAGGTGTGCTATGGTGAGGTGTGCTATGGTGAGGTGTGGTGCACTTCTCTGACCTGAAGTCGCCGGCCTGGCAATCCTGCGCCAGCACGTAGCTGCACGTTCCCTGGAAATGAATCATTTTGCCATCGAAGGTGCGGTAATGGGGGTCTCCAAAGGCCACGCAGGTGGCAGGACGTGGCATACAGTGTGGGCAGCACATCCCAGGGACCAGTGCCGGAGTCTCATCCTGTGTCAGGCACAGATTACAGCACTCACACACACACACAGCCTACAGCACTCACACACACACACAGCCTACAGCACTCACACACTCTCACACACACACACACACACAGCCTACAGCACTCACACACACACAGCCTACAGCATTCACACATACACAGCCTACAGCACTCACACACTCTCACACACAGCCTACAGCACTCACACACACACAGCCTACAGCACTCACACACACACAGCCTACAGCATTCACACATACACAGCCTACAGCACTCACACACACACACACAACCTACAGCACTCACACACACATAGTGCATACAGCACACACACTGAATACAGCACACACACACAGAGAGTGCACGCAGCACAAGACACATAGAGGGCACCTGGTTAGACTCCAGTCTGTAATACGTACCGAGGCACAGGTGAGCAATGTGCAGCGGTCAGTTTGACAGTGAACCTCCCCAGACACACAAGTACATCTTGTGCATTGATCAACTTCCCAGTGCTGGTTAGAGCTGTACACTCGGCCCTGGTACATGCAGGAGATCATGGGGTCTGTAAGAGACAGAGAGAGAGAGAGAACGTGTGAGAGATTGAGAGACAGTGTGAGAGACACAGAGCGAGTGTGAGAGAGTCAGATAGACGTGGAGGAAAAGGTTCCCGGAGGGCCGGTTGCCGGCGGGGGTTGCTGGTACCTTGGCACTCGGGGCAGCAGTGGGCTGGGGTCGTCACAGCAAGGAGGCCGTCCTGGCAGAGCAGTGGCTCACACTCCTCCACCTGGCACTCAATGTACCCGAGCTGCGGGGGGGGAACACACGCACATTAGGTCAGCCTTGCGTCAAACACTCCCCCACCTCGCCTCGGACACTCCCTCCCAACGTGTAGGATATACACATCCCTGCATTAATCACACAAGATTATCAATACACAGCACAGAGAGAAGGACAGAGAGAGAGAAGGACAGAGAGAGAGAAGGAGGGACAGACAGAGAGAAAGACAGACAGACAGAAAGATAGAGAGGACAGAGAGAGGAGGGACAGACAGACAGAATGTGGGGTGAGTGTGGTCTGTTAAGTTTCACTTACATTACATGTACACGTGACACATGCGTCAGTGTTGTCTGTCCATGTCTCCCCGTCAGACACGCGCCGTCTCTCCAGCTCTATCACACACTCTGCCAAATACAGCACAGGCTCCTAGTCATCAACATGCCTCGCTCCCCACTGGAGCTCTCTACTCTAACCCCATTCCCTGCTCTCTCTCCCCATGGTGTCTGTGCTGGGGCTCGCTCCCCCACCTGAACTGTCTTACTCTTATCCCATTGTCCTGCTAGGATCACCTTCCCCGTCAGGGCTTTGGCTGTGGGGTTACCAGGAGCTGATGGGGAGGGGGATTCCCGGCCCCCAGTGACTGGTCGGCCCTTCCAGGTCCTGCTGATGAGCCGGGCCGGGCTGTGCTGCCATCAGCAGTGAGTGCCCGGGAATACTGCGGCCGCTCCTGGCTCAGGAACAGGACTAGAGAGCGGCACATAGTGTGGGCTCGATTCTGACGAACTGTTGCCAAACATGTCACACTGGAGCCAGTGTGAAACGTGTGAGAGCATTGCCACCATATTGCTGAATGTACGAACGTTTGTCACAAACTCCAGGTAACGCCTTCCAGCAGCTGTCGCCCCAAGCCTCAGAGTTTGTGACGAGCCGACCAGCTTGAAGGAAACAGCAACAGAAGGAGGCCATTCAGACCATGGAGCCTGTTACCTTAGTTAATTGAACAAATATTACCGTCACAATGTGGGCAGCACGCGCCCTCGGAGGTGACCTGCTCATGGCGGGGGCAGCTGAGGAGAGGGCAGTCCTGGTGCACACACGTCCAAGTGAGGTCCTGTAGGACAGACAGACTGTCAGACTGACACACACAGGGGTGGCGGGGAGTGGGCTGGGGGCCAGCAGGGAAGGGGGGAGTGGGTGGCAGTGTGGGGGGGAGGGAGGGGTCGGTGGCAGTGTGGGGGTGGGGGTGGGTGGCAGTGTGGGGTGGAGGGAGGGGTCGGTGGCAGTGTGGGGGTGGGTGGCAGTGTGGGGGTGGGTGGCAGTGTGGGGGTGGGGGGCAGTGTGGGGGTGGGTGGCAGTGTGGGGGTGGGGGGCAGTGTGGGGGTGGGTGGCAGTGTGGGGGTGGGGGGCAGTGTGGGGGTGGGTGGCAGTGTGGGGGGGGGTGGAGGTATACTCACGTTGCAGTGACAGGTGTAACAAGGATTGTCGGTGGCGAGGAGTTCGCTGCCATGGAGGCTGTCAGTGCAGTTACTGAGCGGCTCTGCAACACAGATACACACACACACAGACACACACACACACAGAGACAGACACACACATACACACACACACAGACACACACACACATACACACACACACACACAGAGACAGACACACACATACACACACACACAGACACACACACACATACACACACACACACAGAGAGACAGACACACACATACACACACAGAGACAGACACACACATACACACACACACAGAGAGACAGACACACACATACACACATACACACACACAGATACAGACACACATACACACACACACACATACAGACAGACACACACACACAGACACATACACACACACAGACATACATACACACAGATACAGACAGACACACAGACACACACACACAGATACAGACACACACACACACAGACACACACACAGATACAGACACACACACACACACAGATAGACACACACAAACACAGACACACACACAGATACAGACACACACACACACACAGACACACACAGATACAGACACACACAGACACACAAACAGATACAGACACACACACAGACACACACATACAGAGACACACACACACACACACAGATACACACACACACACACACAGACAGACATACACACACACAGACATACACACACACACACACATACACACACACAGACAGACACACACACACACACAGACACACACACACAGACAGACACACACAGACAGACACACACAGGGCTCAGCATGAACCTTCACACAGCCCCCATCCCTCCCCTCATAAACCATACTCTCCCCACGCGCCAGACCCTCCGCACGCGTCAGACCCTCCGCACGCGTCAGACCCTCCGCACGCGCCAGACCCTCCCCACACGCCAGACCCTCTCCCCACACACCTGACCCTCCCCCCACACACCAGACCCTCCCCACACCCCCTTCCCCCTGGTGTCTTGGGGACGTACGGGCACAGCGAGGACAGCACTGGTCGGGGACAGGGAACTGGATGAGATGTTTGGGGCAGTCGATGAGGCTTGGACACTGTCGCTGGTAACATCTAAGCTGCTGTTCCCCGGCCAGAGACACCTGTCAACACACACACACAGCTCAGCGCAGTACAGTATAGCGCATACACAGTACACACACAGCACATACAGCTCAGTACACACACAGCACACACAGACAACAGCACAGCGCAGTACAGAACAGCTCAGCACAGTACAGGTAAGTCTCCGTACAGCACAGCACACTATAGTAGAACATGGCGAGCGGCACAGCCTGGAGTTGGGGTGGGAGCAGTTAGGGGTTGCGGTGGTGTGGGGCGGGGGGGTTGAGAGAGAGAGGGCTTACCTCACAGGTACAGATGTCACAGGGATCAGTGTTGGGTGTGAAACTTTCCCCCGGCCCGTAAACCTGGCCCTCGAACACACAGTCTGTGACACACAACCACAGCACCTCTTCACTCATAGCCCCAGTGACCCCCACTCTACACCGTCACTTCGCACTCCCCCCACCCTGCCTCACACACACACAGCCCCGCTGTCACACACACTGACCTGCACACCGGGGGCAGCAGTCCCCAGACGTGGGGATGGGACTGAGGCAGGGAGTCAGGCAGCGGATGTGGGAGCAGGTGGTGACTCCATTCACGCACATACAAGAGACACAGGGGGCAGGGCTCCAGGTGGCCCCCTCCTCCTGTTCCTTCCCTCCATACATACAACCTGCGGGGGGAAGAGAGGTTACAAATAAGCGCACACCTGGGGGTGGAGTGGGTACACAGTGACCAGAGGCTTGTAATTATCACCGCCCCCCACTCTGATTCCGTACCTCGACACTGAGGGCAGCAGCTCCCCACCTCCTGCACCTGCTGTGAGCAGCTCAGCCTCGGGCACAGTGTGTTCACACAGCGGACATCACCAGCCTGTAATACACACACAGTCACACCCACTGCCACACACACACACTATCACACACCACACACTGTCACACCCCCAGTCACACCCACACACACACAGTCACACACACGGGGAGTGTGAGCGGGTTTGTGGGGAGTGTGAGCGGGTGTGCGGGGAGTGTGAGCGGGTGTGTGGGGAGTGTGAGCGGGTGTGTGGAAAGTGTGATCGGGTGTGTGGGGAGTGTGAGCGGGTGTGTGGGGAGTGTGAGCGGGTGTGTGGGGAGTGTGAGTGGGTGTGCGGAGAGTGTGAGTGGGTGTGCGGGGACTGTGAGTGGGTGTGCGGGGACTGTGAGTGGGTGGGCGGGGAGTGTGAGTGTGTGTTCGGGGAGTGTGAGTGTGTGTTCGGGGAATGCGAGTGTGTGTTCGGGGAATGCAAGTGGGTGTGCGGGGAGTGAGAGTGGGTGTGCGGGGACTGTGAGTGGGTGTGCGGGGAGTGAGAGTGGGTGTGCGGGGAGTGTGAGTGGGTGTGCGGGGAGTGTGAGTGGGTGTGCATACACTACATGTGCACTGTCGGCACGGGTCAGGACTGAACGCCTCTCCATTACTGAACACCGAGCCTTCAAAATAACAGGCGTCACACAGTGGGCAGCACCGGCCATCAGCAACCGGCACCGGGGAATCACACGAGGCTGTGCATTCCACTGGCAAACACTTCACCTCACCACGCTGCGGAGAGAGAGAGTGAGAGAGAGAGAGAGAGAGAGAGAGTGAGAGAGTGAGAGAGTGAGAGAGAGAGAGTGTGAGAGACAGAGAGAGTGTGAGAGAGTGAGAGAGTGAGAGAGAGTGAGAGAGAGAGAGTGAGAGAGAGAGAGTGAGAGAGACAGAGTGAGAGAGAGAGAGAGAGCGAGAGTGAGAGAGACAGAGAGAGTGTGAGAGAGAGAGTGAGAGAGGGAGAGAGAGAGTGTGAGAGACAGAGTGAGAGAGAGTGAGAGAGAGTGAGAGAGACAGAGTGAGAGAGAGAGAGCCTGCCCCAAACCCCCCTCCACCCACCGCACTTCACTGGTACTTACTGCACACACACACTCATGACAGGGGTTTACTGATGAGATCCAATGAGATCCTTCCTGGTACTCCTTCCCGTAATAACTACACGCTGTGGGGGGGGGCGGGGAGAGAGTGAGAGAGAATGTGAGAGGAAGTATAACAGAGTGAGAGATTGAGTGTGTGTGTGTGTGTGTGTGAGAGAGAGAGTGTGAGAGAGAGTATGAGAGATTAAATTAAAGAGCTCCAGTGGGGGAGTGAGCCCCAGCACAGACACCATGGGGGGAGAGAGAGAGAGAGAGAGAGAGCAGGGAATGGGGTTAGAGTAGAGAGCTCCAGTGGGGGAGCGAGCCCCAGCACAGACACGATGGGGAGAGAGAGAGCAGGGACTGGGATTCGAGTGGGGTGAGGATATGTTGGTGTCACTCACGTACCTGGACACTGTGGGCAGCACTGATCAGCGCTGGTCATGGGGTCTGGGCAGGTCACCTGAGGACACAATACCTGTGTACACAGCACGTTGCCGTTCAGGCAGTTACAGCGCTTACAGGGCTCTGCCGTCACGGTAAAGATCTGCCGGTTTCTGAACTCCTTCCCCTGGTACAGGCAGCCGGCACAAGCCGGGCAGCAGCCGCCTGTGGGCAGGGGGTGGGTACATTGCCTTGGGCAGCGCTTCCTCTGGCAGCTCACCACCTGGTCCTGAGTCAGGAACACACACAGCGTCACCATCGCATTCATACCATGACTGTCAGCGGCACATTGAGCGAGTGAGTGAGGGAGGGAGGAAGGAGTAGAGGGGGAGCGGAGAGGGGGAGCGGGGAGGGAGATAGGGAGCAGGGAGGAAGAGAGGGAGCGGGGAGGGAGAGAGGGAGTGGGGAGGGAGAGAGGGAGGGAGGGAGGAAGAGAGGGAGCGGGGAGGGAGAGAGGGAGCGGGGAGGGAGAGAGGGAGGGAGGGAGAGGGGAGGGAGAGGAGGGAGTGGGGAGGGAGAGGAGGGAGTGGGGAGGGAGAGGGGGAGCGAGAGGGGGAGCGGGGAGGGAGAGAGGGAGCGGGGAGGGAGAGAGGGAGTGGGGAGGGAGAGAGGGAGCGGGAAGGGAGAGGGGGAGCGGGGAGGGAGAGAGGAAGAGAGGGAGCGGAGAGGGAGAGAGGGAGCGGGGAGGGAGAGAGGGAGCGGGCGAGGGCGGGACGCAGAGACTGACCAGGCAGCTGCACTTGGAGCAGGAGTCTGAAGGGGCGGTGAAGGTGGAGCCACTGGTGTACACACGGCCCAGATAGTCACAGCCGCTCGGGCATCGTGGGCAGCACTCACCGGGCAGCTCCACCGGCTTCCCACACGCCAGCGCAGGGCAGCCCACAGGCACACAGCTCACTGCTCCAGCCTGTAACATGGGCAAGAGACACGTCACAGCTTCACCAGTCACCCCTACACTGTGCGTCCACACTCCCAGGTCAGGGTTAGGGACACAGTAACGCTCCCTCTACACTGTGCAACCACACTCCCAGGTCAGGGTTAGAGACACAGTAAAGCTCCCTCTACACTGTGCAACCACACTCCCAGGTCAGGGTTAGAGACACAGTAAAGCTCCTCTACACTGTGCGTCCACACTCCCAGGTCAGGGTTAGAGACAGTGAAGCTCACCAGGCAGGTGCAGATTTGACAGGTGTTGCTGGGGTCTGTGAAAGTCTCCCCGTTGCTGCAATCTCTGTTGTTGTAGGAGCAGCCGTCACAGACAGCACAGCCACAGGGTGTGAATGCTGGGTGTGGGCACTGTGGCTCTGGACACAGCTTCAGTCCACACCTCACCGTCCCAGTCTGTGCACGCAGAGACAAACATGGCCATCAGTCACACTCCTGTCTGCCCCGCCAACCCCCTCCCCACCCCGCTGCCCCCCTCACCATCCCGCTGCCCCCTCGCTGCCCCACTCCCCCCTTGCCGCCCCACTCGCAGCTCCCCCCCACCCAGTCGCCTCACTCCCCATCCCTCGCTCCTCACTCCCCCCACTCACACTCAACCTCCCCGGCCCCTTCACCGCTCCACACTCCGCCCATCGCTCTGCTCCTACCTGGCACCGACATTCTTCACATTCTCCTCTGGGAGCCGCGAATGTGGCTCCGTCCATGTAGTCCTGTCCCTGGTAATGACAACCTGAAAATAGCAGATGGTGGGAATTCTACCCAGATCGGAGGCGAGGGGCGGAGGGCAGTAACTGAGAGTGACAGTGAGAGGGGGGGAGGGGGCAGTAACTGAGAGTGACAGTGAGAGGGGGGAGGGGGCAGTAACCGAAAGTGACAGTGGGGGGGGGGGGAGAGGACAGTAACCAAGAGTGACAGTGAGGGGTGGTGGAGGGGGGAGAGGACAGTAACCGAGAGTGACAGTGGGTGGGGGGGAGGGCAGTAACCGAGAGTAACAGTGAGAGAGTGAGAATGGGGGGGTCATGATTGAGCCCAGTCCCCTGTTAAGGTGCCCTTCACTCACCTTCACACTGTGGACAGTCACAGGACCCGGGGATGGGGTGTGAGCAGGTCACTGGGGCACATAGTCTCCTCATACACTGCGCAGAACCCAACTGATACAGAGAGAGAGAGAGAGCACAGGAGTGAGGCCTGTGTGTCAGGTCGGGATGAGAATCCTGGGTGTGAGCGGGTGTGAGAGGTCTGGGTGTGAGTGGGTGTGAGCAGGTTTGAGCGGGTGTGAGAGGTCTGGGTGTGAGTGGGTGTGAGCGGGTGTGAGAGGTCTGGGTGTGAGTGGGTGTGAGAGGTCTGGGTGTGAGAGGGTGTGAGCGGATGTGAGAGGTCTGGGTGTGAGTGGGTGTGAGCGGGTGTGAGAGGTCTGGGTGTGAGTGGGTGTGAGGCTGTCCCGGGTCCTGGCCACGGTGTCCTGGCTGCACTCACCCGGCAGGTGCACTGGGAGCACACAGGGTCGGCCGGGTCTGGCACTGTCTGTCCATTGCCAATAGTGACTCCACTGTACAAACAGCCTGTGGAGCGGCACAAACACAGCACTCACAATTACACCGCACCCGCACGCCCCCGCGCGCCCCCTCTCGTGCCCTCCCGTTCCCCCCACTCGACCTCACACAGCAAGCGTGTGTACACACATCCACACACACAGGAAGCATGTACACGCACACACAGCGAGCGCTACACTCACCCTCACACACAGGACAGCATTCCCCGTGGCTGTGGCTGGGGTGAGGACACCCTGGGCTGTAACACGGCCTCTTGGTGCAGGTGACGAAGCCTCCACTGCACTCACACCGACTGCACCTGTCCTCCATCGCCGGGAACTCCTGTCCGTTCAGATACTCCTCACCCAGGTAACCGCAGCCTGCGGGCAGAGAGCAGCCGCCATCGTCACCGTCATCGCCAACTGTAACCACTAACCGACACCGTCCCACAGCAACGGTCGCCGTCAAACATTATTAACTGCCCCCGTCATATGTAACCGCCATCCGTCACACAGCAATGGTCAACCTCAACCATCACCGCTCGTGCCAAACGGCACTGGGTGTGTCCAGTAACAATCATTACAATTAATAATAATAAAAACAATATTTGCTGTATCTGATCAGCGCCTCATCACGTGTTTGAGACGTCTCAAAGCGCTTCACAGGATACACTGTAAAGTGAATCAACTGTATATTTGTGGGTGAAACGCAGCAGCCAATTGCGCACAGCAGCGTCCCACAAACGAGTGGATTGAGGGACCAAATTATTATCAGTATTTTTTAATTTTGAAGAGATTATTATCCCTGGAAAGTGATTCGCCAATTGACTAACAACCGGATTCCTACTGACTGCTGGTAAACAGAGGCGTGTGGTTTTGCCGGGAATCAAACCCAGGACCTCTCGCTTGATAGTGTTTTAACACATTGTCGAAATGTCTCCAACCTTCACAGAATTTCACCATGTGGATATTATGGGTAATCGTGGCAGCCAATCTACGCATAGGTTAAAGGGGACCTTGCTTTAACGTTTCGTCCGAAGTACAGCGTCTCTGACAGAACTGGGCTGGAGAGTCAGCCTGGACTGTGAACTCAGAGACCCTGCCCTGGGGGCTCGAACCCCAACCTTCTGATCGCAGAGAGAGAGAGAGAGAAAAAAGAGAGAGGTTGGTAAATGGCAGTGTACTCACCGTCACACAGCCGGCAGCATGGACCCTGCATCGGGAAGGGACACTCCACCACTGCACATGGGCGACGCTCGCATGTCACACTGCCCTCGCGACACGCGCACACACTACAGCCATCACCGGGGTCAGCAAACTGCTCCCCATTAGCATACTCCTTCCCCTCGAACAGGCAGCCTGCACACATGCAGCACAGAGCACGTTAACATTGACACCCTACACACACACAGCACAGAGCACCTTAACACAGGCAGCCTGAACACACAGCACACAGCACCTTAACACAGGCAGCCTGAACACACAGCACACAGCACCTTAACACAGGCAGCCTGAACACACAGCACACAGCATGTTAACAGACACACAGCACACAACACACACACAGCACATTAACACACACACCCTCCACACAGCACACATATGCTATAGGATTCTTTTATTTGATTAATCCTTATTTGAACAGAAACAAGAAGGGGGAAAGGAGAGAGGTGAGGGGGAGAGGGAGAGAGAATGGTGAAGGGGAGAGAGAGAGAAGTGAAGGGAAGATGGAGAGAAAGAGAGAGTGAAGGAGAGAGAGAGAGAGAGAAGTGAAGCAGAGATGGAGAGAGAGGTGAAGCAGGGAAGGGAGAGAGAGAGAGAGGTGAAGGAGAGAGAAAGAGAGAGGGGTGAAGGGGAGAGGGAGAGAGAGGTGAGCAGTTACCGTCACAGGTACGACAGCAGTCCTGGAGGATGGGGTGTGAGCAGAGGCAGGGGGCACAGGGTGTGCGCTGACACGTCACCGTGCCGTTGGCACACATACAGCTGCGGCATGGCTCCGTCGGGTCATAGAAGCGTTCCATGTGTTTGTAGTGAAGGCCTGAGTACTGGCACTGGGCTGGGGGAGCTGGGGGTCACAGAGAACCATCAGACACAGCTACAGGAGGGGAGGAGGTGAGGACCATCATTCCATCACAGCATCAACCGATCCAGTCTGTCTGCTCACCACTCCCTGGTTCATGTACTGAGTGGGGCCACACTGAGCGGGTACACACCGACTGGGAACAGTGGTTAGAGCGCTCACCTCACAAGCGAGAGGACCCGGGTTTGATTCCCGGGCGGGGCGAGACATTGGGCAAGTTTCCTTACTCCACTTACTGTTTACCGGCAGTAAGTAGGAACCTGGTTGTTGAAAGGCGCCAAACAAATGTAATTTTGTTGTTGTTAGTCGATTGGCGGATCGCTTTTCCAGGGATAACAATCCCTTCAAAAAATAATAATCATTTGGTCGCTCAATCCACGACTGTTTGTGGGACATTGCTGTGCGCAATTGGCTGCCGCGTTCGCCCACAAATATACAGTCAATTCACTTTACAGTATATCCTGTGAAGGGCTTTGAGACATCGAGAAGACATGAAAAGCGCTATATCAAATGCCAGGATTATTATTATTATTATATTATTATTATTAACACCGACCTGGGCACTGGGGGCAGCAGTCTCCGGGCAGTAAGAAGGGGTTTGTACACAGCAGCGGACGGCATCTCCTGGCCAGACACTGAATGTTCCCGTTCTACAGCCAGTCACAGAGAAGAGAGGGTCAGCCTGGGCACCGGGCAGTGGGGGGGCGAGTGGAGGGGTGGAGCGGGGGGTGGGTGTCAGTGGATGGGGGCAGCAGTGGGGGAGGGTGCGTGGGCGAAGCGGGGAGCAGGCGGGGGGCGCGGTGGTGAGTGGGGAGACATGACACTATACTCACGAGGCAGTGACACTCCTTACACAGGTTGGTGGGATGTGGGAAATCAGCTCCGTTTGGATACTCTTTCCCGGCGAAATTACATCCTGTGAGAGCGACACAGTCAGTAACCCTCACCCCCCAACCCCACCGAGCCCCAGGCGCACCTCCAAGTGGAGCCCCCACCCCAGCTGTCCAAACCCCAGCCATACCGTTGCAGTTGTTGAGGCAGCAGGAGCCCGCGAGGGGGTTGGAGCACAAGGCGCCGCGACATGCTCTGTCCTGACAGCTCACACTGCCGTTCACACACACACATTCCTGACACGGGCTCCGGGGGCTCGGGAACCGCTGGCCGTCCACGTACACCCCCTCCTCATACCTACAGTCTGTGAGACACATACAGCGTGAGCCACAGAGACACTGTGAGCCACAGAGACACTGTGAGCCACAGAGACACTGTGAGCCACAGAGACACTGTGAGCCACAGAGACACTGTGAGCCACAGAGACACTGTGAGCCACAGAGACACTGTGAGCCACAGAGACACAGCGTGAGCCACAGAGACACAGTGTGAGCCACAGAGACACAGTGTGAGCCACAGAGACACTGTGAGCCACAGAGACACAGCGTGAGCCACAGAGACACTGTGAGCCACAGAGACACAGTGTGAGCCACAGAGACACAGTGTGAGCCACAGAGACACAGTGTGAGCCACAGAGACACAGTGTGAGCCACAGAGACACAGTGTGAGCCACAGAGACACTGTGTGAGCCACAGAGACACTGTGTGAGCCACAGAGACACAGTGTGAGCCACAGAGACACAGTGTGAGCCACAGAGACACTGTGAGCCACAGAGACACTGTGAGCCACAGAGACACTGTGAGCCACAGAGACACTGTGAGCCACAGAGACACTGTGAGCCACAGAGACACTGTGAGCCACAGAGACACAGCGTGAGCCACAGAGACACAGTGTGAGCCACAGAGACACAGTGTGAGCCACAGAGACACAGTGTGAGCCACAGAGACACAGTGTGAGCCACAGAGACACTGTGTGAGCCACAGAGACACAGTGTGAGACACAGTGTGAGCCACAGAGACACTGTGAGCCGCACAGATACAGTGTGAGACACAGTGTGAGCCACAGAGACACAGTGTGAGCCACAGAGACACAGTGTGAGGCCACAGACACAGTGTGAGCCATAGAGATACAGTGTGAGCCACAGAGACACTGTGAGCCGCACAGATACAGTGTGAGACACAGTGTGAGCCACAGAGACACAGTGTGAGGCCACAGAGACACAGTGTGAGCCACAGAGACACAGTGTGAGGCCACAGAGACACAGTGTGAGCCATAGAGATACAGTGTGAGCCGCACAGATACAATATGAGCCACAGAGACACAGTGTGAGCCATAGAGACACAGTGTGAGCCACAGAGACACAGTGTGAGCCGTACAGATACAGTGTGAGCCACAGAGATACCGTGTGAGCTGCACAGATACAGTGTGAGCCACAGTGTGAACCACAGTGTGAGCCACAGAGATAGAGTGTGAGCCACAGAGATCCAGTGTGAGCCACAGTGTGAGCCACAGAGATACAATGTGAAACCCCTCCCCTCCTCCCTTGATTGCCCTCCACCCTCCCAGGTACCTGGACACTTGGGGCAGCACTGTCCAGGTCTCTGCTCAGGTCTGGTGCAGGTCACCGGGGGACACGGCCTGAGGAGACAGTGCACTGTCCCCGCCTGGGGAGGGACACAGCCATCACACACACACCACTCCCCTCCCAGTCACACACACACCCAACACTCCCCTCCCAGTCACACACACACCCAACACTCCCCTCCCATTCACACACACACCCAACACTCCCCTCCCAGTCACACACACACACACACAACACTCCCCTCCCAGTCACACACACACACACACAACACTCCCCTCCCAGTCACACACACACCACTCCCCTCCCAGTCACACTCACACACACACTCCCCTCCCAGTCACACACACACCACTCCCCTCCCAGTCACACTCACACACAACACTCCCCTCCCAGTCACACACACACCCAACACTCCCCTCCCAGTCACACACACTCACACACAGCCACTAGTCCCCCTAACCCCGGGGGCACCTGGCAGCGGCAGGTGTGACAGGGGCTCTCAGGGTCTGTGAATTCCTGGCCGTCGCTGAAATCTTGCTGGTGATAACGGCACCGGGAACATTCGGGACAGCAGCCGCCTGAGGGAAGAGAGAGAATGTCAGGGGCACCCCACATCACCCCCATTCCACTCACCCTCCCCTCACCGCACCCCCCACACCTCACCTCACCACCCCCCACACCTCACCACCACCCACACCACACCTCACCACCCACCAAACCTCACCTCACCACCCCCTCAACCCTCATCTCACCCCCCCACCTCACCTCCACTCCCCCCACCTCACCTCACCACCCACCATACCTCACCTCACCATCCTCCCAACCCTCATCTCACTCCCCTACCTCACCTCCAGCCCCCACACCTCACCTCACCACCTCCCCCCACCTCACTCCACTTGCTCAAACCCCACCTCAACCCCCAAACCCCACCGCAACCCCCAAAACACACCTCATCACCCAACCCCCCCTTACCTCCCTTGCTTCAACCACCCTCATCTCACCCCCCTTCCCTAAAACTCCCTCACCCCCCATCCCTCACCCTCTCCACTCAACCCCCTCCCCTCAAACCCTACCCCTCAACCCCCCATCCCTCCTTCATTACCCTCCCTCCTGCCCCCCCACCCTCAGATGCATGTTGGGAAAGGTACCAGATGGGGTGGTGGGGTGCTGACACGGGACATGGGGACAAGACACGGGCTGACACACGGCGTCACCGCTCACACAGGTACACGTGGTGCACGTCGTGGTGTCCGACCGCCATTCCACACCCTCAGCAAACTCCACCGCCTCCACCACACAAACTGCAGAGAGAGACCCTCAGCATTATCATCACTTCTACTGATCCTGAAGTGTGTCTCTAGCCCTGACCTGGGAGTGTGGACGCACAGTGTAGAGGAGCGTTACTGTGTCTCTAACCCTGACCCGGGAGTGTGGACACACAGTGTAGAGGAGCGTTACTGTGTCTCTAATCCTGACCTGGGAGTGTGGACGGACGCACAGTGTAGAGGGAGCTTTACTGTGTCTCTAACCCTGACCTGGGAGTGTGGACGCACAGTGTAGAGGAGCTTTACTGTGTGTATTGCTGAGCTGGGAATGAGGGTCACTGACCTTTGCAGACGGGGCAGCAGAGCTGGGGGTCGACGACTGGGTGGGGGCAGGTGACAGGGGCACAAACCTCCTCCTGACAATGCACACTCCCATCCTGCAGGGACAGGAAACGTTTACTAATAATCTTCTCCCACCCACAGCCATCCCCAGACAGGCCCCCCGCCCAACTCTAATCCCCACCCTACCCGAGTCAGACACACCCGCACCCTGAGACAGCCCCTGTCCCATCGAGACTGCTGCCTCGACCACCCCCCTCCCCAGAAGCCCCTCCTCACCGTGCAGACACACTGTAAACAGGGCCCAGCCCCCGGCGGGTGGAATGTGTGTCCATTGTGTATTAATTCTCGCTCGTACAGGCAACCTGCGGAGACACACATATAGTCCTGCGCACCTGGTCCCGGGCGCACACACCCGGCCACCCACACCTGGCCCCGCGCACACACACCCGGCACCGCGCACACACACCCGGCCCCGCACACACACCCGGCCCCGCACACCCAGCCACACACAAACACACCCGGCCACACGCACTCGGCCACACACACACACACACACCCAGCCACGCGCACACACCTGGCCACACGCACCCGGCCACACACACACACACACACCCCCGACCACACACAAACACACCCGGCCACACGCACCCGGCCACACACACACACACACCCGGCCACATGCACCCGGCCACACACACACGCACCCGGCCACACACACACAGTCAGTGCGGTGTGTTACTCACTGTCACAGGTCGGGCAGCACTCTGCTGCTCGTGGTGCTGGGTGACTGCATTGGACCGATGGACAGTTCTGCTCCAGCCTCTCACAGGACACTGTCCCAGCCTGTCAGCAACACAGTGGAGATCAGTCACTCACAGAGTGGGGCTGAGATCAGTCACTCACACAGAGTGGGGCTGAGATCAGTCACTCACAGAGTGGGGCTGAGATCAGTCACTCACAGAGTGGGGCTGAGATCAGTCACTCACACAGAGTGGGGCTGAGATCAGTCACTCACAGAGTGGGGCTGAGATCAGTCACTCACAGAGTGGGGCTGAGATCAGTCACTCACACAGAGTGGGGCTGAGATCAGTCACTCACACAGAGTGGGGCTGAGATCTGTCACTCACACAGAGTGGGGCTGAGATCAGTCACTCACAGAGTGGGGCTGAGATCAGTCACTCACACAGAGTGGGGCTGAGATCTGTCACTGAGGATCAGAACATATTCCTGAATTTTTCAACTGATCAAAATTCACAGTGTACTATAAACAGGAAATTCCACGGCTGAGCTCTCCCCTCAACATTAACAATCAGATAACAGCACTGGAGGCCATTGCTGGGGCTCGCTCCCCCACTGGGGCTCTCTAACCCCATTCCCTGCTCTCTCTCTCTCTCTCTCCCCCCATCGTGTCTGTGCTGGGGCTCGCTCCCCCACTGGGGCTCTCTAACCCCATTCCCTGCTCTCTCTCTCTCTCTCTCTCCCCCCATCGTATCTGTGCTCTTGCTTGCTCCCCCACTGGAGTGAGGAGCTGTGTTTGATGTGGGGGGGTGGCACTGACTGGGCACTGACCTGACACAGGCAGCGGAGGCATGGGTTCTGGGTTGGTTGAAATTCCTGACCGTCCACCAGTGTCTGAGCCTCATACTCGCACTGCTCACACCTACAACACAGCCACAGTGAGTCACAAAATCCTTGCCCACCTCCTCACCCCTCACATACACACACCCTCTGACCCCCCTCTCCCACACATACCCCCTCACCCCCTCCCCCCGTGTGCCCCCCACTGGCGGCGCGTGCTCCGAGCCCCAGGGGTTGTGGCTGTTGTCAGGCTGGGTACCGGGGGCAGCAAGCTCCGGGGCTCCTGATGGGTGACCTGCAGGGTGTGTGTGGGCAGGTCAGCGGCACACAGCGAACAGCCCCGGCCTGCAAACAGGCAAACCCGGGGAGCAGGTTAGTCAATGTTTCACTGCCCCCAAAAACCCCACCCCAGCCACCCACCCCACCCCAACCATCCCCCCCACTCCAGCCATCCCCCCCACTCCAGCCACCCACCCCACTCCAACCAGCCCCCCAACCCCAACCAGCCTCCCCACCCCAACCATCACCCCCACCCCAACCAGCCCCCCCACTCCAGCCATCCCCCCACCCAGCCACCCACCCCACTCCAACCAGCCCCCTCACTCCAGCCACCCACCCCATCCCAACCATCTCCCCCACCCCAGCCATCCCCCCCACCCACCCACACCACCCCAACCATCTCCTCCATACCAACCATCTCCCCCACCCCAGCCATCCACCCCATCCCAGCTATCCCGCCCACCCCAACCATCTCCCCACACAAACCATGCCCCCCACCCCAACCAACCCACCATCCCCCTGCCCTCCCCCCACCCCCACCCCCACCCCTGGCTCCCAAATGACTGATCTCACCTGACAGATGCACTGAGCACAGTGGTCAGTATTGGACACAACCTCTTCATTCACATAATCTTGACCATTGTACAGGCAGCCTGCCAAGAGAGAGTGTGTGAGAGGGACACAGTGTGTGGGTGTGTGAGAGAGAGAGAGGGTGTGTGAGAGGCAGAGAGCGTCAACAATAAGAGAGTGTGTGTGAGAGAGTGTGAATGTGTGACAAGGAGGGTAAGAGAATGAGAGTATGAGATATGAAGTGAGAGAGAAACACACAGAGAATGAGAGAGTGAGTGAAAGTGAGAGACAGAGAGAATGACAGAGTTTTTTGGTCGGCCGAGTGTGTAACACATGCGAAAACCCATCACCATGCCAACAGCGCTGCGGGATCTTTAACGTTAATCACAGGGCACAGACAGGAACTCGGTTTAACATCTCAATCAAAAGATGGCGACTCCAACAATGCAGCACTGCACTGGAGTATCAACCTCGTGCCTGAGGGTGTGTCTCACCTGTGGGACACTGCGGGCAGCACTGGTCAAGTCGCTGCACGGCGTGGGGGCAGGTTACCGGCTCACACCGCACAGGGGAACAACGCACCAGATTGTCCTGCACCCACAGAGAGCATTAGAGTCAGTAACACAGCGATACACAATATACACTTACAGCCAGTAACACACTGTGTGTTATTACATAATATACAGTTATAACCAGTAACACACTGTGTTATACAGTTAGAGGGTCTGCGTTACTCACCACACAGGAACAATTCATACAGGGGTTGGCCTTGGACAGGAAGAGGTCTCCATTGACATGGTGCTCCCGCTCATACTCACAACCTGACAATAGCAAACACCCAGTCACTCACAGCAACCAGAGGACACTGTGTCTCTAACCCTGACCTGGGAGTGTGGACACACAGTGTAGAGGAGCTTTACTGTGTCTCTAACCCTGACCTGGGAGTGTGGACACACAGTGTAGAGGAGCTTTACTGTGTCTCTAACCCTGACCCTTGACTCCAGGACCACTGCTGTCCTGACAGAATGTCTGTCAGACATCAAGTCCTGGATGAGAACTAACTTTCTTCAGTTGAACGTCAACAAGACCACGACTCCTGATTGGCTGCCATTAGTGCCTCCTCACTTCAGGTGCTGACAGCATCACCATCCATGGGGCTCACTCCCCCTCACTGAGCCAGTTCGGAACACTGGAGTCTTGTTTGACCCTCAACTATCCTTTCTACCCCACATCTGCGCCATGACCCGTTCTGCCTTCCCCCACCTCCGCAACATCAACCGGCTCCACCACTGTTTCACTCCACAGGCCACCGAAACCCTCCTATGATGATATTCATGATATTCAGGCTCGACTATACAAACTCCCTGCTTATCGGCCTCTCCAACTCCTCCCTCCGTAGGCTGCAGAGCATCCAGAACTCTGTAGCCCGTGTCCTCTTCTGCACCAGGCTCCGCGACCCTATCACCTCCATCGTCTTCCGACTCCACTGTCTTTCCATCAGACGGATGCAGTTCAAGATCCTGGTCCTCACCTTCAAAGCCCTCCATGGTCTCGCTCCCCCCGGCCTCTGCCACCTCCTAACCCACTGGCAACCTGCCCACTCCCTCCACTCAGCGGGCTCCGGCCTGCTTCAAGTCCCCCACCTCGCTCACCCCACTATTGGTGGACAGGCCTTCAGCCACTTAACCCCCATCCTCTGGAACTCCATCCGCAGTCCCTCTGCCTCGTCCCCTGCTGACCCTCCACTTCAACCTTGCCTTTCATCACACTCCTTCCTCCCTGCCTTCCACCCTCCCTGATCCCAACCCCCAACTCGGGTCTGAAACTCTGACTGTGCAGCACCTTGGGACGTCCTCCTGACGTGAAAGGCGCTTTACAAATGTAATTTTGTCGTTGACCTGGGAGTGGATGTATAGTGTAGAGGGAGCTTTACTCTGTCACTAGCTCTGACCTGGGAGTGTGGACGCAGTAGAGAGGGAGCTTCATTCTGTCTAGGACCACCCATTAGGGCTTTGGATGCAGGGTTAACAGGAGCTGAGGGGGAGGATTTCTTGTCCCCAGTGACTGGTCGGCCTTTCCAGGTCCTGCTGATGAGCCAGGCCAGGCTGTGCTGTCATCGGCAGTGAGTGGCCTGGGATACTGTAGCCCCTCCTGGCTCAGGAACCAGTGTAGAGACCGGCACAAAGGGGGGGGGCGCGATTCTGATATTCCGTTACCAAACATGTCACCTTAGAGCCAGTTCAGCCCTGAGGAGCAACCCCCCCCCACCGGGAGGACAGTGGCTGTACTGGTGGCTTGTGGTGACAAAGCTCAGTGTGTGTGTTACCTGGACGGCAGACAGGGCAGCACTCTCCCTCGGGTGTGAACTGCTCCAAACAGCTCAGACTTAGGCACTCGGCTTCCACACAGCGCACGTGGCCATCCTACAGCAACAAGACATCGGTCACTCACTGCCCCACAGCCTCTCACACATGGGCAGCAGCACATTCCCTGCGCTACAGATTCTGGGAATCCCGCGAGTACATTGTGACTGGATTGACGATGCCCACCTCGTCAGACAAGGTGTATTTATATAGCGGCCTTCACGACAATCACATCTCAGAGCAACGGGAGAAAGACAGGGTGTATTTACAGTGAGAATAAGACATTCCACTACACTTCACAGTATATCCTTTGAAGCACTGTGAGATAAGGGGTTGTGTCAAATGCAACGATTATAATCTTACACCAGATACATCACCTTTTGACATCATCAAAATATCTCCAAGCAGTTAGTTGTCAGGATCATGGAGGGTTAAGCTGCGATACCAGTGCTCGGTTACTTCAACAGTCAGTCACCAGGAGCTGAAACCTCAGCTAATCACAAACAGCAATTAATGGGAATTGAGTGACAGGGCCTTCACACAGAGGCCGGTGGCGCTCTCGCACACAGCAGAGCATGTCGTGCTGGCGCTGGGAATGAGCCGTGGCCAGACCCCTCCCCTGGCACTTCCCCCCCGGCACCCCCCCACCCCCTCCCACATCTCTGACCTCTTACCTCACACAAGCAGGATTTACAGCGATCTGGATTCCATGTCTCCCCATGGACTCTCCCCCCCACACAGTCTGTAAACAGAAGGAAACACCCCGGTTAAAGACACAGTAAACTGTCTACACTGTCCTTCCACAATCCCAGGTCAGGATTAGAGACACAGTAAAGCTCTCTCTACACTATGGGGTCAGTGTATGTGTGTGTGTGGGGGGTGGGGGGAGGTTTGGTCAGGGTGTGTGTGTGTAGGGGGGTCAGTGGGGTGTTTATGTATAGGGGATGTGTGAGGGAGTGTATCTTTGGAGGGGTGTGGAGGTGTGTGGGGCGGTTACTCACCGGTGCAGGTGGGACAGCACTGGGAGGGGCTGGAGGCTGAGCAGGGTGGGGTTGGAGTTGAGGGGCACGGGAGATGGGTACAGGAGACTGCACCGCCTTGGCACACGCACAGCTGACAGCCCACATGCCAACTGGTACCCTCAGTGTGGCTCATCCCCATCTCATCAATACAGCCTGCGAGAGAGAGAGTGTGAGAGTGTGTGAGAAAGTGTGAGTGTAAGATTGCAAATGTGAGAGCGAGAGACTGTGAGAGAGTGAGTGAGAGAGAGAGACACATAGAGTGGTTGCGTGAGAGAGACACAGAGAGAGTGTGAGAGAGGGCATGAGAGAAAATGTAAGAAATAGAAGTGCGTGTGTGAGAGAACGTGAGAGTGAGAGAGAGAGAGAGAATGTGAGAGAAAGTATAAGAGAGAGATGGAGACACCCGAGTGAGATTGAGAGTGAATTAGAAAGTTGACACACAACATCTTGCATTTCTAAAGCGCCTTTCACATCAGGAGGACGTCCCAAGGCACTGGGACAGAATGTGAGAGAGAGAGAGTGAGAGAGAGAGAGAGAGAGAGAGAGGATGAGTGAGAGCACCCAATCTTTCAGATGGCCACAGTGATTGAAATCTGGGGATACCCACCACCCCCACCCGAGTGAATCTGGGTCAGCCTAACCCCACACACACACGACCAGACACACAGGCACACACGCAAAGAGACACACATATACAGACAAACACATACATACAAACACATGTATACAGACACGCAGACACATACAACAACAACAACATTCCATTTATTGAGCGGCTTTCACGTCGGGAGGACGTCCCAAGGCGCTGTACAGTTGGGTAAGGACCCGAGCATTGGGGAAATGGTCAGGGTGAGGGGAGGGAAGGGAGGGAGCGAGGAAGGGGGAAATGGTCAGGGTGAGGGGTGGGAAGGGAGGGAGCGAGGAGGGGGTAGAGAGTCGAGAGGGGAGCTGAAGGCACTGTCAAAGAGGAACGTCTTGAGACCGGCCTTGAAGGAGGAAAGGGAGGAGGCGGCGAAGGCACTGGGGATGGAGTTCCAGAGCCTCGGGGCTGAGAGGCTGAAGGCCCGACCACCGATGGTAGGGCGGTTGGGGCGGGGGACGTGGAGCAGACCGGAGCCAGAGGAACGGAGGGTACGGGCAGGTAGGTAGGGGATAGTAGGTTGGAGAGGTAGGAGGGAGCAAGGCCGTGAATGGCCTTGTAGGTGAGGATGAGGATCTTGAAATCAATCCTCTGGGGGATGGGGAGCCAGTGGAGGCGAGCGAGGGCGAGGGTGAGGGTGGGAGTGATGTGGTCGCGGTGTCTGGTGCGGGACAGTACACGAGCTGCAGAGTTCTGAATGACCTGCAGTGTGTAGAGCGGTGCCGGGAAGGCCGGCGAGGAGACACACACACTCACATGTGGACAAACAGAGTCACACATGCAGACACACACGGCCACCGTACACACACATATAGTCACACAGAGCCATAAACACAGCCAAACACACACACAGAGACAGACAGAATGACAGGAGCTGCCCTGTAACCAACCCTGACACATGACATGGCTGCCTGTGGCTCTGTCATACCACTCGGTGAAGCAGGAACCACAGTTTCGGACGTGGCACTCAGCACTGGGGAAGCCCACACACCGGGAATCCCGACACAGGTCAGGGCAGGTCACTGGCAACGTTCCCACCGGACACCCGGAATACCAGTGCAGCTCAAAACAGAACCTGCGGAGAGACAGAGAGAGGAGTCAGTGTGTATGTGGGGGGGGGGGGGGGGTGGCTGTGTGAGTTTGTGTGGGCGGGGGTGGCTGTGTGTGTATATGGGGCGGGTGTGCTGTGTGTGTGTGGGGCGGGTGTGCTGTGTGTGTGTGTGTGTGTGGCACGGGGGTGCTGTGTGCGTGTGGGGCAGGTGTGCTGTGTGTGGTGTGTGTGCAGGTGGGGGAGGTTGGTTACCTGAGATCAGGAGTGACGGGCAGCCACAGCTGGTCCCTGACGGAGGCGATGTTGGGGACGTAGTTGTTGTCGAAGGTGTGGCTGAGGGTCCAGGTCTCCTCCAGCCGCCGCACGGTGCTCTCCGGCTCCAGCTCCTCGGTGAGCAGCCAGGTCTGGAGCAGCCACCAGCGCGGGAGGGGGGTGAGGGGCGGGCAGAGCCTCCGCATGCCGGCCAGCACGCCGGGGCCAGCCACGCTCAGCTGCTGCTGCACCAGGAAGTAAAACCTGCGGTAGTGCGGGCCGTGCCGGAAGGAGTTACAGCTGTCCTTGTCGTAACCGGCCACGTCGAACCCAAACACATCGAAGCCTTTGGCGTCCAGGCCAAAGCGATCGAACCCGTACAGGTTATAGCCCCCGGGGAACAGCCCGGACACGACCTCCTGCTGCACGTGGGGCAGGTAGGTGCCGTCCCTCCGCATGCCGAACGCAGAGACCCCCGAGCGGTTGAAGCCGTAGCGGTCGTAACCCGACACGTCAAAGCCGTCCGTGTCCACCCCGTCCCGGTTAAAGCCGTCACGGCTATAGCCGAGCCGGTCCCAGCCCGACCGGTCATAGCCGTCCCCGTCATAGCCCTGCCAGTCACAGCCTCGCTCGTCATAGAGGCCGCGAGGCAGGGGGGCCGTGGGGGCCACGGGGCCCGTACCATTACACGGAGCGCCCAGCGTGACTGGCACGTACACCGTGCACAGCTGCTGCCGCGAGAGCAGCACTCCGTCCGGAGCCACATCGAAGGGCTTCATCTTGAGGTAGCGCTGCTGAGGCGGGAAGGTGGGCAGCCCCTGCCCGTGTCGCTCCTGCCACACGCTCCACAGCTTGTCCACAAAGGCGTAGTGAGACAGGAAGAGCGGGTCGTAGGGGCTGAAGGGAGTGGCCATGTGGCCGCCCACCCAAAGGTGGAAGAGGCCGGATACCATCTCCAGCTGCAGGGAGAAGCGGCTGAAATCCTCCTCGGCCAATAGTAACTGCAGAGTCACGGCATCCGGCAGGGAGATCGAGGTGTTGAACCTGCGGCGGAGGCAGGGCTGCCACGGGTTGGCGTCCCTGAATGGGTGGTAGGTGACACAGTCGGTGCCTGGCTCCCCATCGCCCCCGAACATGCTGCCCTGCCAGGCGCTGGCACTGTGCAGCGCTCCGGCCTCCAGCGGCCACTCCAGGTAGGGGATGCTGATGTCACATGAGACCTTCTGCAGCTCGAGCTCCACCGCCCGCAGGAAGGCCCGGTGCCAGGGCAGGAAGGTACTGCGTCCACAGGCCTGCGGCAAGTACTCGGCCCGCAGCCTGGCAAAGTCCTCCCACATACCTGCCACACACACACACACAAACACAGCCGTCGTTATCATCATATCAAGAACAACTTGCATTTACGCAGCACCCCTCACACGGGATAGCATCGAGGAGCACCGGCGGAGTCTGACACAGAGCCAGGGGAGAGGGAGGGGGCGCGGGGAGGTGACCGTAAACACGATCAAAAAGATGATGACATCACCATCATCGTCACTACAGCACCGTGACAGACAGGCAAGCACACAGAGAGACACACACGCACACACACACACACACACACACAGAGACAGACACACAGAATGGATACCGTGCTGGAGGTAGAGGGTGCGGATGGCATGCTGGTACAGACTGGCCTCCTCGGGGCTCAAGTCCCGGATCTCCTTGCGTTGGTTGATGTGCCGACAGCTGCACTCCACGGAGCCGGTGAAGCTGCAGACACAGACCTGGCAACCGGCCTGGAAGGTCTCTCCGAGATGGTAGGAGCGGCCTGAGAAGATGCAGCCGCAGGGTTGCCCACATGGCACGTCCTGGCAGCGCCGGCCGGGACTGAAGCTCACCACCTCCTGGCTGAGGTGTGGCTGGTGCTGGAGCTGGCACTGAGCAAGGGACAGGTGCTGGCAATGGTACTCTGTGCGGGCAAACAGCCCCAGGTAGTTAAAGCCCTGGCTGTCCTCTCCCCGGCAGTCCAGTCCCACCCGGCTCAGGCCCTCCCTGGTGTAACCGTGGGGATTGAAGTCGTGCCGGGTGTCGTGCTCCCCAGCCCGGTTATACCCCGTCAGGTTGTAACCGGTGTCGCCGTGGTAACCATCCCGGTCGTAGCCGTGCCGGTCGTGCCCGGATTTGTCAAAGTCCCGGCCGTCGCTCAGGCCGCTGTAGATCTCCCCTCCGGTCCTGAGCAGGTCTGGGCTGTTGAACGCCGGCCTGGTCCTACCCTCGCGGTCCACACCGGACACATTGTAGCCGTACCTGTCATAGCCCTCCCTGTCGTAGCCGGGGGTCATCGCCGTCGTGCTGGGCCGGCGAGAGCAGCAGGCCCCGATCACGCACCGTCGCTCACACGCCTTCCGGCTCACAAAGTTATTGCCGTTTCCTCCACAGCCGCTGAATACCAACTCCTCACAGCGGCCAGTCTCCCAGCGGTAAAACCAGCGTCTCTCCGGCACCCCCGAGCCCCCCACACACTGCCCCTGTAACACCGCCAACCAGCACACCTGTAACACAACCACAGAGGGAGCTCGGCAACCAGCAACACACCAACCACTGGAGCTCTCTACTCTAACCCCATCCCCGCTCTCTCTCTCTCTCTCTCTCCCCCATGGTGTCTGTGCTGGGCTCTCTCCCCCACTGGAGCTCTCTACTCTAACCCCATCCCCTGCTCTCTCTCCCCATGGTGCCTGTGCTGGGGTTCGCTCCCCCACTGGAACTCTCTACTCTAACCCCATCCCCTGCTCTCTCTCCCCATGGTGTCTGTGCTGGGGATCGCATGATTTGGCCTGAAGTCAGCATTGAGTCCAGGAGCTGCTCTTCTCCACATACACACACTTACACATCGACTCCCACTCATTCGCACACACACTGACTTGCACACACACCCACACAGGCGTTACCTGGGTGACGGGCCTCTCACACAGGCGGCCTGTGGTAGTTGGGGGACACTCGCACTGAAACCCTGGGCTGGGCCTGGGCTCGGAGGTCACAGGCCGACAGGTGCCCCCATTCAGACAGGGGTTAGAAACGCACGGATCTGGGGAACAATCACAGGATAGAGAGAACCAAAGACATCACCATGGCAACGGCAAGTGCCCAGCCAGTAAAGGGGGCAATACCTGAGCTTATACCCTAAATGTTCATGTTTATTGTCCATTAGCGGTATAGATAGGAGCTTTACTGTCTCTAACCCTGACCTGGGAGTGTGGACGCACAGTGTAGAGGGAGCGTTACTGTGTCTCTAACCCTGACCTGGGAGTGTGGACGCACAGTGTAGAGGGAGCGTTACTGTGTCTCTAACCCTGACCTGGGAGTGTGGACGCACAGTGTAGAGGGAGTTTTACTGTGTGTAACCCTGATGGACAGTGGGGGGGGGGGGGGAGTTTTACTGTGTGTGTAACCGTGACGGACAGGGTGGGGGGAGTTTGATCTCAGTGTGTGTGGGCTGGACATGGTTCTCCTGGGTGTGTGTGTATGGTGTGTTCTCACCGCGACAGAGGGGCGAGTCTGTCCGTGTGGAGCAGGTCACTTGTCCCCGAGCACAGACACAGATGCTGCACTGATCGGCATTCCACTGGCTGCCGTTCCTGTACTCCCGGCCCTTCCACAGGCACAGGGACACCTGGCACTCACACTCCTCCAGCCTCCGCACTCGCTCCCTCAGCTCCACGTTCTGAGCACAAGAGACGGCAACAACAACTTGCATTTATATCGCGCCCTTCACGCGAGGTAGCACTCCGGAGAGACAACAGCCACCTGAGCAACACAGCCTGGAGCAGAGACCCAGAGCCTAATCCACTCAATCTCTCTCTGCCTCTATTATGTGTTTAAAGAGAGAGCGTGTGTAATAAAAGAGAGTATGTGTGTGTAATAAGTCAGAGAGACAGTGCGAGCCTCACCTCTGTGCTGTTGCTTTGTTATAGCCAGGTGTAAGGCGAGATGTCGGGGGGGCGAGGTGTGAGGTAAGGTGTCGGGGGGGCGAGGTGTAAGGCGAGGTGTGAGGCGAGGTGTGAGGTAAGGTGTCGGGGGGGCGAGGTGTAAGGCGAGGTGTGAGGCGAGGTGTCGGGGGGCGAGGTGTAAGGCGAGGTGTCGGGGGGGCGAGGTGTAAGGCGAGGTGTCGGGGGGGCGAGGTGTAAGGCGAGGTGTGAGGCGAGGTGTGAGGTGAGGTGTGAGGCGAGGTGTCGGGGCGAGGTGTGAGGCGAGGTGTCGGGGGCGAGGTGTGAGGCGAGGTGTCGGGGGGCGAGGTGTGAGGCGAGGTGTCGGGGGGCGAGGTGTGAGGCGAGGTGTCGGGGGCGAGGTGTGAGGCGAGGTGTCGGGCGGCGAGGTGTGAGGCGAGGTGTCGGGGGGCGAGGTGTGAGGCGAGGTGTGAGGTGAGGTGTGAGGCGAGGGGTCGGGGGGCGAGGTGTGAGGCGAGGTGTGAGGTGAGGTGTGAGCCACTGTTGACCTACCTGAGCTGTGAGTGTGTTCAGGGTGAGGGTGAGGCTCTGGATGCTGTTGGCCAGGCTCTGGAGCTGCTCCTCGAGCTGGGGGCCGGGGGGCCGGGGCCCGTGGAGATGGGGGTTGGTCTCACTCCGCTGCTCCTGGGACTGAGCTCTGTCTGAGACCGCAGCCTTGGCATTAAACCCCACACCTGGTTCAGCATTGAACCCTACGTCTGCCTCGGCATAACGTTGCTCAGCCACAGAGTACGGCAACGGCAACGAATCTGGGAACAGGACACAGACGCAAATCCCTCCATGAGTTAACCTCCGTCCACTCTCCCCCGACATCCCACACACTGTGTGTGAGTTTGCGCGTGTGCGTGTCAGGCCAGTGTCACACTGACATGAATGGAGCTTTGTCTGGTGTGAGCGGATGATTTGGTCAGACGCACTGACCCCTCACCCGTCACAACAATTAGCCGAGAATGTGTCAACCTGCGAGAGGCCGAGTACGAGCCTGGCCGGGCTGTCCCCCCCCCCACCCCACCCAGCAACCCCACTCCTCACCAGGCAGGTTGTCGCAGTGCCAAGGGCGCTGAAGGAATCCACTCGGTGATATCTCAGCTGTCTGCCAGTAACCCTGTCACACAGAAAGAGAATGTGATCGACAGTGTGAGTGAGTGTGTAGCCGGTGTGTGTGAAAGAAAGTGTGAGAGACAGTGTCAAAGTAAGAGAGAGTATTTGAGAGTGAGTGATAAAGACAAAGAATGTGACGGGGAGTGCGAGAGAGATTCAGTGTAAGACAAGGAAGTGAGTGTAAGAGAGAAAGCAGGGAGGGTGGGGGCAGCTGGCACCGACCCCGGAGAGAGGGAGTGTGAGAGTAAGAGTGTGAGGGAGACCGAGGCTGTGTTGGTCCAGTGAGACTGGGCTGAGCTCTGACACAGTATCTCTCTCACTCTCTCTCACAGTTGTCTTTACCGTGAACTTGCTGGCACGGTTGCCTGCGGTGCTGGCGAAGGTGATCTCCAGGTCGAGGGGCAGTGCCAGGCTCAGCCCATCGTCCCGGGCGCTCTTCTCAAAGTGTACGGCTTCCTGGCAATCTACAAGCAGCGTAATGCGGTGAGGCTCCAAGGTCAGTGCCAGCCGCCCCCAGCCCCCGAACGGTGTGCCCCCGGGGAAGAGGATGGAGGCGGGCGCCAGGCCGCGCACTGTGCGGTACTCCAGCCGCAGTTGGTTGGTATTGGTGCTGGAGAGGAGTCGGAGCAGTGGCTGCCCGTCAGCACGGCCCACCGATGGGGCGGTGAAGGAGATGACGGTGGCGTCTGAACCCCGGCTCTGCCGTGCCACCAAGTGCAATCCCATCATGCCATTCATGGAGCTCAGGAAGTAGATGGCGTAATCCCGCGGGAGCGTCAAATGTGGTACTCGGCTGCGGAACTTCCAGGCGGGAATGCCTGGCTCCATTCCCTCTCGTCTGCTCACCCCCCGGATGGGTTTGGTGATGTTCAGGGCTTCCAAGAGATCGATGACTGTTAGAGAGAGAGGGTCAGTACATCACAGTCAGGCCTCTGACTCCTCCGTGGGAGGTGGGGTAGGGGGGGTGAGAGGTAAGTGAGGTCTCCTTGGAGCTGAACTGGCTCCAAGGTGACATATGGAGTCCTGTAGCTCAGTGGTTAGCGCACTTGCCTCGCAAGTGAGAGGACCTAGGTTCAACCCCCATCTCCAGGGCGAAACCTTGGGCAATTTTCCTTACTCAGTACCTAGCCGTTAAGTAGGAGCCCGCTTGTTAGTTGATTCGAGGATTGCTTTTCTGGGGTAATCCTTCCAAAAACAGTAATAATTTGATCCCTCAATTCACGGCTGGTTATGGGACACTGCTGTGCGCACATGGTTGCCACATTTCTCCCTCAAAACCTACAGCCAATTCACTTTGCAGTATATTCTGTGAAGCACTTCTAGACGCCCCGAAGACTAAAGCACGACATCAAATGCGAGTATTATTATGATGTTTGGCAATGGAATGTTGGAATCAAGCCAACCTCTGTGATGGTCTGTAGCCGGTACATGAGCCGGTAGGGAGTCCGCAGTACTCCAGGGCAGCGCTAATGACACGACAGCCCAGCCTTGCTCTGTTGGGAGCGCTCTTGCTTCTGGGTGTAAAGCTCGTGGGTTCAGCCCCACGTCAGGAGCTTGAGCTCACAGCCCAGGCAGACACAAGGGTGGAGACACCTCACTGTCGGAGACACCGTGCTTTGAGTGAGACCTTAAACCAAGTTGGCGTCTGTGCCTGTTTAAGGTGAGCGTTAAATATCCCGCACACTGTTGGACAAGAAACACGAATCACTCTCCTAGTGCCCTGGACGGCAATAGTTCAGGAGAGTCCCACCCTGCATTTATGTAACCCATTGACAGCAGAGACACACACGCAGTCTCCCCCTCCCCCCTCATTCAGCCAACAGTGACAATATCTCCACGCCTGACCTCACCAGAGAAATGTGTCAGATCGAGAGAGAGATTCACAGAGACAGAAAGACAGAGACTCAGAGAGAGATTCACAAAGAGAGAGACACGCGCACCCTGAGAGAATCCCGGAGACACAAAGGGAGATTTATGGAGTCACAGAGAGAGATTTATATAGAGACAAAGAGAGATTCACGGAAAGAGACAGATTCACACGGAGGGAGGGAGTTAGGGAGATGGAGTCTGGGATGGGCCCCACTCTGTGTGGGAGTTCGGTGCTGGGGATGGAGTGAGGATCTTGTTTGGCTGGGGTTTCAGTCTGAGCTCACTGTAACCCGACCCTCATCTTGTTCCCCTGGAAATGGCCAGGGGCATGGGGCGGGGGTGGGGGAGGGTCCCAGTGCAGCTGCTGAACAGCTGTTCCCAGTTACTCACATTATAGTGAACAAACAGTGACTGAGTATTCCCCTCACTCCCCTGCATTGCCCTCACTCCCCAGGCTCCACTGGCTCCCCATCTCTCAGCACAAGATCCTCACCCTCACCTGTAATCCCCACTATGCCCTCGTACCATTTGTCCAATGTCTTCCCACCCCACAACTCCCTCAGTTTGCTGCATGTCCCCCACACTCTACCCCTCCCAATAATGGCCAAGCTTTCCAATTCTACGCTTCAAACTCTGCAGCAGCAACAACAAGAAGATTACATTTGTAAAGCCCTTTCGTGTCGGGAGGATCTCCCAAGGCCTGGGCAGAGTTACGACCCGAGCTGGGGTTCGGGGTGGGGGAGGGTGGAAGGCAGGGGGGGAAGCAGGGAGATCAAAAGCACAGTCGAAAAGGAGGGTCTTTAGATGGATCTTGAAAGTAGGCAAGGGAGGGGGCGAGGCGGAGGGACTGCGGGATGGAGTTCCAGAGGGTGGGGGCAGAGTGGCAGAAGGCCCACCCGCCAACAGTGGGGCGAGCAAGGCGGAGGACGTGAAGCAGCCGGAGCCCGCTGAGCGGAGGGAGTGAGCAGGATGGTAGGGGGTTAGGACGTCGCAGAGGTCGGGGGATCAAGACCATGGAGGGCTTTGAAGGTAAGGACCAGGATCTTGACCTGTATCCTCTGTGTGATGGGGAGACAGTGGGGTCGGGCGAGGATGGGAGTGATAGGGTCGCGGAGCCTGGTGTGGGAGAGGTCACGGGCTGCAGAGTTCTGGATGATCTGCAGCCTGTGGAGGGAGGAGTTGGGGGCCGACAAGCAGTGAGTTTGCATAGTCAAGTCGATGTAATGAAGGCATGTACGAGGGTCTCGGTGGCCTGCGGAGTGAGACAGTGGGGGAGCCGGGCGATGTTGCGGAGGTGGGGGAAGGCAGAGCGGGTCATGGCACAGATTGGGATAGAAAGGATAGTTGAGGGTCAAACAAGACCCCAAGGTTCGGGACTGGCTCAGTGAGGGGGAGTGAGCCCCATGGATGGTGATCTGTCAGCCTGAGGTGAGGACGCGCTGACGGGAGCCAATCAGGAGCCTCGGTCTTGTTGACGTTCAACTGAAGAAAGTTACTCTCATCCAGGCCTTGACGTCTGACAGACATTCTGTCAGGACAGCAGTGGGTCCTGGAGTCAAGGGTGGGGGCAGAGAGGTACAGTTGGGTGTCATCCCAACCACCCCCTCAAGTCCACTGTCTACCTTTGCTCACCCCCTACCCGCTCACATCCACTCCACCATGGCACAGAGCTCTGAGGGATTACTGTACCTCAAGGCGCTGGTGAATGGTAATGGTGATGTTGATGTTGATCATGTGGATTTTGATGTTGTTAAAGGTAATCATGTCGATATTATTGATGTTCATGTTAATGTTAACATTGTCATTGATATTTTTGATGATAATGTGTTGATGATGTTCTCCCAAAAAATATACAGTCACTACACTTTACAGTATATTCTGTGAAGAGATTCGAGACATTTCAAAGACTTGATAAGGCGCTGTATCAAATGCCAGGATTATTATATTATTAATGATATTGTTGTCAATGATGTCGTTATTGATGTTGTTAATGTTGTTGGATGTCATTGTTGATGGTGGTGTGCGCGAGAGGAAGGCTGTAGCACAATGTGACACCAGCACACACCGAGTGACACAGGGAGGCACAGCTCGCATGTTCACACATGGTATCAAATTCCCGTCTCACCTCAACCATTCCCTGCTCTCTCTCTCTCCCCATGGTGTCTGTGCTGGGGCTCGCTCCCCCTCTGGAGCTCTCTACTCTAACCCCATTCCCTGCTCTCTCTCTCTCTCCCCATGGTGTCTGTACTGGGGCTCGCTCCCCCACTGGAGCTCTCTACTCTAACCCCATTTCCTGTTCTCTCTTCATTCTTGTCTGTGCTTGCTCATCAAGGGTTGTCGAAGTGCTTCCTAGGGTTCACTGTAAAGTGTAGTGACTGTATGTTTTGTAGAGGAACGCAGCAGCCAGTCACACTCAGCAACATCCCACAAAGTGAATGACTGGTAATATTTGGGGGATAATCATCCAGGAACCAGGCTCTCTCTCTCTGAACCAGTAATCTTGCGGGATCTTCAGCGTCCCACTGACCAGGCACGGAGAGGAGCTTGGTTAATGGCTTCTCCGAGCCCCTTGACAATGTGGTGCTCACCCAGCCCTGCGCTGGAGCTTAGCTCCCGATGTGGGGTTCAAACAACATTTGTCAAGCGCCTTTCACATCGGGAGGACGGCCCAAGACACCGACCGGGTAGTCAGGGATCACAAGCTGCTAAACTGGAGACTGAGCATATTATACATTAACACCTCCCTCTCCCCAGAGCATATTCACTGGCACCCGCGCGCACTGGCACTGAAGCACACTCACACTGAGGCACACTCGCTGACACACTCACACTGAGAGCACACTCGCTGACACACTCACACTGAGAGCACACTCGCTGACACACTCACACTGAGAGCACACTCGCTGACACACTCACACTGAGAGCACACTCGCTGACACACTCACCATTTTCCTGGTACTGATAATGATCAGAGATGTGAGCACAGCTCCAGTGCCAACACACACACACCTGGAGCAGCAGAACCAGCGCTGGCGGCCAACACATCATCCCAGTCCCGATCTGTCCTCCTCACACCATCAAACCTGCACCCGGTCCCCAGCCCCCACCGCTCCCTCCCTCTTCCCCCTGGGATGGCAGTCCCCTCCTCTGGGATGGCAGTCCCCTCCCCTGGGATGGCAGCCCCCTCCCCTGGGATGGCAGCCCCCTCCCCTGGGATGGCAACCCCCTCCCCTTGGATGGCAGCCCCCTCCCCTGGGATGGCAGCCCCCTCCCCTGGGATGGCAGCCCCCTCCTCTGGGATGGCAGCCCCCTCCCCTGGGATGGCAGCCCCCTCCCCTGGGATGGCAGCCCCCTCCCCTTGGATGGCAGCCCCCTCCCCTGGGATGGCAGCCCCCTCCCCTGGGATGGCAGTCCCCTCCTCTGGGATAGCAGTCCCCTCCCCTGGGATGGCAGCCCCCTCCCCTGGGATGGCAGCCCCCTCCTCTGGGATGGCAGCCCCCTCCTCTGGGATGGCAGTCCTCTCCTCTGGGATGGCAGCCCCCTCCTCTGGGATGGCAGCCCCCTCCCCTGGGATGGCAGCCCCCTCCCCTGGGATGGCAGCCCCCTCCCCTGGGATGGCAGCCCCCTCCTCTGGGATGGCAGCAGTGTTCTCCCCGGAGTACCACAATCTGTAGGAACCGCAGTGGAGCAGAGACACAGTGCAGTGCTGTTCGCGGGACAGAAACACTACACAAAGTGAGAAAACTTCCCAGAAAGTTTCTCCCAAAGTGGGGGCGGAGCTCAGGGGCTCCACACTCAGCCTCGGTTAAAGGGACCAAACCTGTTACACAGCTACAGTCAGCCTGTTACACAGCTACCGTCAGCCTGTTACACAGCTACCGTCAGCCTGTTACACAGATACAGTCAGCCTGTTACACAGCTACAGACAGCCTGTTACACAGCTACCGTCAGCCTGTTACACAGATACAGTGACACTCAGCCCGAGTGGGAAAAGTGGTGTAAGTGAAGTTGGGTGTCAAGAGTGGAACAGGCGATGTGGGCTGAATGGCCTCCTGTGCTGTGAGATTGTAGTTACAGAATCATCGGCCGCCACCGGAGGGCGATACAGGACCACAGTCTATTTATTTTGGTTACTGGGTGTCATAGACACACAACCCCATCACCGTGACCGGCCGAGTGTCCGTCACACCCACAACCCCATCACCGTGACCGGCCGAGTGTCCGTCACACCCACAACCCCATCACCGTGACCGGCCGAGTGTCCGTCACACCCACAACCCCATCACCGTGACCGGCCGAGTGTCCGTCACACCCACAACCCCATCACCGTGACCGGCCGAGTGTCCGTCACACCCACAACCCCATCACCGTGACCGGCCGAGTGTCCGTCACACCCACAACCCCATCACCGTGACCGGCCGAGTGTCCGTCACACCCACAACCCCATCACCGTGACCGGCCGAGTGTCCGTCACACCCACAACCCCATCACCGTGACCGGCCGAGTGTCCGTCACACCCACAACCCCATCACCGTGACCGGCCGAGTGTCCGTCACACCCACAACCCCATCACCGTGACCGGCCGGGTGTCCGTCACACCCACAACCCCATCACCGTGACCGGCCGAGTGTCCGTCACACCCACAACCCCATCACCGTGACCGGCCGAGTGTCCGTCACACCCACAACCCCATCACCGTGACCGGCCGGGTGTCCGTCACACCCACAACCCCATCACCGTGACCGGCCGGGTGTCCGTCACACCCACAACCCCATCACCGTGACCGGCCGGGTGTCCGTCACACCCACAACCCCATCACCGTGACCGGCCGAGTGTCCGTCACACCCACAACCCCATCACCGTGACCGGCCGAGTGTCCGTCACACCCACAACCCCATCACCGTGACCGGCCGAGTGTCCGTCACACCCACAACCCCATCACCGTGACCGGCCGAGTGTCCGTCACACACACAACCCCATCACCGTGACCGGCCGAGTGTCCGTCACACCCACAACCCCATCACCGTGACCGGCCGAGTGTCCGTCACACCCACAACCCCATCACCGTGACCGGCCGAGTGTCCGTCACACCCACAACCCCATCACCGTGACCGGCCGAGTGTCCGTCACACCCACAACCCCATCACCGTGACCGGCCGAGTGTCCGTCACACGCACAACCCCATCACCGTGACCGGGCCGCGTGTCGGTCACAGGCAGAAAACCGTGCTTAAAAGTCTCCAAACCAGATTGGGAGCTCCATGTCTGTCACGGACATATGTTGTGGACTGACCCAGTGGGGAGGGGGGGAGCGAGCGAAGGGGGGAGCAGAGGTCAGGGGGGTTTTGTGCAGGACAAACACTGGCTTTCACTATGAAAGGCACTGTCAGCCTGTGTTGTCAGCTCACAGCTATGTGCTGACACCCGGCTCCCTTTCTGCTGAGTCTCAGCTCCTCTCACTGCCTCATTGTCCTGCCAGCGAGGCACCTTTCCCCCAGCCTTCAGCCCTGCTCAAAGACCAGTGGTCACCCTCCAGCCCAGCGGTCAGCCTAGCCCAATTTTCAGCTGGCCCAGCACAGCCCAGGGTCAGCTACACCAGCATACACCAGTGGTCAACCCAGACCTGTCGTCAGCCCAGCCCACACCAAGGTCAGTCTGGCCCAAAGGTCAGGTTGTGCACAACCAGGAACATAAAGGGGGTCAGACGGCTTCGGACACTGTCTGAGGTTGGAGGGAGCGGAACTTGCAGTGACAGGGAGCGAGTCACTGAGCTGGACCCCGATGTGGATCTTGATCTGCTCACACATAGCGAAGGCTCCAGTCTCCACATCAGCCACATAAGGTAACATACTCCCTCCCTCACCAACCACATCGTCAGGTATTCACAGCACCGGCCTCGCCCTACCTGCCTGTGTGCACACGGACAATGTAGAGGGAGCTTTACTGTGTCTCTAACCCTGACCTGGGAGTGTGGACGCACAGTGTAGAGGAGCGTTACTGTGTCTCTAACCCTGACCTGGGAGTGTGGACACACAGTGTAGAGGAGCTTTACTGTGTCTCTAACCCTGACCTGGGAGTGTGGACACACAGTGTAGAGCGTTACTGTGTCTCTAACCCTGACCTGGGAGTGTGGACGCACAGTGTAGACAGAGCTTTACTGTGTCTCTAACCCTGACCTGGGAGTGTGGACACACAGTGTAGAGGGAGCGTTACTGTGTCTCTAACCCTGACCTGGGAGTGTGGACGCACAGTGTAGAGGGAGCGTTACTGTGTCTCTAACCCTGACCTGGGAGTGTGGACACACAGTGTAGAGGAGCTTTACTGTGTCTGTAACCCTGACCTGGGAGTGTGGACACACAGTGTAGAGGAGCTTTACTGTGTCTCTAACCCTGACCTGGGAGTGTGGACACACAGTGTAGAGGAGCTTTACTGTGTCTCTAACCCTGACCTGGGAGTGTGGACGCACAGTGTAGAGGGAGCGTTACTGTGTCTCTAACCCTGACCTGGGAGTGTGGACGCACAATGTAGAGGAGCTTTACTGTGTCCCTAACCCTGACCTGGGAGTGTGGACGCACAGTGCAGAGGGAGCATTGGTTCTGGTCACGTCAGTATTGGAGTTGGGGGTCGCGCTGACATTTACTGGCTGACAACTTGTTCTCCCGGCTGCAGCATGGATGGAAACATGGAATTATCAGAGATCGCACAGAAGCTGTGGGACAGCGATGTGAACCGGCTGCAGCCTGGCAAAGATTACAGGATCTCTCTGCAGGTAACCGTCAGTCATCCTGACTACCACCGCCATGCCCGGCATCACTGGGTCACACCGGGCCTTCAGCCCGTTATGTTCATCTCAATACGTTTGGTAAGTCGCTCCACGGCTGTATGTGGGGACGCTGCTGTGCGGAAATGGCTGCCGTGTTTCCCCCACAAAATAGTCAATTCACTTTACAGTGTACTCTGCGAAGCGCTTTTACAACGTCTTGAAGACGTGACAAGGCGCTAGATCAAATGCAAGGTTTATTAATATCATCATCATTATTATAATTATTATTATCATTAACGTGTGCCCCCGATGCCCCGGCCTGAGCGGATTCTCAGGGGTAAGAGGAAACTTCCTGTCTGTCCTAAAGTTGTTGTCACCCCCTGACCCGCGGCTCCCGTGTCTGGGGATGTGCGACCCCATTGTTGTGAGTTTATTTTCTCACTGAGCAATAATAGCATTGTAACAGCATTCAGTGCGGGCGCTGCTCCACCCCCCACACACACACACTCCCTGCACACTGTTCCTTTTTACATCTCCATCTCACTTCAAAGCTAATCCGGATCCTGTCTGGACCGCGGCCCCCGGCTGACATCCCACATGCTAACGGCTCTGTGTGCGGAAACCTTCCTCCTAACCTCACGCTTCACTGACACCTCCTGCTCTGTCTCTGTGACAGGGGAAAGCCGGACAGGCACCGAGCAGCCAGGACACGGAAAACCGAGCACCGCTGCCACTCTTCAACTACGTCAACGAGGAAATCTTCAAGAAGGAAACGTTTTCCGGTAAAAGAGACGTCGTCACTGAGGCTACCGGCCGCCCCCCGTCTCCCCGTCTCACACACACACAGCAACACTCAGGCCCACAGTAAGCACGATGGGGCCCGGGGGCCGGTGTGGATGGGGCCCGGGGGCCGGTGTGGATGGGGCCCGGGGGCTGGTGTGGATGGGGCCCGGGGTAGATGGGGTCCGGTGTAGATGGGACCTCGGGGGCCGGTGTGGATGGGACCTGAGGGCCGGTATAGATGAGTCTCCCCCCGCCCCCCAGCCCATGGATACTCACCCTCACAGAGACAGACAGAGAGACAGAGTCTCCCCCACCCCCCGGGGCCGTGGCTCTGACTATGAGGTGAAGCTCGTTTTTCCCGCCTCTGCCGCTGCTATCCCAGCAGAGCCCACGCCTCGCATCCGCGTCCCGAGCCGCTGGGCCGTGCCTCACTGTCTGTCACTGTCTGTGTCACCCTGTCTGTCACTGTGTGTGTCACCCTGTCTGACACTGTCTGTGTCACCCTGTCTGACACGGTCTGTGTCACCCTGTCTGACACGGTCTGTGTCACCCTGTCTGACACGGTCTGTGTCACCCTGTCTGACACTGTCTGTGTCACCTGTCTGTGTCACCCTGTCTGTCCCTCTGACTCTCTCGCTGTGCCGTGCCCCAGCCTTTATCTCGCTGCTGGATAACTATGTCGCTGACACCGGGGAACCCGAGGTGGTCACCGCACAGGAGGAGCAGGAAAACCACCGCTTCCTGGACGCTCTAATGGAGACGCCCGTCCTGCAGGTGAGCGACTGTCTGTACACACAGTGTTGGGTGTAGTGACTGACTGCAGGAGCCCGGTGTAGTTACTGTTCACTCCTCGCCTCAGATTGCTCACAGTTACCTGGTGAAGAAGGGACAGGCGCAGGCCAGCAAGGAGAAGTTCAAGCAGCAGCTGTATGACATCTGGTTCCGCCTGTACGCCCGGAGAGGTTCCAGTCAGTAAGTCACGGCTCAGCCACTCGCTGTCGCTCCCGGCTCCAACACGGTCCTGGGTTTGAACCTCATCCAGTCCCTCTGAGCTCAAAGCACTCGACTCGCAAGCGAGAGGACCTGGGTTCGATTCCCGGGCAGGCAGAAACCCTAACAAGTTCCCTTGATCCACACGCCACTGTTTAATCAGCAGTCAGTAGGAACCCGGTTGTTAATCGATTGGTGGATCGTTTTTCCGGGTGTAATAATCCCTCCAAAAAAAAAAAAGACAAATTTAAAAAATGTGGTCACTCAATCCACAACTGTTTGTGGGACACTCCTGTGTGCAATTGGCCGCTGCATTTCACCCACAAAATATAGTCAATTCTCTTTACAGTATATCCTGTGAAGTGCTTTGAGACATCTCGAAGACGTGATAAGGCGCTGTATCAAATGCGAGGATTATTATCATTAAACCGAGCTCCCGCCTGTGCCCTGCAACACCGTTGGAAAAGAGAAGAGCGTTTCTCTCTCTCTCCTGGTGTCCTGGCCGACAATTTACCCTGTGCCCTCTCCCGGGCTCTATACTGGGGGAGCTGACACCGGGACAGTGTGGTGGGGGCTGCCTCGCAGTGGGTGGGGGCGGGGTGGTGGAGTATGTGTTCCTCACCGGCTCTTCCCTCTCGACAGGCCCGACTCCTCCGGTTTCGAGCACGTGTTTGTGGGGGAGACGCGAGGAGGCCGCACGGTCATCGGTTTCCACAACTGGATCCAGCTGTATTTCCAGGAGAAGCTCGGCAACGTGGATTACAAGGGCTACGCCTTCCAGAACAGCCAGGTGGTGGTGAGTGCCAGTCCGTCCCGGCACGGCACAGCCCCGCGCAGCAATCAGTCACGTCACAAATCGGTTTCTTATATTAATTCTGCTTATTTCTCCCTCTCTCCCCTCCCCCCCTCTCCTCCTGTCTCTCACCTCCCCCCGGACTCACTCTCTCCCCCACCGTGGTCTCTCTCTACCCCATCTCTCCCCTCCCCCCTTCTCCTCCTGTCTCTCCCCTCCACTCCTGTCTCTCTCCTCTCCCCGTCTCTCTGTGTAGCCGGATGAGAACAAGCACCTGATCACGCTGCAGTTTAGCTGGAAGAAGGGGATTAAGCCTCGGGGAAGCTGCTTTATTGGGGTCAGCCCGGAATTCGAGTTCGCTCTTTACACCATCACGTTCCTCAAGTCCTCAGCCGAGCGTAACAAGCTGACGTTCAGCCGCTACGAGGTGGAGATCGTGTGTCACAGCACCAACAACCGGCACATCGAGACCACCTATCCTATTCTCCTCCGCTACCTGTAACCCCCTCCGCCACCTGTAATTCACTCCACCCTCTGCATTCTCTCTTCCCCCCACCCCGTCTCTCAGCACTAGAACCAGGAGTAGACCATTCAGCCCCTCAAGCCTGTTCCACCATTCTGGACAATTATGACTGATCTGTACCTCAACTCCTGTTCCACCCCCCTACAGGCTGCCGTCCTCTCAGGGATCGCTCTCAGGGCTCACAGTCGCCTGGCCAGCTGCTCACTGTTTATCAGGGATTCTTTCTGCCGGCAGGAAATAAAACATTGACAACGTCTCACACTCAGGTCTGTCCCGAGTTACAGCAAGTGTGACAGTGTGTGAGAGGTAAAGCGGGTGTGACAGTGTGTGGGAGCTCAATTGGCTCCAAGGTCTCAGACCCTCACGGGTGAGGGGAGCAAGTCAGTTGTGCTCCTGCCCCCCTTCTCTCGTGTTTGCGATAAATCCAGTCAGTCAGGTGGCGGTGTTTGGAGTACTGGCTTTATTGATGGGCGACACACACACACACACACTCAGCCGAGCAGCCACGCACTGCAGGAGCCCAGCCGGTGAGATGGTCCCTTCAGTTCTGGTGAGTTTCTCATCCTGTCCGAGCATACACTCCATTCCGGGTTCCCAGTCACTGCTCCCTTCAGCCTCCCAATGTCTCTCACCTGACTGATTCCCTTTAAGCGTGGGGGAGGGGGAGGGTAGGTCAGGGCTCAGTGCCGGAGAGGTGTTTGGGGAGACATGTTGCTAGGTCGGGGGGAATTGTGCAGCTGAACGCGAGGTGGGGGGGGCTATGAGGATTCCTGTGGTCAACAACAACAAATTACATTTGGATAGCACCTTTCACGCCAGGAGAACGTTCCAAGGCGCTGAAAGGAACGTTATTAAGCAAATAGCTTCTTCTGTTCAAAGTAAGCTTCAAAGCGAGTCACAGCATAGTCCTGCAACAAGAGAGAGATCTCAGGGAGCTGGTCATTCACTGGGCAAATTACCCCACACCCCCACCACAACCTCCATCAACCCACCTCAGCCTCCTACACACACCCCCACACACCCTGTACCATATCCACACACTCTCCATCCAACACCCCTCCTCCCCCCTCCATCTCAGCCTCCCCAATATAACCTTACACCCCCCCGCCGGGCAGTGACAGTCAGACACAGGAAGCCACATACCATGTACCCGAACTGGATGGTGGAGATCTTGGCCTGGAGAATGGCCCAGAGGCCCCACAGGTAGTGAGAGGCCAGAGCAAACCTGAGGGGAACAGAGAGAGAGAGTGAGGAGCCACAAGCACGGTCATACAGAGCAAGGCGCCAGTGAGGAACACAGGTACCCGGTGTATCCCCATGTCCCCTACATGAGCGGGGGACACTGCTGTATCTCCAAGGCTGTTACCTATTGACCTCGATCAGCATGTCCTGCTCGTCCGAGCCTGGGGGCTGGTGCTGGTCTGTGAGCTGCTGTCCCGTCCTCCCCGAAGCCTCGCACAGATAGTGACGCAGGAAGTGCAGCTGTGAGCAAGTGGAGACACCGAGAGTCAGGCACTAAGACCGGTGGATTGACACCCCCTTCCCCTCACACATCCCCACCTCACTCCCATCTTTACACCCCCTACAACACCCACCCCCCCCCACCCACCCTGAACTCACACACCACAATCACACTCCCCTCGCCCACCGCCAGCCTCCCCAACCCGACTCCTTGTCATCACCCCCCTGACACAGTGCTACCTGTTGCTCTCTGGTGGGGTATTTTTGGATACTGGCTGTGAAGAATGGCCACTGGTCATACGTGTAGTCATACATCCACTCGCAGAAGTGATTCCCCATGTCAAAGCCCCTGGAAACACACACTGCACATCAGCCTCCGACAGGGACTGGGATTAGAGTAGAGAGCTCCGGTGGGGGAGCGAGCCCCAGCACAGTTACCATGGGGAGAGAGAGAGAGCAGGAATTGGGATTAGAGTAGAGAGCTCCAGTGGGGGAGCGAGCCCCAGCACAAACACCATGGGGAGAGAGAGAACAGGGGATGGGGGAGGGGTGGGAGAGAGAGAGAGAGCAGGGGATGGGGTTAGAGAGCTCCAGTGGGGTAGCATTACCTGTAGTTATAACTGCTGTACTCAAAGTCGATTAGCATGAGCTTGTCGGGGGAGGAGGGTTCCCTGTTCTCCAGGAGGAGGATATTCCCTGTGAGAGGAGGGAATGCGGTCACTGAAGGTTTATGAAGCCTGCTCCCTCCACAGCCTGTAGTGATGTCAGTGCTGCAGTGAGGACAGGGTTCAGACCTGGGTTAGATTCCAGTCACTGTAACATCCCCTCCATTTCCAGTCACGACCACAACCCAGTTTCCCTCCCACCCAGTGCTGAGCCTTGCCACACCCCCACAAGCGAGAGGACCCTGGTTCGATTCCCAGGCAGGGCATAATGTTAGGCAAGTTTTTAGTCTACATGCCTTTATTTAACTAGCAGTAAGTAGTAATTAGTCGATTAGTGGATCGCTTTCCGGGGGTAATAATCCCTACAAAAAATAAAATAATAATGATAATGTGGTCACTCAATTCACGACTGTTTGTGAGACACTACCTTGTGCAATTGGCTGCCGTGTTTCACCCATAAAATATGGAAACTTCACTTTAGAGTATATTCTGTGAAGCGCTTTGAAACGTCTTGAAGACGTGATAAGGCGCTATATCAAATGCGATTAACATTATTACTATCATTGTGTAAAGCTGTGGTGTGGGGAATGTCTGTCCCAGAGTAACACTCAACAGGAGTTTTTTCTTAAATAAATTGATGTTCTTTGCTCCAACCACAGCTTCTGGCAGTGAGTGAGTTCCACACTCTCACACCCGCTGTGTGAAGACGTCCCTTCTAATCTCCCTGTTAGATTTGGCTATAGGATTAACAGGAGCTGAGGGGGAGGATTCCCTGCCCCCAGTGACTGGTTGGCCCTTCCAGGTCCTGCCGATGAGCCGGGCCAGGCTGTGCTGCCATCAGCAGTGAGTGGCCTGGAATACTGCGGCCCCTCCTGGCTGAGGAACAGGACTAGAGACCGTCAAAGAGTGTGGGAGTGATTGCCAAACATGTCACCTTGGAGCCAGTTCAACTCCAAGGAGACCCCAGGGAGACAGAGAGCGATATGTGAGAGAAAGAGCGAGAGATAATGAGAGAGAAATGTCCCTGTGACAGAATGAGTGAGGAGCTCAGTGTTTGTGCTGGGAGCTTACCTTCCTGACAGTCGTTGTGACAGAACACCACAGGTGAGCGAGTGCTGAGAAGCAGAGACCTTCAAGATGGAGGAACAGGTTAAACAGCGAGGCCAAGATTTCCTCCTCACAGGAGCGGTTCAGCCAGAGACACTCCATCTAACCTCGTCTGCTCCCGTCACAGCATTGAGCACAGTAACCACAGCCCAGCCATTAATTCCCCACCTTTGTACATCTGCCCTGAACCTGCCCCTACCCTCCACCCTCACCTTCCCTGAAATCACACCAATCACACACTGACCTCTCTCTCTCTCTCTCTCTCACACACACACAGACTCTCTCACACACACACAGACTCTCTCTCACACCCAGACTCACACACACAGACTCTTTTTCACACATGGACACACACACACACACACACGCTTTCTCACCCACATACAGACCTCTCTCACACACAGGCGCTCTTTCACCCACACACAGCGAACAACAACAACTTGCATTTATATAGTGCCCTCCATCGCCGGGCAGCATCTCAGAGCTTAGCAAGGCCGAGGCCGAGCCAAGGGAAGGGGAAGGTGACCATGGGAAGGTTGAAAAGGAAGGTCTTCAGGCGTGACCTGAAGATGGGGAAGGAGGGGACGAGGCGAGGGGTTGAGGGAGGGAGTTCCACAGTTTCAGGGTGTAGTGGCTGAAGGCACGGCCACCGATAGTGGAGCGGAGGATTCGGGGGATGCGGAGGAGGCCGGAGCCAGGAGAGCAGAGGCAGCGGGTACTGCTGTGGGGAGAGAGGAGGTTAGAGAGATGGGGGGGCAAGGAATGGAGGGATTATACACTAGAGTGAGGATCTTGAAGTGGATCCGCTCTTTGACAGGAGCCAGTGGGGTTTGGCCAGGACTGGAGTAATCGGGGTACGGAGGTTGGTGTGGGCTCCATCTATACACACACTGTCTCTCTCTCTCTCTCGCACCCACACACACTGTCTCTCTCACTCTCACACACAGACTCTCTGGCTCACTGCTATGATAAACTGCAGTAAAATCCTCACTTCAGACTGGCCAGCTCTGCCTCCAGGTTGTAGCTTTTCAGTTTGTTAAACTTCTTCACGTGGGCTTCCCTGGTGAACGAGAGCTGTGAGATCTGCTTCAGGTACCTGATCGGACAGACAGACAGACGTCACCGTGGTGCGCCTTGCCATGGGGTGTGTGGTGGCCTGTGTGCCTCCGCCTCGCCGCTTCCCTTGCCACTTTCAAGACCCATCTCAAGATCCTCTTCTTCAACCATGCCTTCGATCTCCCTGATTCCCCCCCTGCCCTCCACCCTCCCCAACCCTGAAACACTGTCTGTCCAGCACCTTGGGATGTTCTCCCGACGTGAAAGGGGCTTTACACATGTAATTTTGTTGTGTGGTAGCCAGACAGAGTGTATGAGGGTATGGAACCTGCCAGCAGTGAGCTTACATTAGACTCTGCCCTCGGTGTCAGGGACCGATACCACCCCACCGCACCCCCACCTCCCACCCCCCTATACGGATCGCTTTCCAGGGGTAGCAATCCCTCAATTACACGGCTGTTTGTGGGACACTGCTGTGCGCAATTGGCTGCCGTGTTTTGCCCACAAAATACACGGTCACTACACTTTACAGTATATTCTGTGAAGAGCTTTGAGACGTCTCGAAGACGTGACATCAAATGCAAGGATTATTATTGTTATTATTATTGGTATTAGTATTATGATTAGTATTAGTATTATTAGTAATATTGGTATTACCTTTAGTGATTGTATTATTATTATTGCTATTGTTAATAGTATTGTTATTATTATTGTTATCATTATTAGTATTGGTATTGTTAGTATCATTACCTGTCCATAGTCTCAAACAGCCACTTTGGCTCCTTGTTGAAGGGCATCACCATGGCGTGGAATCGCGACATCTTGACAGCAATCTCTGCGGAGATGTCTGGCAGCCCCAGTTCGTGTGTCAGCAACCGGCGGCTCTAAGACCAGACACACAAGGCCGGTCAGCGGCCAAACACCAACACCCCCTCCCAGCACAGCCCATACACTCACTCACACCAACACCCCCTCCCAGCACAGCCCATACACTCACTCACACCAACACCCCCTCCCAGCACAGCCCATACACTCACTCACACCAACACGCCCCCACTACAACCTACAGGAATGTACTGCTCCAGGCGCCCATGTGGGAAAACACCGTACAATCTTGGTCCCAAGGCTCGCTCCGCCAGCACAGCGAACATCACACTCTCCAATACCAGAGAGTCCACACCCTGAGGGCAACAACAGCTCATTACCTCAGCAACTTGTGGGTATGGGGAGATTATTGTTGGGGCTGCGGTTCGGGGTGGGGCTGCGGTTCGGGGTGGGGCTGCGGTTCGGGTGGGCTGCGGTTCGGGGTGGGGCTGCGGTTCGGGGTGGGGCTGCGGTTCGGGGTGGGGCTGTTGCTGACCTGCAAGATGGCCCCGTACACACGGAGTAGGACTTGCCGCGGTTCCTCACCCACACTCAGCGTTTGTGAGACACTGCCTTGTGCAATTGGCTGCCGTGTTTCACCCATAAAATATGGAAACTTCACTTTAGAGTATATTCTGTGAAGCGCTTTGAAACGTCTTGAAGACGTGATAAGGCGCTATATCAAATGCGATTAACATTATTACTATCATTGTGTAAAGCTGTGGTGTGGGGAATGTCTGTCCCAGAGTAACACTCAACAGGAGTTTTTTCTTAAATAAATTGATGTTCTTTGCTCCAACCACAGCTTCTGGCAGTGAGTGAGTTCCACACTCTCACACCCGCTGTGTGAAGACGTCCCTTCTAATCTCCCTGTTAGATTTGGCTATAGGATTAACAGGAGCTGAGGGGGAGGATTCCCAGCCCCCAGTGACTGGTTGGCCCTTCCAGGTCCTGCCGATGAGCCGGGCCGGGCTGTGCTGCCATCAGCAGTAAGTGGCCTGGAATACTGCGGCCCCTCCTGGCTGAGGAACAGGACTAGAGACCGTCAAAGAGTGTGGGAGTGATTGCCAAACATGTCACCTTGGAGCCAGTTCAACTCCAAGGAGACCCCAGGGAGACAGAGAGCGATATGTGAGAGAAAGAGCGAGAGATAATGAGAGAGAAATGTCCCTGTGACAGAATGAGTGAGGAGCTCAGTGTTTGTGCTGGGAGCTTACCTTCCTGACAGTCGTTGTGACAGAACACCACAGGTGAGCGAGTGCTGAGAAGCAGAGACCTTCAAGATGGAGGAACAGGTTAAACAGCGAGGCCAAGATTTCCTCCTCACAGGAGCGGTTCAGCCAGAGACACTCCATCTAACCTCGTCTGCTCCCGTCACAGCATTGAGCACAGTAACCACAGCCCAGCCATTAATTCCCCACCTTTGTACATCTGCCCTGAACCTGCCCCTACCCTCCACCCTCACCTTCCCTGAAATCACACCAATCACACACTGACCTCTCTCTCTCTCTCTCTCACACACACACAGACTCTCTCACACACACACAGACTCTCTCTCACACCCAGACTCACACACACAGACTCTTTTTCACACATGGACACACACACACACACGCTTTCTCACCCACATACAGACCTCTCTCACACACAGGCGCTCTTTCACCCACACACAGCGAACAACAACAACTTGCATTTATATAGTGCCCTCCACGCCGGGCAGCATCTCAGAGCTTAGCAAGGCCGAGGCCGAGCCAAGGGAAGGGGAAGGTGACCATGGGAAGGTTGAAAAGGAAGGTCTTCAGGCGTGACCTGAAGATGGGGAAGGAGGGGACGAGGCGAGGGGTTGAGGGAGGGAGTTCCACAGTTTCAGGGTGTAGTGGCTGAAGGCACGGCCACCGATAGTGGAGCGGAGGATTCGGGGGATGCGGAGGAGGCCGGAGCCAGGAGAGCAGAGGCAGCGGGTACTGCTGTGGGGAGAGAGGAGGTTAGAGAGATGGGGGGGCAAGGAATGGAGGGATTATACACTAGAGTGAGGATCTTGAAGTGGATCCGCTCTTTGACAGGAGCCAGTGGGGTTTGGCCAGGACTGGAGTAATTGGGGTACGGAGGTTGGTGTGGGCTCCATCTATACACACACTGTCTCTCTCTCTCTCTCTCGCACCCACACACACTGTCTCTCTCACTCTCACACACAGACTCTCTGGCTCACTGCTATGATAAACTGCAGTAAAATCCTCACTTCAGACTGGCCAGCTCTGCCTCCAGGTTGTAGCTTTTCAGTTTGTTAAACTTCTTCACGTGGGCTTCCCTGGTGAACGAGAGCTGTGAGATCTGCTTCAGGTACCTGATCGGACAGACAGACAGACGTCACCGTGGTGCGCCTTGCCATGGGGTGTGTGGTGGCCTGTGTGCCTCCGCCTCGCCGCTTCCCTTGCCACTTTCAAGACCCATCTCAAGATCCTCTTCTTCAACCATGCCTTCGATCTCCCTGATTCCCCCCCTGCCCTCCACCCTCCCCAACCCTGAAACACTGTCTGTCCAGCACCTTGGGATGTTCTCCCGACGTGAAAGGGGCTTTACACATGTAATTTTGTTGTGTGGTGGCCAGACAGAGTGTATGAGGGTATGGAACCTGCCAGCAGTGAGCTTACATTAGACTCTGCCCTTGGTGTCAGGGACCGATACCACCCCACCGCACCCCACCTCCCACCCCCTATACGGATCGCTTTCCAGGGGTAGCAATCCTCAATTACACGGCTGTTTGTGGGACACTGCTGTGCGCAATTGGCTGCCGTGTTTTGCCCACAAAATACACGGTCACTACACTTTACAGTATATTCTGTGAAGAGCTTTGAGACGTCTCGAAGACGTGACATCAAATGCAAGGATTATTATTGTTATTATTATTGGTATTAGTATTATTATTAGTATTAGTATTATTAGTAGTATTGGTATTACCTTTAGTGATTGTATTATTATTATTGCTATTGTTAATAGTATTGTTATTATTGTTATCATTATTAGTATTGGTATTGTTAGTATCATTACCTGTCCATAGTCTCAAACAGCCACTTTGGCTCCTTGTTGAAGGGCATCACCATGGCGTGGAATCGCGACATCTTGACAGCAATCTCTGCGGAGATGTCTGGCAGCCCCAGTTCGTGTGTCAGCAACCGGCGGCTCTAAGACCAGACACACAAGGCCGGTCAGCGGCCAAACACCAACACCCCCTCCCAGCACAGCCCATACACTCACTCACACCAACACCCCCTCCCAGCACAGCCCATACACTCACTCACACCAACACCCCCTCCCAGCACAGCCCATACACTCACTCACACCAACACGCCCCCACTACAACCTACAGGAATGTACTGCTCCAGGCGCCCATGTGGGAAAACACCGTACAATCTTGGTCCCAAGGCTCGCTCCGCCAGCACAGCGAACATCACACTCTCCAACACCAGAGAGTCCACACCCTGAGGGCAACAACAGCTCATTACCTCAGCAACTTGTGGGTATGGGGAGATTATTGTTGGGGCTGCGGTTCGGGGTGGGGCTGCGGTTCGGGGTGGGGCTGCGGTTCGGGGTGGGGCTGCGGTTCGGGGTGGGGCTGCGGTTCGGGGTGGGGCTGTTGCTGACCTGCAAGATGGCCCCGTACACACGGAGTAGGACTTGCCGCGGTTCCTCACCCACACTCAGCACAGCCTCGGGCAGCGAGCACAGGTACAGCAGGTTACTGAGCCCCCCACTGAGAGAGAGAGAGACACTGGTCATCAGCGCGTCGCAGGGCAGCCCAACACAGCAGCCTCAGCTCACGCTCCCCTAATCACCCCCAATCCAACCCCAGCTCCCCACTCTCTCCCCCCCAGTCTAACCCCACTCTCTCCCCCCCAGTCTAACCCCACTCTCTCCCCCCCAGTCTAACCCCACTCTCTCCCCCCCAGTCTAACCCCACTCTCTCCCCCCCAGTCTAACCCCACTCTCTCCCCCCCAGTCTAACCCCACTCTCTCCCCCCAGTCTAACCCCACTCTCTCCCCCCCAGTCTAACCCCACTCTCTAACCCCACGCAATTTGTTTTTGTTGTTAAGTGTCCACCTCAAAGATGATATACTATAATACATTGAATAATCCTTACATTCAGTACAAGCCCTTTCTTGTTTGGGAGGACTCTCCAAAGCCATTCACAGGAAGTGCTGTAAACTGGAGTGACTGTGTGTTTGTGGGTGAACGCGGCAGCCAATTGCGCAGAGCAATGTCCCACAAACAACCGTGAAGCTGTGAATGACCAATTTTCTTTGGGGGATTGTGGGCCCGGACACCAGGAACATAAGAAATAGAAGCAGAAGTAGGCCATTCGGCCCCTCGAGCCTGTGCCCCACCATTTAATAAGATCACGGCTGATCTTCCAACCTAATTCCATTTCCCCGCCCTATCCCACTATCCCTTAATCCCTTTAGTTTTCAAAATCTATCGATCTCAAGTCTTGAATATGTTCAAGGACTGAGCATCCACAGCCTCTGGGGTAGAGAATTCCACAAATTCACTACCCTCTGAGTGAAGAAATGTTTCCTCAACTCAGTCTCAGGATTAAAGGTCAGCCATTATGACCCCTAGTGTTAGATTCTCCAACCAGGAGAAACAGTTTCACACTATCTACCCGGTCAAGACCCTTAAGATTCTTATAGGTTTCGATAAAATCACCTCTAATTCATCTATATTTTAGAAATAAAAATAAAAATAAAAGAGAGAAACTCTTTTCAAATAGCGCTACATGAGGGCGATGGGCAAAGCTGGAATTCTTTATGCCATTCAGTGTACCACCTTCGAAAGGGAATTTCGATTTCAAGATCCTCTCACTCATTTTCAAATCCCTTCCTGTCCCGGCATCTCCCTAACTCTCAGACCTGCTTCCTCCCCAACCTACTAACCACTGCCTCCGGTCGACTAGCTCTGGCCTCCTGCTTGTCCCTCATCCCCTCTCCTCCACCATCGGTGGCTGCTCTGTCAGCCACTATGCCCTGAAACTCTGGAATACCCGCGCTCTATCCCTCAGTCTTCCCCATATTCAGGTCACGCCTGAAGACCTTCCTCTTCGACCGTGCCTACGACCGTCCCCCCCCCGGCTCAGCGTCGTGCTCCACCACTATCAAGTGCCCTGGGACCCCGCCCTGCATGAGGGTCGCTGTGTAAATGCAAGTTGCTGTTGTTTAGAGAGAGCTAAAGGTGAGCAAATCAGCAGAAAGTGAATACAGGCTGGACTTGGAACTGTGAACCTGGACAGGGCCAACTCATCACAAGGAAACGGTTCCTGTAAATTGCCAACTATGACTCAACCTCACACTGTGGATTGTGGCCAAACCTTCAGAAGAACTGATTCAGGAGATCAGTATCTATCAACTCACAACTGCCACCTGGACCTTTGCGTCAGGAAAGGAACAAAGTCAACACCTCACAGGGTCTGACTAGAGAACTGTACAAACCTGCGCAGTGGGCATCCACTGGCACGAATCACAGCCACAATCACAGCAGCTCACACAATATAATCTCCTGCCCATACACCTCCCCCTTCTCATCTCCAGTGTCAGCCCCTCGCACGCTCGCCCCAGGCCCTCGCACGCTCGCCCCAACCCCTCGCACGCTCGCCCCAGCCCCTCGCACGCTCGCCCCAGCCCCTCGCCCCAGCCCCTCGCACGCTCGCCCTAGGCCCTCGCACGCTCGCCCCAGCCCCATTGATAAACAGCAATAAATCTGTCCTGGTGTCTTGGCCAACAATCATACTAATTGAATCAACTCATGCTGTATGGATTAGTCTATATACAGGCATAATAGTAAATGCAAGGATCTGTATTAGAGCAAGCTGCCAATGTCATCTCAACTTGACAATAAGAGTAACCTTACATTTGGTACAGCACCTTTCATGTCTCATGGGGTCCTGAAGCTCAGTGGTTAGAGCACTCGCCTCACAAGCGAGAGGACTGGGTTTGATTCCCGGGCGGGTAGGGCGAGACGTTGGGCGAGTCTCCTTATTCCACACACACCTCGGTTTATCAGCAGTAAGTAGGAACCCGCTTGTTAGTCGATTGGTGGATCACTTTCCTGAAGGTAATAATGCCTTCAATATAATAGTCACTCGACCCACGACTGTGTGTGGGACGCCGCTGTGCGCAATTGGCTGCCGCGATTCGCTCACAAAATATATACAGTCAATTCACTTCGCAGTGTCTCCTGAGAAGCGCCGAAGACAGGATGAGGCGCCGACCGAAATGCAACGATTAAGCTTACAAGACGTCACAAGGACGTCTCAAAGCACTTCAGAGGATTTTCTGCGAAATATTTTGCGTGTGAGCACGGCAGCCAATTTCGCTCACCAATCGGAGAACTCCCGACCCATTGCAGCGCGGCACACGAGGCGGCTCCGACTCCGTGCGCTTTCGTTCTCACTAATAACCTCTTGCGCTGAACCTCCGAATGTCCGTCGAGACGACATCCATAGACGCTTCCCCACAACCGGCGTCAAACTGACAGGTCCTCAGTGACCCGGTTTCTCCCTCTCCTCACTCCTAAAATAATAATCCCAGCGTTTGACACAGCGCCTCATCACGTCCCCGAGACGTCTCAAAGCGCTTCTCACTGCGGTGGGAACGGACTGTGGGTTTTGGGGGCGAAACGTGGATAATAATAATAATAATAATAATAATAATAGTGACATTTGTGATGTTCCAAAATCCAAAGGCACAATTCCTGAATCTACCGCCAACTCCTCTGCAATGTCCTCTCAATGCCGGGAGGGGGGGAGGGGTCGGAGGGGTCCCAGGGGGAGGGGTCCCGGGAGAGGGGTCCTGGGGGAGGGTCCGGGAGGAGGGGTCCCGGGGGGAGGGGTCCCGGGAGGAGGGTCCCGGGAGGAGGGGTCCCGGGGGAGGGGTCCCGGGGGCGGGGTCCCGGGGGGCGGGGTCCGGGGGGAGGGGTCCGGGGGAGGATCCCGGGGGGGAGGGGTCCCGGGGGAGGGGTCCCGGGGGAGGGGTCGCGGGGGAGGGGTCCCGGGGGAGGGGTCCCGGGAGGAGGGGTCCCGGGGGGAGGGGTCCCGGGGGGAGGGGTCCCGGGGGGGAGGGGTCCCGGGGGGTCCCGGGGGGGGGGGTCCCGGGGGGGGAGGGGTCCGGGGGGAGGGGGGTCCCGGGGAGGGGGTCCCGGGGGGGTCCCGGGGGGAGGGGTCCGGGGGGGAGGGGTCCCGGGGGGGAGGGGTCCCGGGGGAGGGGTCCCGGGGGGGAGGGGTCCGAGGGGAGGGGTCCCGGGGGGGAGGGGTCCCGGGGGGAGGGGTCCCGGGGGGAGGGTCCCGGGGGGAGGGGTCCGGGGGGGGGGTCCCGGGGGGGAGGGGTCCCGAGGGAGGGGTCCCGGGGGGGGGGGGGGGGGGTCCCGGGGGGGGGTCCGGGGGGGGGTCCCGGGGGGGGTCCCGGGGGAGGGGTCCCGGGGGGAGGGGTCCCGAGGGGAGGGGTCCCGGGGGGGAGGGGTCCCGGGGGGAGGGGTCCCGGGGGGGAGGGTCCCGGGGGGGGGGCCCGGGGGGCACTGACCTGATGACTGAGATGCTGAACTGCTCTGAGGAGATGAGTTTCCAGGCTCCGGCCAGGAACTCCCGGCACCAGGTGAAGGCGCGTCCGCGGCTCTCGCCGTCCACCTCCTGACTGCGGCCCTCGCTGTGCTGTTCGGCCTCACAGTCCTCGCCGTTGTGCTGCTGGTGGCAGGGCCCCGGGGCCGGGCTCGGGCTCGGGGTCGGCACCGGCGCCGCGTCACCCCCGCGCCGCTCCTGAGCGTCCATCAGCCGCTCTGCCCAGAGCCGCGGCCCCGCCCCCTGACTGATGGACGGCGCCGCGCACCAATCACCGCGGGGTGCGGGCGGGACGCGGCGGGTTGGCGGGCGAGGTGTCCAATAGGAGGAGAGCAGCGCCCGAGCCGCCGCTCTATGGCTGGACACCGGCGGCTCTCCGCCAATCACAGGCCGCCAGTGGCTCGCGGCTCCTGATTGGCTCAGCGCCTCGCACACGTGAGGCGAGAGGGTGAAGTGGCGCGAACAGCCCAACAGTGACCCCTCACCCCCACAGCACAGGTACCAGCAGCGCTTCCCCCCCTCCCTCCCCCCCCCCGGCACAGAGCCCGGGGGGGGGGGGGCACAGAGCCCGGGGGGGGCACAGAGCCCGGGGGGGGCACGGAGCCCGGGGGGGGCACGGAGCCCGGGGGGGCGCGGAGCCCGGGGGGGGGGGCACAGAGCCCGGGGGGGGGCACAGAGCCCGGGGGGGGGAGGGGTCCCGGGGGGGGAGGGGTCCGGGGGGGGGAGGGGTCCCGGGGGGGGGAGGGGTCCCGGGGGGGGGAGGGTCCCGGGGGAGGGTCCCGGGGGGAGGGGTCCGGGGGGAGGGGTCCCGGGGGGGTGGGTCCCGGGGGGGGGGGTCCCGGGGGGGGAGGGGTCCCGGGGGGGAGGGGTCCGGGGGGAGGGGCACGGAGCCCGGGGGGGGCACGGAGCCCGGGGGGGGCACAGAGCCCGGGGGGGGCACGGAGCCCGGGGGGGGGCACGGAGCCCGGGGGGGGGCACGGAGCCCGGGGGGGGGGCACAGAGCCCGGGGGGGGGCACAGAGCCCGGGGGGGGCACAGAGCCCGGGGGGGGGCACAGAGCCCGGGGGGGGGGCACAGAGCCCGGGGGGGGGGGCACGGAGCCCGGGGGGGGGGGCGCGGAGCCCAGGGGGGGCACAGAGCCCGGGGGGGGGCACAGAGCCCGGGGGGGGGGCACAGAGCCCGGGGGGGGGCACAGAGCCCGGGGGGGGGGCGCGGAGCCCGGGGGGGGCACAGAGCCCGGGGGGGGGGCACAGAGCCCGGGGGGGGGGCAGGGCCCGGGGGGGGGGGGGCGCGGTTCTGACGAAGGACCCGAAACGTGGACTCGCTTTCCTCTCTCCATAGATGCTGCCTGACCCGCTGAGTGCTCCCAACCACTTCTGTGTCTGTTTATTATTATTGTTATTGTTATTGTTGTTGTTGTTTAATCCTGGGTTCACTTGTTCCAATTTGCTCACTGTGTTTCAGGTTGAAATGCCACGTAATGTTGAGATCAAAGCTCGTGTCCGAGCCGCGGAGCCTCTGGTGGAGAATGCGAAGCGCCTGAGTTGCTCAGAGGGGACCTTAATCCTCCAGGAAGATGTCTTCTTCAATGTGCCAGAAGGCCGTCTGAAACTACGTGACCTGAAGGTGAGTGACTGCACTGCCTGACACCGGCACAGCTTCAGCCCCGGTCTGCCCGGCTCACCCGCTCAAACCCACACTCCTCTGTGTCAGGAGTGTGTGGATTCCAGCCCCACCTTGGGGAGGGGAATCACTGTTCGCAATAATATTCCCGGCATTTGATATGTCTCAAAGCGCTTCATAGAATATACTGTGAAGTAACAGTGCATTTTGTGGGTGAAACGCGGCAGTCGGTTGCACACAGCAGCGTCCCACAAACAGTCGTGGATCGAGTGACCAAATTATTAGTAGTTTTTTTAAAAAAATTAAAATTTTTAAAGGGTTTTTTACTCCTGGAAAAGCGATCCGCCAATCGACTTAACAACCAGGTTCCTACTTACTGCTAAGATAAACGGGCGCGTGGAGTAAGGAAACTCATGGTGATCTGTGGGGTCTTGCTGTGCAGACCAGCTGCTGTGCTCCCTTCTTGCGCAGTTACAGGTGCCGGAGATGCTCCGTGAGGCCTGTGGGTGTGTAAAATCCTTGACGGGAATGTGAGGATTTTGTTAACCCTCTACCTGTTTCACACTGTTTTGGCAGGATGGCAGTGGACAGCTGATATTCTACCAAAGACCAGACCTGGGTGGTCCCAAACTCTCCGACTATTCCATCTCTCCCACAGCAGACCCCCAAGGACTGAAGGTGGGTACTTTTAGAGGCTGTCTGAGAGGAGGAGGGAGGTTTAGGCGTCTGTCCTGCTCAATTGTTAGCGCTCTCGCTTCTGAGTCAGAAGGCTGTGGGTTCAAGGCACATGTGGGAACTTGGGGTTCTTAATCTAGTCTGGTGCTCCAGTGGAGTGGGGGAGTGGGTGATGTGATTGTGTGTGGGGAGGAGGGTGCGGGTGTGTGATTGTGTATGTTGGGGGGGGAGCGGGGTGGTGTGATTGTGGTGGGGTAGAGCAGTACAGTGTGTGTGTGAGGGGTGGGGGGGGTGGGGATAGGCAGTGACATTGGCGTGTGGTGTGGGGGGGTGGGAGTAGCGGGACGATGTGCGTGTAGTGGGGGGGGGGTGGGGGGGAGAGTCTGACTGTAGCAGTGACATCGGCCTGTGTGATGTGTGTGTAGAAGGTGCTGATTGCTGCACTGGGGGTGAACGGCAAGGTGACGAAAGAACGGCAACTATTCCTCATTGGACAAACGCGGGTTCATGTGGATGAAGTGTCCGGGCTTGGGAGCTTCGTAGAGCTGGAGGTGAGACACTTTTACAATCACTGGATAATGCCACTACATCCTGAATCTCTGGGACTCAGCCTCAATCCTGCCATCTTGCCTCTTCTTTGCCTGTCTTCAAATCACATCTCAGAACTTCAACCGTGCCTTCAGTCACCTCCCCTCACCTCCACTCAGTGTTGAACCTCTGCTATCAAGGACTCCGACATCAGCCATCTGAAGGGCGTATGTAAATTGTTGTTCTGCCCCCACCCTTTGGAACGCCATTCCACAGTCACTTCGCCTTGCTCCCTCCCTTGCCTCCTTCAAGGCACGTCTCAAGACCCACTCCTTTGGCCAACCTCCTACCTCAGCCCTCCACCCTCCCTGATCCCAACCCTCAGCTCAGAATCCCCAACGGTCCAGTGCCTTGGGACGTCCTCCCGACGTGAATCTAATGTGTTGTTGTGTGGAATGAGGTGACCAGGGAGGAGGGTGGGGGGGGGGCGAGATGGAGCTAGTGATGGGGGAGCAGGTGTTGTTTTGTCTCTAAGTCTGTGTCTGTCCCTGAGGTGGTAATGAATGATGATCAGAGTGAGGAGGAGGGGGCGGCGATCGCTGAGCGGCTGATGGTTGAGCTGGGGATTCACCGGGAAGATCTCCTGACTGGGGCTTACGTGGACATGATCCTGGCTGACAAGTAGCTGACACCCGCTGAGCAGGAGAGGGAGGTCTCTAACCCAGGGCCGCTACCAGCCGCAAGGATCACCTATACTGTCAGACACAGAGGCGACAGTCTGTTACGGGGTGCACATACATGAACTGTTGCTGGGTGCTCACACACACGTGAACTGTTACGGAGTTTCACACTAATAAACCTGTATTATTGAAGAAATGGTTGGAAAGAGGGACAGCTCCGCTTCGCTCCTTTCCGCTGAAGTGACCAAATTATTATTTTATTTTTTTGAAGGCATTATTACCCCCAGAAAAGCGATCTGCCAGTCAACTAACAACCAGGTTCCTATTTACTGCTAGGTAAACAGAGGGGTGTGAAATAAGGAAACAAGCTGAAGGTTTCACCCTGACCTGCCTGGGAATAGAGCCCAAGTCCTCTCACTTACGAGGTGAGCGCTCTAACCACTGAACTACAGGACTCCACAAGTACTTCTAAACACAATTAGCATCGTTCTTCCACGTGTTTCAGTTGTTCAGTGCAGCTTAGTGGTTAGAGCTCTCACCGCATAGGTAGGAGTAAGTAGGAACCTGGTTGTTAGTCGATTGGCAGATCGTTTCTCAACAGTAATAATCCATTCAAAATAAATAATAATAATTTGCTCATTCAATTCATGACTGTTGTGGGACACTACTATGTGCAATTACCCACAAAATGTACAGTCACTGCACTTTACAGTATATGCCGTGAAGTACTTTGAGATGTCTCGAAGACGTGATAAGGCGCTATATCACTCTTGAATGGCCTTGTTCTAGTTTTCAGACTATTCCGCATTGTTATGGATTCCCCACCAGAGGAAATAGCTTCTCTGTATCTACCCTATCAAATCTCGTTATCATCTTAAAACACCTCAATCAAATCACTCCTCAACCTTTTAAACTCAAGGGAAAACAATCCAAGTTTACTCAGCCTTTCCTTGTAACAACCCTTTTAGGCCTAAGCATTGAGGGGGAAAGACTTGGTGTATGTGTTTCAGGCCCTCTGAGAGGATTGTTTCTGTTTGCAGAAGATATGGTACCTGCTGGCTCACCTGGGAGCCTTCTGCACTATCTTGAACACGGTGGGACATGATGGTGGGTACCCCCGAGGGTGGTCATGGTTCTGCACAGTGCAACAGCGAACGTTGAGGGTATTGATTGGGGCATCAATCCCAATTGTTGATTTGTATTGGTAACTAGTGTTCGTGATGGACGCCAACGTTTGCTGAAGGGCTGCGCAGAGCAGGGCACTCTGGTGGCTCCCTTTCTGAGGACAGTAAGGTCCCAATGGAGGTTAAGCTTATGGTGTTGAAGCCCCCTGTCCAAACGTTTCTCGGTCATGGTTCAGAACCAATCTGCGGGGACACTAGTTCAGTGAGTGAGTAGTAAACGTATGGAACAGGTTCCTGAGAGAGACAGACGGTGGAAGCAGAAAGTGTCGTTTGTGTCAACAACAGCAGCAGCAACTTGGATTTATATAGCGCCCTCCATGCTGGACGGTGTCTCAGAGCGCTTCACAGGGGGAGGGGAGGGGGAGGAGCCGGGGGAAGGTGACCAAAGGCGCGGTCAAAAAGAAAGGTCTTCAGCAGAGACCTGAAAATAGGAAGGGAGGGGGCGAGGCGAAGGGAGTGAGGAAGGCAGTTCCAGAGCCTCGGGGCGTAGTGGCTGAAAGCACGGCCGCTGAGGGTGGAGCGGAGGACTTGGGGGACGAGGAGGAGGCCAGACCCGGAGGAACAAAGGCAATGGGTACTGTTTTGAGGAGAGAGGAGGTCAGAGAGGTCGGGGGGTGCAGAGGAGTGCAGGGACTTGAATACAAGGGTGAGGATCTTGACATCGATCCTCTCTGGGACAGGAGCCAGTGCAGTCTGGCCAGGACTGGGGGAGTCTGGGAGCGGAGTTTGGGGGTGGGGGAGGGCCAGGACTGGGGGGGTCGGGGGGTGGGGTTTGGGGGTGGGGGGTGGGGGGGAGGGCCAGGACTGGGGGGAGTGGAGTTTGGTGCGGGTGAGAATGCGGGCGGCAGAGTTCTGAATGAGTTGGATTTTATGGACGGTAGTGGAGGGGAGACCGGCGAGGAGGGCGTTGGAGTAGTCCAGCCGAGAGGTGACAAAGGCCTGGACCAGGGTTTCAGCGGCTTTTGGGGAGAGGTATCGATGGAGAAGTAAAGCGGTGCTGGTGAGGGACCGGATGTGGGGGAGGAAGGAAAATTGGGGGTCGAACCTGACGCTCAGGTTGGGTACGGGATCGGAGAGTTCTTAGCGTCAAGAACAAGTGAGATGGATTTGTGGTGGAAAGTAATATCTGCGGATACAGTATATAGTTTGCCAACAACTGCCAGGATGGTGGAAGGCAAACTGGACCTGGGTCTCCTTTGGCCTCCAGGTTCTCATGTTAAATGAATAAACAATCCTTGTGTTTGATATGGAGCCGATTCACGTCTCAAGCGCTTCACAGAATGGACTGTAAAGTGAACTGACTATGTTTTGTGGGCGACATATTGTGTTCTGAGCCCCTGTGAGTGCAGCAGAGAGGGAGGGGGTGTGTGGCTGCAGAGAGGGAGGGTTCCGGCCTTCCCTGACCGGGGGGGGGGGTGGGGGTGGGGGGTGTCGAATGCGGTAGAGCTGAGGGCAGCAGCGGGTTCAGCACCAGGAGCTGTGGACAGCTCCTCACCCACTGAGCGGCTCCTCTCTCTCTCCTCTGTCTCTCTCTCTCCTCTGTCTCTCTCTCTCCCTCTGTCTCTCTGTCTCTCTCTCTCCCTCTGTCTCTCTCTCTCTCTCCTCTGTCTCCCTCTGTCTCTCTCTCTCCCTCTGTCTCTCTCTCCCTCTGTCTCTCTCTCTCCCTCTGTCTCTCTCTCCCTCTGTCTCTCTCTCTCCCTCTGTCTCTCTCTCTCCCTCTGTCTCTCTCTCTCCCTCTGTCTCTCTCTCTCTCTCCTCTCTCTCTCTCCCTCTGTCTCTCTCTCTCTCTCCCTCTGTCTCTCTCTCTCTCTCCCTCTGTCTCTCTGTCTCTCTCTCTCCCTCTGGCCATCAGTGTGTCTGACACATTGCCAAGTGCACATTTCCTTCTCCCTCCCTCCTTCCCTCCCAGTCTCCCTCCCTCTCAGTCTTTCTCTTTCTCCCAGTGTTTCTCCTTCCCTCTCTTTCAGTGTCTCTCCCCTTCCCTCAGTCCCCCCCCTTCCCTCAGTCCCCCCCCCTTCCCTCAGTCCCCCCCCCTTCCCTCAGTCCCCCCCCTTCCCTCAGTCCCCCCCCTTCCCTCAGTCCCCCCCCCTTCCCTCAGTCCCCCTCCCTCCTTCCCTCAGTCCCCCCCCTTCCCTCAGTCCCCCCCTTCCCTCAGTCCCCCCCCTTCCCTCAGTCCCCCCCCCCTTCCCTCAGTCCCCCCCCCTTCCCTCAGTCCCCCCCCCCTTCCCTCAGTCCCCCCCCTTCCCTCAGTCCCCCTCCCTTCCCTCAGTCCCCCTCCCTTCCCTCAGTCCCCCCCCTTCCCTCAGTCCCCCCCCTTCCCTCAGTCCCCCCCCCTTCCCTCAGTCCCCCCCCCTTCCCTCAGTCCCCCTCCCTTCCCTCAGTCCCCCTCCCTTCCCTCAGTCCCCCTCCCTTCCCTCAGTCCCCCCCCCCCCCCCACGCTGACGCACGGAAGGTGTCACGGCTGTGCGCCTCCCTGGTTTATCTGCAATATTCCTCTGCACAGTGTATGTGGGGGTTTGGCCGACTGCAGAGTGATGCCAATTGATAGCACTGCAGCGGCTCAGCGGCTCCGGCAGCCCTGAGAGTCACTGAGAGGGGGGGACAGAGAGAGGGACCAGAGGGGGACAGAGAGAGACCAGAGGGAGACAGACAGACAGACAGACAGACAGACAGGGAGAGACCAGAGGGAGACAGAGAGAGACCAGAGGGAGACAGACAGACAGACGGGGAGAGACCAGAGGGGGACAGAGAGAGGGACCAGAGGGGGACAGACAGGGAGACAGACAGAGAGAGAGCCAGAGAGGAAAAAAATAACCAGAGAGAGAAACAGAGCGAGAGACAGCCTGACCGACCTCAGTGCCACAGCAGCCTCTGTGTGCGGGTGTGTGTCTGTGTGTGTGTCTCTGTGTGTCTGTGTGTGTGTCTCTGTGTCTCTGTGTGTGTGCGGGGCTCACCCCCCGGGGTGAAGGGTTGGCCTGAGCCCCAGACAGACAGACAGACAGACAGACAGACGGGGTGTGATGTGTGAGCTGCGGGTGCGGTGAGGCGGTGGCTGTGTGTACCTGTCCTTGCGGGACGCGGCTGTCTGTTTGCGGCAGAACATGGCGGACCCAACGCAGATGTTTTCATTGTCAACTTTCCACTCGCTCTCGCCCCCGGGCTGCAGGTAAGTGACTGTGTGTGTGATCAGCGCCTCGGCTTGAACTGCATACAACAGGGGGTAACGCGCCCCCCCAGCCCCAGGGACTGCCTGTTTACTGCTGCCAGGCTCCCTCCCTACCCTGCCCTGCCAGTCCTGCCCTGCCAGCCCAGCCCTGCCAGCCCAGCCCTGCCCTGCCAGCCCTGCCCTGCCCTGCCTGCCCTCCAGCCCAGCCCTGCCCTGCCAGCCCTGCCCTGCCCTCCCAGCCCTGCCCTGCCAGCCCTGCCCTGCCCTGCCAGCCCTGCCCTGCCAGCCCTGCCAGCCCAGCCCTGCCCTGCCAGCCCTGCCCTGCCCTCCCAGCCCAGCCCTGCCAGCCCTGCCCTGCCAGCCCTGCCCTACCCAGTCTCCACAGCATCTGTGTGTCTTTGTTGTGTGGGGTGAGTGGGGTCTATCTGTGTGTGTGCGAGTGTCTATCTTTGTGTGTGTGTGTGTGTGCCTCTGTGGGGTGATGGTGGGGGGGGGGGGAGGTCTATCTGTGTGTGTGTGTGTGTGTATTTGTTTGTGTCTGCCTATCTGTGTGTGTGTGTCTGTCTGTCTGTGTGTTTTCAGGACTGAGGAGGAGAGATGTTTGTCAGGTCAGGACATCAAAGGATATGGGGCAAAGGCTGGTAATTGGAGTTGAGGTACAGATCAGCCATGATCTGATAGAATGGCGGAACAGGCTCGAGGTGCTGAATGGCCTCCTCCAGTTTCTGTGTGTCTATCTGAGTGTGTGCCGGTCTACCTGTGTGTGTTTGTTCGATTTTGTGCATCTCTGTGTGTCTGTGTATCTCTATGACTATCTTTGTGATCCATATCTCTGTATCTTTATGTTCGTGTGTGTGTCTCTCTCTCTGTTATTCCGTGAGTCCTCCCTCTCCTGCACCTCCATCCTTGCCCGGCTTCATTGCCTCCCTATCCCACAGAGGATTGAGTTCAAAACCTTGTCCTCACCTTTAAAGCCCTCTACAGTCTTGCCTCATAATTGGTCCTCCCTAACTCTGCGACCAACCTCTGCTCTCAGCGGGCACTGGCCTGCTCCATGGCTCCTGCTCTGCCCGTTCCACCATCGGGCAGGCCTTCAGCCTTTCTGCCCCTAACCTCTAGAACTCCATCCCGCAGACTCTCCTCCTCGGCCCTTCCATTGCCTCCCTCAAAGTCCATCTCAAGACCTTCCTCTTTGACCACGCCTTCGTTTACCTTTTCTCCCCCACCCCCCTTGACCTTTGCACCTCTCTCTGATCCCAACACCCAGCAAACCTCTCATCATTATTATTATTGTCCAGCACTTGGGACCTTCTCCCAACGTGATAGGTGCTGTGTAAATGTCATTTGTTATTGTTGCACTCACACTGACTCACACTGACCATCTCCACTCACACTCACTGCCTGTCTCTGGCTGCCTGTGTCCTCTGTCCCAATTGTGACTGACCTGCACAGATCTGCCCATGACATCAGCCTGGAGGAGTTTGATGATGAAGACCTCTCAGAGATTACCGATGACTGTGGCCTTGGTCTCAACTATGATTCTGATCCCTACGACAAGGTGAGGGAGCCTGCTGAATGCCCCCTGCGGACACCGTAACTAAGATGGTTGTGGGTTTAAGCTCCACATCAGCCCTTGGAACCCATATAGTCTCCAGTGCAGTGCTGGGGGTGCTCTGCGTTGTCGGAGGTGCTGTTCTTCTGATGAGATGTTAAACCCCATTTGTCTGTTCAGACAGGCATTACAAATTCCATGAGACTATTGGAAAAGAGAAGAGAGATTCTCTCTCTTGGTATCCTCACCACAATCCCCCGATAAAATCACTCACTCACTTCATGGTTATTAGTGGAACATTGTTGTATACAAATTGGCTGCTGCGTTTGTCTGCAAATTACACAAATTACAAAATTCCCTACGCTTTACAGTATATGCCATAAAACGAGACATCTTGACGATGTAATAAGATACGATATCAAATGTAAGATTATTATTAATATTGCTAACCTTGCATTCGATACAGCACGTTATCACGTGGGAAGGGCATCGCAAAACAAGTCACAAGATTTACTGTGTGTTTGTAGATGAACGCAGCAGCTGATTTGTGCGTAGCAACAGCCAGCAAACAGCTGTGAAGTCAATGAGGGATTTTATGCGGGGTTTGTCTACCAGGTTGACCTATAAGATACACAGTCACTACACGTGACTGAGGCTGTTCCCTGTGAGTCTCAGTCTTGGGTCCCGTCTAACATGGAGTCCTGTAGCTTAGTGGTTAGAGCACTTGCCTTGCAAGGACTTTGCAAGGGTGAAACGCAAGTAAGTTTTCTTACTCCACACACCTCTGTTCACCTCGCAGTAAGTAGGATCCCATTTTTTAATCAATTGGCGGATCGCTTTCCGGGGGTAATAATCCCTTCAGAAAATAAAATAATAATTTAATCACTCATTCCACATCTGTTTACACTCCTGTGCGCAATTGGGTGCCGCGTTTCACCCACAAAATATACAGTGAATTCACTTTACAGTGTATCCTGTGAAGCGCTTTGAGACGTCTCGAGGACGTGATAAGGCGCTGTGTCAAATGTAAGTATTATTATTATTGACTGTCTGTGACCCGACAGGACGGGCCGCTCTTGGAGGGGAAGGCAGCGCCCCAGGCTGTGACCGAGCTGGGCTCCTTCCACGAAGACCTACAGGAATTTGAGATGATTGACGACACAGACGACGCAGAGGATAGTGAGCTCCCCTCTCCCTCTGCCTGCAGCACCCAGAGCCGCCCCACCAGCCTGAACGTCACCCCCAGCCTGCCCCACTCCCAGGTCAGTGTCCCACACCCCCAGCCTGCCCCACTCCCAGGTCAGTGTCCCACACCCCCTGCCTGCCCCACTCCCAGGTCAGTGTCCCACACCCCCAGCCTGCCCCACTCCCAGGTCAGTGTCCCACACCCCCTGCCTGCCCCACTCCCAGGTCAGTGTCCCACACCCCCAGCCTGCCCCACTCCCAGGTCAGTGTCCCACACCCCAGCCTGCCCCTCTCCCAGGTCAGTGTCCCACACCCCCTGCCTGCCCCACTCCCAGGCGTGTGAGCGTGGTATCAGTGACAGTGTTGATGGGCTAATCAGTGTCTTTCTATGTTTCAGGATTCTCTGAACAATAACAATAATTCCAGTTATTCTCCACGGAAAGGTAGCTGGCAGGAGGCTCTCCTCCATACACACTCCCCAGCTGGTGAGTACTGCTTGCCTGTCTATCCGTCTCTCCCTCTCTCTCTCTCCCTCCGTCCCTCTCTCTCTCACTCTGTCCCTCTCTCTGTCTGTCTCATGCTCTGCGATGTTACTCTCCCTCTCTCTCGCTGTGTACTGTACACTGACCCTCTCTCTCTCTCTCGGTGTGTGTACAGGGTGCCTGAGTTCACATTGCTGTGTGCTGGACGGGCCTCGCAGGCACAGCACCGTGGGCCCTGGCTGTGATGAGGAGATGCCTCTGCGAGCGGGTGGGGGGAGCTGCAGCCCCCCGGTGCCAGCCGTGCCTGTCCAGCCCACCCATGGCCCGAAGCTCGGCAACAGCGGGACAGTCTTACAAGATCTCAACATGAATGTGGTGTCGCCAGAGTCGCGGATCCCGGCTAAACCCTCGGCCTCTATGCCAGGCTCGCCACCTCCACAAGAGCTGAGGGCAGTGCCAGGCCCCGCAGCCACACCACAACCACATACGGCCAGGGAGGGCATGACCTCAGCTACAGTTGGCAAACCCAGGCCTGACCCTGAGGCTCAGCACCAGCCCTGGCTCCCGGGCTCAGCCGGTAAACACCAGGCAATCACCGAGCCCCCAGCCTTGCCAGGCCTGGGTCTGGAGGATAGGTGTGGGCCTGAGCAGATGAGGGGGCCACTGAGCGAGTACCGGGGGGACGGGGAAGTAAGCCAGGAGGACATATCTCTCTCCTGGGCGCCCGGGGCCGATGCCCACTCTGTTCCCCCCGGTGATACCAGCTACCGGCAGCCGCCCGCATCCGCCAGTGACTCAGGTTCTCCCTCCTCCGACCCTGGCATCGTGGCCGATCTGACCAGCAAGAGCACCCGGCGTTTCCTGCCAGCGTTCCCAGCCAGCCAGGACAGGACCGGCTCCGACTCAGATTCAGACTTGGATTCTGAGCTGGGGCTGGGGGGGGAGCTGGGCGCACTGACCCGCGAGGGCACAGTCTGTAAGATGATCTCCTCTATCTCGGAGACAGAGCTGGACGTGAGCAGTGAGAGCACGAGCGGCCGCTCCTCACATCTCACCAACTCCATCGAGGAGGCCAGCTCGCCCAGCTCCGAGGCCGACATTGACTGGGAGACAGCCATCAGCAGCCCCCCCGCCCGCGAGCCCCCACGCTCCGCAAAGGCACCCATCCATGGACCGCCACTGCCCACCACCACCTGGCACTGCCGCCTCCAGGACACTGGACAGTCCTGGCCGGGCATCGGGGGGCAGCAAGTCACTATCGAGGAGAGGGGCTGCCGCACATACACTGAAGGGGGTGGCTGTCACTCAGATACCAAGGGGCAGGGGTGTGGCTCAGACAAGAAGGGCACTGCCAGGCCCATGTATCTGGACATCACCCTGAGCCGGGCTCCAAGCCCCAAATGGCAGGAGTTGGGGGTGGGCAAGGATGGGGTGGGCGAGGAGGCAATGGGCGAGGACAAGGCGGAGATGAGTGAGATGGGGGTAGGCGAGGAGGGGGTGGCCGAGGTCAAGTTGGCGAAGGATGGGGTGGGTGAGGAGTCAGACTGGTCATGCTCGGAGCAGGACTCGGACAATGAGCTGAGTGACAGCTCAGACTCACCCTGGCTTCTCACCAACATGGTGAACACCCTGATGTCCCAGGGCTCCCTCGCTGCCCGCAACGAGTCCTGGATCAACACCAACTCCTTCAGCGAGACCCTGTCCCCAGCCTCCGACCTGGACATGGAGGCAGTGGGGGTGGGGGAGCCGGGCCTGGGGCTGACCTGTAAGCCCTGCCCAGTGCCGGCTGCGGGAGTGACCCTGCAGGACGGATGCTCGGGGGTTGAGGAGGCCATGGCCAGTGCTTGTGCCCACACTGCCTACCTGGTGATGGCGGAGCTGAGCGGGCAGGAGCCATCCCCGGCAGCGCTCGCTCCCACCCACCCTGACCTGGAGGGAAGTGAGGCAGAGCTGGGCAGGGACATCCTGAGCACACGTTCCCACCTCAACCACCAGGCCACAGCTCCAGCCTCAACCCTGAGCTTCAGGTACGAAGAGCTGATGGAACCACCGCTTCAGGAGCCGGGCACATCAAGCGGGCAGAGAGGCCCTGACACAGGCTTGGGCTCCGGCAACGAGCTGGAGGCTGCGCTACTTCTGGAGGAGCGGTTGATGGAACTGAGCAAAGACTGGGGAGCCTCGCACATGAGGGAAAGCCGGCCAGAGACAGGCAGGCTGGCTGGGAGCCTGTCCCCGGGAGTTGAGAGTGAGGACAGCGGAAGCCGCATGGTATCGCCAAGCCCAGAGGTGAGAGCGGCCGAGTGGTCAACCAGACACCCTCTGGACCAGTCTCTGGCCTACGATTCAGTGAAGTACACTCTGGTGGTGGATGAGAACACCACACTGGAGCTGGTCAGCCTAAGGCGATGCATGTCCCTCCTCAGCCAGGACGGGGAGGTCGCGGTGTTGGGCGAGGACGAGTTTGAGAGCTGTGAGGGTCGTCTGGATGTCGAGAACTCCTCCGAGGATTCTTCTCCTGAAGCTGACACTCAGTTCTCCAAGAAATTCCTCAACGTCTTCGTCAACAGCACGTCTCGCTCTTCTAGTAAGTCCGCCTCCCCCCGCCCCCCCCTCCCACCACCAACTGGCACATCAACCAACCCCCACCCCACCACCCCAAACTTCTCATTGCAGGGATTGTATAGTGTGAATTTAACTCTAACCTGTCGCTGACCTGGGAGTGTGGACGCACAGTGTAGAGGAGCGTTACTGTGTCTCTAACCCTGACCTGGGAGTGTGGACGCACAGTGTAGAGGAGCTTTACTGTGTCTCTAACCCTGACCTGGGAGTGTGGACACACAGTGTAGAGGAGCGTTACTGTGTCTCTAACCCTGACCTGGGAGTGTGGACGCACAGTGTAGAGGAGCGTTACTGTGTCTCTAACCCTGACCTGGGAGTGTGGACGCACAGTCTAGAGGAGCTTACTGTGTCTCTAACCCTGACCTGGGAGTGTGGACCACAGTGTAGAGGAGCGTTACTGTGTCTCTAACCCTGACCTGGGAGTGTGGACGCACAGTGTAGAGGAGCGTTACTGTGTCTCTAACCCTGACCTGGGAGTGTGGACGCACAGTGTAGAGGAGCGTTACTGTGTCTCTAACCCTGACCTGGGAGTGTGGACGCACAGTGTAGAGGGAGCGTTACTGTGTCTCTAACCCTGACCTGGGAGTGTGGACGCACAGTGTAGAGGGAGCGTTACTGTGTCTCTAACCCTGACCTGGGAGTGTGGACGCACAGTGTAGAGGAGCTTTACTGTGTCTGTGACCCTGACCTGGGAGGGTGGATGGTCTGAGATGGGTATGGTTGAGGGGGTGCGGGGGAGGAGTGTTGATGAGGGAGGGGGTGAGCTTGGATTCTGATTCTCTTTGTCCTGGAACAGGTACTGAATCATTTGGCCTTTTTTCGTGCACAATAAACGGGGAGGAGCGGGAACAAACACACCGCGCGGTGTTCCGGTAAGTTCCACGGTGTCTGTGTCATAGGGGAAGGGGAGGGCTCAGTTCAGAGAGAGAGATGAATGGATGGAGAGAGAGAGAGAGAGAGAGAGAGAATTGGATGGTGAGAGAGAGAGATGAATGATGAGAGAGGAGGCAAACAGAGATAGGAGTGGGGGATAGACAGAGAGTGAGAGGGATGGAGAGAGAGAGAGAGAGATGACAGAGAAGGCAGACAGAGATGGGGAGAGAGTGAAAGAGAGAGAGGCCCAGTCTGTGATGGTGATGGCTGTTCTCTGTGCTGTGGCAGGTTTATACCCAGACACGGGGATGAGGTGGAGCTGGATGTGGATGATCCCCTGTATGTGGAGGAGGAGGAGGATGATTACTGGTACCGAGGCTACAATATGAGGACAGGGGAGACTGGCATCTTTCCTGCATATTACGCCCACCAAGTGGTCAGCCAATCCAAGGAGGCCCTGGGTGAGTCCTGTCCCATTCCCTGCTCTCTCCCCATCATGTCTGTGCTGGTGCTCGCTGTGTGTGTGCCTGAGTGTGTGTGCGCACGCCTGAGTGTGTGTGTGTGTGTGTGTGCGTGACTCACGCTGGTAATGTTGTGACAGGGTTGAAGCGGACAATCCCATGGGTCGAGAGGTTTAATGTACAGTTTCTGGGCTCTGTGGAGGTTCCATCTCATCAGGGAAACAACATCCTTTGCAGCGCCATGCAGAAGGTAAGTAGCAGAGACACACACACACACACACACCCTGTGGTGATGGTGTCTCACGGTGACAGTGTCTCTCTTGCAGATTGCCAGCGCCCGGAAGCTGACCGTTCATGTTCACCCACCAGCGAGCTGTGAGCTGGAGGTCAGCAACCAAGGGGTTAAACTCAACCTGAACATGGACGAGTTCAGTCCTGAAGACGAGGTGAGGGATTGAGGGTATCTGTGAGGGTTGGCAGTGAGGGTGGGGGTTAGCAGTGAGGGTGGGGTTGGCAGTGAGGGTGGGGTTGGCAGTGAGGGTTGGGTTGGCAGTGAGGGTGGGGTTGGCAGTGAGGGTGAGGGTTGGCAGTGAGGGTGGGGGTTGGCAGTGAGGGTGAGGGTTGGCAGTGAGGGTGAGGGTTGGCAGTAAGGGTGGGGGTTGGCAGTGAGGGTGGGGGTTGGCAGTGATGGTAAAGGTTGGCAGTGAGGGTGGGGGTTGGCAGTGAGGGTGGGGTTGGCGGTGAGGGTTGGCAGTGAGGGTGGGGGTTGGCAGTGAGGGTGGGGGTTGGCAGTGAGGGTGGGGTTGGCAGTGAGGGTGGGGGTTGGCAGTGAGGGTGGGGGTTGGCAGTGAGGGTAAAGGTTGGCAGTGAGGGTGGGGGTTGGCAGTGAGGGTGGGGGTTGGCAGTGAGGGTGAGGGTTTGCAGTGAGGGTGAGTTGGCAGTGAGGGTGAGGGTTGGCAGTGAGGGTGAGGGTTGGCAGTGAGGGTGAGGGTTGGCAGTGAGGGTGAGTTGGCAGTGAGGGTGGGGGTTGGCAGTGAGGGTGAGGGTTGGCAGTGAGGGTGGGGGTTGGCAGTGAGGGTGGGGGTTGGCAGTGAGGGTGGGGTTGGCAGTGAGGGTGGGGTTGGCAGTGAGGGTGAGGGTTGGCAGTGAGGGTGGGGTTGGCAGTGAGGGTGGGGGTTGGCAGTGAGGGTGAGGGTTGGCAGTGAGGGTGAGGGTTGGCAGTGAGGGTGAGGGTTGGCAGTGAGGGTGAGTTGGCAGTGAGGGTGAGTTGGCAGTGAGGGTGGGGGTTGGCAGTGAGGGTGAGGGTTGGCAGTGAGGGTGGGGGTTGGCAGTGAGGGTGAGGGTTGGCAGTGAGGGTGAGTTGGCAGTGAGGGTGAGTTGGCAGTGAGGGTGGGGGTTGGCAGTGAGGGTGAGGGTTGGCAGTGAGGGTGGGGGTTGGCAGTGAGGGTGGGGGTTGGCAGTGAGGGTGGGGGTTGGCAGTGAGGGTGGGGGTTGGCAGTGAGGGTGAGGGTTGGCAGTGAGGGTGGGGTTGGCAGTGAGGGTGGGGTTGGCAGTGAGGGTGGGGGTTGGCAGTGAGGGTGAGGGTTGGCAGTGAGGGTGGGGGTTGGCAGTGAGGGTGGGGGTTGGCAGTGAGGGTGGGGTTGGCAGTGAGGGTGGGGGTTGGCAGTGAGGGTGAGGGTTGGCAGTGAGGGTGGGGTTGGCAGTGAGGGTGAGGGTTGGCAGTGAGGGTGGGGGTTGGCAGTGAGGGTGAGTTTGCTGTTGTGTCTCTCAGTCTTTCTCTCTCTGTTATAGAGTGAACGTTGCAGCCATTTCTTCCAGATGAAAAACATCTCGTTTTGTGGGTGTCACCCTCGCAACAGTTGGTAAGATCCCACCGCTGACCCAGAGACCCTCCCCTCCTCTTCCACCACCCACCCACTTCCAGGCTCCATGACTCTATCACCCCCACCCTCGGCTGGATCCACTGGCTCCCCATCCCCCAGAGGATGGAGTTCAAAATCCTCGTCCTTGCATTAAAGCCCTCCACAGCCCTGCTCCTCCCTACCTCTGTGACCTGCTAACTCCACATTGACCTGTCTGCTCCCTCCGCTGCGACTTGCTCCATGTGCCGACCAGCCCACCACACCCCAACATCGGCAGCCGGGCCTTCAGCCTTTCTGCCCCCACCCTTTGGAACTCCATCCCACATTCCCTTAATAAAAATAATAATCCTGGCACTTGATATAGCACCTTATCAAGTCTTCAAGACGTCTCAAGCGCTTCACAGGATACACTGTAAAGTGTATATTCTGTGGGTGAAACCCGGCAGCCAATTGCACACAGCAGCGTCCCACAAACAGTCATGGATTAAATGACCAAATTATTATATTTTTGGACGTATTATTACTTTCGGAAAGGGATCCACCAATTGACTAACAACCGGGTTCCTGCTAACTGCTGGTAAACAGAGGGGTGTGGAGTAAGGAAACTTCCCCAAAGTTTGGCCCTGCCCGGGAATCAAACCCGGGACCTCTCACTTGCGATGCAAATCCTCTAACCGCTGAGCTCTCTTCGCCTCGCTTCCTCCTTCGCCTCTTTCAAGGCACATCTCAAGACCCTCCTCTTCAACCGTGCCCTTGGTCACCCTCCTACCCCCACCCTCCCTGCCCTTCACCCCGCCTGATCCCGACCTTCAGTTCGAGTCCAAATCCCTGACTGTCCAGCTCCTTGGGATGTCCTCCCGACCTGAAAGGCACTGTGTAAATGTTATTTGTTTTTGTTGTCTCTCCCTCGGAGACATGTTCTTCTCCCCCCTCCATGTGTTGTCGTGCGCGCTGAAACGCTTTCTTCTCTCGGCAGCTATTTCGGGTTTATCACAAAGCACCCAGTGCTGCAGCGTTTTGCGTGCCACGTCTTTGTGTCCCAGGAGACCATGCGCCGTGTGGCTGAATGCATCGGGTAAGTGGGCAGCAGCCTCCAGGCTCCAGGGAGAGAGAATTAGAGCCACTGACAGCACCGGCTCTCAGAGCAACATAATAATAATCCTTGCATTTGATGTAGCGCCTTATCACATATTCGAGACGTCCCAAAGCGCTTCACAGGATACACTGTAAAGTTTAGTGACTGTATTTTGTGGGCGAAAAGATTCTGACTTTACTGCCAAGTATGTCACTCTGGAGCCAGGCAGCTTTACTTTGTCTCTACCCGTACTGGGAGCTTTACTGTCTCTAACCCTGACCTGGGAGTGTGGACGCACAGTGTAGAGGAGCTTTACTGTCTCTAACCCTGACCTGGGAGTGTGGGCGCACAGTGTAGAGGGAGCGTTACTGTGTCTGTAACCCTGACCTGGGAGTGTGGACACACAGTGTAGAGGAGCTTTACTGTGTCTCTAACCCTGACCTGGGAGTGTGGACACACAGTGTAGAGGAGCTTTACTGTCTCTAACCCTGACCTGGGAGTGTGGACACACAGTGTAGAGGGCTTTACTGTGTCTCTAACCCTGACCTGGGAGTGTGGACACACAGTGTAGAGCGTTACTGTGTCTCTAACCCTGACCTGGGAGTGTGGACACACAGTGTAGAGGAGCGTTACTGTGTCTCTAACCCTGACCTGGGAGTGTGGACACACAGTGTAGAGGGACTGTGTCTGTAACCCTGACCTGGGAGTGTGGACACACAGTGTAGAGGAGCGTTACTGTGTCTCTAACCCTGACCTGGGAGTGTGGGCGCACAGTGTGGACGGAGCTGGATGTGGATGGGGTGAGTGATGGTGTTTTTCTCTCTTTCAGACAAGCTTTCCAGGAATATTATCAGGAACACCTGGAATATGCCTGCCCCACAGAGGACATCTACCTGGAGTAAATCTCCAGCCTCTGCTCCCTCGCCACCCTGCCCTCCCTTCACCTCCCCTCTCCTTGCCTTCCCCCCACCTCCACTCCCCTCGCCTCCCATCAATGCTTTGACCTGGGCCTTATTTCTGTGTAAAAACCAGCCCTGGTATCTGAGGCTCCCAGCAAATGGAGCCAGAACCCAGCCAGCACTCCATCCCCTCCCCCTCTCCCTGCTCCCACTCTCTCCCCGCTCTTTCTCCCCCGCTGCCTTCACCCCCGGCTGCCTGAGGGGGAATGGGATCAGACCAGGCTGACTGCACATCCATTGTAATAGCTGCTGCCCTCCCCCGCTCCCTCCCTTCCTGCTCCCCTCCACAACCCACAGTGCTTGTTGTAGCGGGTGGGGGGGTGGAGGGAGGACCTCATTGATCCATGGCCTTTTCCTCTGAGTGGGGGAGCCTGCCCTGCCTTCAGCAGAGCCCAGTCCACCCCAGAGCCCAGTCTACCCAGTGCCCCCCCAACCCCAGAGCCCAATCCACCAGAGCCCACCCCAGAACCCAGTCCATCCAGTGCCCCCCCCACCCCAGAGCCAAGTCCACCCAGTGCCCCACCCCAGAGCCCAGTCCACCCAGTGCCCCACCCCAGAGCCCAGCCAACACAGCTCAAACTTCACTTTCCCCCTTGAGAGCCCCTCTCCCATGCAAATCCCTCCCTGTGAGTGCCCCTCACTGTGAGAGCCCCTCCCCATGCGAGTCCCTCCCTGTGAGAGCCCCTTCCCCCATGCGAGTCCCTCCCTGTGAGAGCCACTCCTCCGTGTGAGTCCCTCCCCCCATGTGAGTCCCTCCCTGTGAGAGCCCCTCCTCTGTGAGCCCCACTCCCCCATGCGAGCCCCTCCCCTGTGAGAGCCCCTCCCCATGTGAGCCCCTCCCTGTGAGACCCCCTCCCCTGTGAGCCCCTCCCCCATGTGAGCCCCTCCCTGTGAGAGCCCCTCCTCCTGTGTAGTTCCATCTGTATATTGAGCCCCTCCCTCTCATGGCCCCGCCCCCTATATACACCCCTCCCTCTGCTTTGTTCCCAGCCCTGTATATGCCCCTCCCCCACACTCCAAGCCCCGCCCCCACACTCTAAGCCCCTCCTTTGCCGCTGTTATATTACTCACATGTTTACAGTTTTATTTTGCTGTTTTTTATTTAAATAAAAACTGATCAAAGTCCAGACACTGGTGACTACATTAGAGAGAGAGAGAGAGAGAGAGGCCGGGGGGAGGGGGAGGGGGGGAGGGGGAGTGGGAGGGGGGGGAGGGGTACGGAAGATGAGCTCAGATGGGCTTCTGGTGTCAAACCACAACTCACTGCCAACCCATTGTCACAGACACCGTCCTTCTGCCGAGACATTAACCTGAGGTCCCGCTGCGCTGTTGGGACGAGAGCTTGGAGTTTCTCTCCAGGTGTCCTAGAATCATAAACCTTACAGCACAGAAGGAGGCCATTCAGCCCATCGTACCTGTGGCTTTTTGAAAGAGCCACCAACAAGTCCCACTTCCCCGCTCTTACCCCACAGCCCTGCAAATGCTTCCTTTTTAAGAACATATCCAATTCCCTTTATGACAGTCACCATCGAATCTGCTTCCACCACGTTTCATTCCTGACCGTAACAACTGGCCAACAATCTCCCCGCTTGAGCCAGCCCTGACCCCAACTGTGACCCTGGGGTAGATGTGACTCCACAATGTTGCTGGTGTAACAATGGCGGCTGTGATGTGGAACCATGTAACAATGTGGGGGGAGGAAGCCCTCCAGCAAGGCCAGGAGCCAATGAGTGATGCCCATGAGGAGCAGTGCAGTGAGAGTGGGCGCCCAGCAAAGACAGCGAGGGCAGTGCTGAGTGTCAGTCAGTGACTTACAACATGCCAGACATCGACTCTGCAACCTCATGCTTTCTCCTCCTCTCCCTGTGCTGTGTGCTGACACACGCCCAGGTGCAAGAAACCCCAACTGGTGAGTATTTGTGTGACCACCAGTTGTCTGACACACGCGGAAACCCATCACCGTGACCAGCCGGGTGTCTGACACACGCGGAAACCCATCACCGTGACCAGCCGGGTGTCTGACACACGCGGAAACCCATCACCGTGACCAGCCGGGTGTCTGACACACGCGGAAACCCATCACCGTGACCAACTGGATGTTTGATACACACGGAAATCCATCACCGTGACGAGCCGGGTGTCTGACGCACACGGAAATCCATCACCGTGATCAGCCGCGTGTCTGACACACACACAAACCCATCACTGTGACAAAGAATCAGACTGAAGGCTCTATGCAACCCACCTACACACAGAAATTCACAATATATTCGAATGGAATGCTCACTCTCGCTCTCTCCCTGGAGAGATACATCCTGCTTACCTAATTCTGGAGCGTATTAGATGCAGTTTGGCAAACGCCAAGGCTTGGTGAGCCCAGAATGTGCGTTGGGGTAATCAGCTAAAACTATATAGCTTGCCATTGATACCGCTGTCTGGCAAGCTTTCCCAAGCTGTCCAGTTAGGGCCACCCAACCCGTTAGGGCTTTGGCTGCAGGATTAACAGGAGCTGAGTGGGAGGATTCTCTGCCCCAAGTGACTGGTCTGCTCTTCCAGGTCCTTCTGATGAGCCAAGGTGGGCTGTGCTGTCTGGAATACAATGGACCTGCCTGGCTCAGGAGCTGGACTGGAGACCGTCACAGAGGGTGGGATGCACCAGTCTACACTGACCTGGTGGTGGGGTCAGCCTCACCACAGCATGGCTATTTACCAAAGCCCTTCAAGTGAGGGACAGATGAGTAACGAGGATGTGGTTTTGACAAACCCCCCCATCCTCCACACCAGGGTCTCTGAGCTCACAGTCGAGGCTGACGCTCCAACCCAGTGCTAAGGGGGGGGTTTCCATTGTCAGCGACGACATCCTTCAGATGTAACTTTAACCCGAGTCTGTGCCCTGGTCAGGCAGAAGTTAAAGATCTCTGTTGGAAAAGCAAGTTACTCTCTCTCTCTCTCTCGGCGTCCTGGCCCTCAACCAACCAGATAATATAAGTCGCTTACTTCATGGCTGCTTATAGTCCATTGCTATGTGCAAGTTGGCTGCCAAGTTCACCTACAAAATGTCCTCCCAACATGAAAGGCGCTGTATCAAATGTAAGATTAATACATTTATTTCCTCTAATCCCATTCCCTCCGAGAAACACTGATCCTGTCTCCACATTAGAGACGTGCGTCAATAGCAGCTTTATCATTATATCCCAGCCTTCCTCCTGTGTGAGTGAGGGTGTCTGTGCCTTCCTCCTGTGTGAGTGAGGGTGTCTGTGCCTTCCTCCTGTGTGAGTGAGGGTGTCTGTGCCTTCCTCCTGTGTGAGTGAGGGTGTCTGTGCCTTCCTCCTGTGTGAGTGAGGGTGTCTGTGCCTTCCTCCTGTGTGAGTGAGGGTGTCTGTGCCTTCCTCCTGTGTGAGTGAGGGTGTCTGTGCCTTCCTCCTGTGTGAGTGAGGGTGTCTGTGCCTTCCTCCTGTGTGAGTGAGGGTGTCTGTGCCTTCCTCCTGTGTGAGTGAGGGTGTCTGTGCCTTCCTCCTGTGTGAGTGAGGCTGTCTGTGCCTTCCTACTGTGTGGAGTCCTGTAGCTCAGTGGTTAGAGCACTTGCCTCATAAGCGAGAGTATCTGGGTTCGATTCCCAGGCGAGTCAGGGCGAAATGTTGGGCAAGTTTCCTTACTCCACACACACACACGCACACACACGCGTGCCTCTGTTTATCCAGCAGTAAGTAGGAACCCAGTTGTTAGTCGATTGGTGGATTGCTTTTTTGGAGGTAATAATACATCCAAAATAATAATTTGGTTGCTCAATCCACTGCTGTTTTGGGACATTGCTGTGTGCAATTAGCTGCTATGTTTTACTCACAAAGTACATAGTCACTACACTTTACAGTATATGCTGTGGAGAGCTTTGAAACATCTTGAAGACATAATAAAGCACTATATAAAGTGCCAGAATTATTATTAGTATTAGTAGTAGTAGTAGTAGTAATATTGATACCTCATCATGTCAGGCTGCAGTAACCGGCCGATACTGGCTGAAGCTCAGGAGTTTGTGTCTCAGGCTCCCGGGAGCCACAACTCTCTCCCCGGCCACTGGCCTTGGCTCGTCAGCATCCAGATCGCAGCCAAGGACGGCACATACGGCCACATCTGTGGCGGCTCCATCATCAATGAAAACTGGGTGCTGACAGCAGCTCACTGCTTCAAGGCAAAGGTGGCCAAGTAAGTCCCCATCCGAGCATCAGGACACGTGTGTGTGTGTGTGTGTATGTGTGAGCGTCAGGACACGTGTGTGTGTGTATGTGTGAGCGTCAGGACATGTGTGTGAGCGTCAGGATGTGTATGTGCGTGTGTGTGTGAACGAGCATCAGTACACGTGTGTGTGTGTGTGTGTGTGTGTGTGTGAGCATCAGGGCATGTGTGTGTGAGGATCAAGACACGTGTGTATCTGTGTGTGAGCATCAGGACACACGTGTGCGTTTGATTATGAGTATCAGGACACTTGTGTGTATGTGACTCTGGCAGTGTAAGTGTATGCCTTTTCCTTTTTTTCCACTATCTGTGCTATGTGTGAGTGAGTTTCCCTCTCTCCAGGCGTGAGTGTGTCTGCTGCGTTTCACCCACAAAATACACAGTCAATTCACTTTACAGTGTATCCCGTGAAACACTTTGAGACATCATAATGACGTGATAAGGCGCTATATCAAATGCAAGGATTATTATTATTATTATAATACCTTGCCAAATTTCCGCAAGATTTGCCAAATTTCCACACAATCTTTGGCAAATATTTTGGCAATTCTTTCTTGTCCACTGACACCCTCAGCAATCTAGCCAAGATCATGCTGGTGTTTGGCCTGGAACAGCTCTCAAAGTTCAGCCCCAACACATATGCCAGACCCGTCAAAGAGATCATCAAACACGAGAACTACAATCCAGACACGGAGTCCAATGACATCGCCCTGATCAAGGTCAGCGAGCCCGTCATCTTCACCAACTACGTGCAGCCCGTCTGTCTGCAGTACGAGAAGCTGGACATCGCTGAGCTCAAACCCTGTGTGGCTGTGGGCTGGGGACTGATCGAGGGCAGAGGTCAGTGCTCACACCATTGGAGTGTGTGAGAGTGTGTGTATGTGTGTGTGAGTGTGTTTGTGTGTGTGTAAGAGTATGTGAGTGTGTGTGTGTTATTTAGCGTTCCTTTTCTCATTTATTGCTGTATGTGAGTGTTATCACTGTGTGTGTGAGTGAGTAATCAGTGTGTATTATCACTGTGTGTCTGAGTGAGTTATCAGTGTGTGTTATCACTGTGTGTCTGAGTGAGTTATCAGTGTGTGTGTTCACTGTGCGTGTGAGTTTGTGTGTGTTATCACTGTGTGTCTGAGTGAGTAATCAGTGTGTGTGTGTTATCACTGTGTGTGTGAGTGAGTTATCACTGTGTGTGAGTTATCACTGTGTGTGTGTGTGAGTTATCACTGTGTGAGTTATCACTGTGTGTGTGAGTTATCACTGTGTGTGAGTTATCACTGTGTGTGTGAGTTATCACTGTGTGTGTGAGTGAGTTATCACTGTGTGTTATCACTGTGTGTGTGAGTGAGTAATCAGTGTGTGAGTAAGTTATCACTGTGTGTGATCTTTCTCGCTACAGGGAAGAGGATTGATGTCTTACAGGAGGAGGAGGTGAACATTATCCCCACTGTGATCTGTAACCAGGGTGACTGGTATAATGGCTCCCTGAATGATAGGGTGCTGTGTGCGGGCTTCGAGTGGGGCGGAGTGGATCGCTGTGAGGTATGTCCGCACACCCAGCGCCGCGCTGCTATTCCCTGTGTGTTTACAATCATACAGCACAAAAGGAGGCCATTCGGCCCATCATACCTTTGCCTGTGCTTATGCCAACTCTTTGAAAGAGCTTCCAACTAGTCCCACTCCCCCGCTCTTACCCTAATGAGTCCCACTCCCCCGCTCTTACCCCAACTAGCCCCCACTCCCCCGCTCTTACCCTAATGAGTCCCACTCCCCCGCTTTTACCCCAACTAGCCCCCACTCCCCCGCTCTTACCCCAACTAGCCCCCACTCCCCCGCTCTTACCCCAACTAGCCCCCACTCCCCCGCTCTTACCCCAACTAGCCCCCACTCCCCCGCTCTTACCCCAACTAGTCCCACTCCCCGCTCTTACCCCAATCGCTCTTACCCCAATTAGTCCCACTCCCCCGCTCTTACCCCAACTAGTCCCGCTCTTACACCATAGCCCTGCAAATAATAATCCTTGTATTTGATATAGTGCTTCGTCATGTCTTCGAGACTTTAAGCCTCTATTTATAATGCCAAGGATTCCTTATGCTTTTGTTTCCTAATTGTCAACCTGTCGTGCCACCACCTTCCAAGCTGTGTGTATGTGGTGTCCCCCATTGGCTTGTGTTGCCTCCACTCATTTCTGCTCCCCAAAAACATCTCTTCACACTTCTCTGCATTGATAATAATCTTTGCATTTGATACGGCGCCTGATCACGTCTTTGAGACGACTCAAAGCGCTTCACAGGATATACCGTAAAGTGTAGTGACTGTGTATTTTTGTGAGCGAGATGCATAAATTTACTGCAAGGTAGAGACACGTGGGTATGGGGGGGAGGGGGGTGCTGATCAGGGTGGTGATCGTGGGGGGGCGTGGATCGGGGGGGGGCGGGGGTTGATTGGGGGGGTGATCAGGGTGTCTGGTCACTCATTGACGGGCTGTGTGTTGCAGACAGACAGTGGGGGGCCGCTGGTGTGTAAGGTGCTCGGTGCTGGACGATTTTACCAGATTGGGGTGACCAGCTGGGGACTGGGCTGCAGCCGCATCAAACACCCAGGGATCTACACGTCCGTCCGCAAGTACACCGAGTGGATCGAGTGGAAGGTCTCGCGTCTGGGAGAGGCTCAGATGCTGGACCTGGTGCGTCTGGTCCCCTCGGCACCGGCACTGCCCGCGGCCACACATTTACCCACCATTGTCCTTTCTGCCATCAGCCTGGCAGCCACCCTGCTGTGACCCCCCCTCCCCCACCACCGCTCCTTAACCCCCTGCACCTCACCCCACATCTCCTCCCAGCTCACCACGCCCCCCCGGGGCTGTGACCACAGTCCACTCCGCTCCCCACTCCCCCCACCTTCACCCACACAATTCACAAAGAGATTAAATAAAAGAAATAAAATAATAAATATTAAACTCACAGACAGCGTCTGGCTATTAATATCTGACGTTTTCTCTCTGGTCATTACTCCATGTCACTGTCCCAGGACAGTCTGTACCAAGTCTCTCACTGTCCAGGATTAAGCCGCTCTCTGCTGTTTTGTTTGAGAGGATGGGAGGGACAGAAGGTCAGACAGACACACACAGAGGCACAGAGAGTGAGACACACAGACAGACAGACAGACAGACAGACGCACGCACGCACGCACGCACGCACGCACACACACACACACACACACACCACACACACACACACACACCGAAAGAGACAGAGAGGCACAGGGAGAGAGACACAAACATATGTAGAAAGAGACAGACACACACACACACACAGATAAAGATAAACACACAGAGAGAAACAGAGACATACACACAGAACGAGACAGAGTTTACACAGTGAGAAACATGCACAACAACCAGATTACATGAGTATAGCGCCTTTCACGTCAGGAGGACGTCCCAAGGCGCTGGACAGTGACAGCATTTCAGACCCGAGCTGGGGTGGGGGGTGGGGGGAAAGGGGTGGCCGATGGTATGGTTGAAGAGGAGAGCCTTGAGGCTGGACTTGAAGCAGGCTGAGGAGGGGGTGAGGCGGAGTGATTGAGGGATGGAATTCCAGAGGTTGGGGGCAGAGTGGCTGAAGGCTCTCCCGCCAATGGTGGGGCGGGTGGGTGAGACAGAGAGACACAAACATACAGCACTAGACATAGAAAGAGAAAGAGACAGAGACAGAGACATAAAGACAGGCAGAGACATGAGTGACTCACTCAACCTCCAACAAACCACTGTTGCTGTATTAGTTTATTGAAAATTTATAAAATAATTCACGTTAATCTTCCTGTTAGAACATACCACGTTACTTCTTTCCATAAACAAACAGACACTCACTGCTTCACGCTGACCAGCACAAGCTGCTCAGAGAGAGTTAACTCAATTGGGATTGTCAGGTCGTTCATTGATTACGAGATTTGAATTAGGGAAATCTCTTCAAATACTGACATTCCCTCAAAGCAATCGTCAGTGTCTCAGAAGACACATTCCCCCTCAGCTCCTGGTAACCCCACAGCCAAAGCCCTGACGGGGAGGGGGGTCCCAGCTGGACAAGCGGTGGGAAAGCTGCCAGACAGTGATATCGATGGCCAACCTGTGTGGGTTTAGCTGCTTAGACTCCAGCAGTTACCCCAACACACACCCTGGGCCCCCCCTCCAGCCTTGGCTCTCGCCAACCTGCGCCTCATACTCTCCGGAATTAGGTAAACAGGAAATGTCCCTCCAGGGACAGAGAGAGAGAGAGAGAGAGCATTTTCCAAGGTGGGAGATAGGCAGGTAGGCAGACAGATAGACAGACAAGTAGGCAGACAGATAGACAGACAAGTAGGCAGACAGATAGACAGACAAGTAGGCAGACAGATAGACAGACAAGTAGGCAGACAGATAGACAGACAGATAGGCAGACAGATAGACAGACAGGTAGGCAGACAGATAGACAGACAGGTAGGCAGACAGGTAGGCAGACAGATAGGCAGACAGATAGGCAGACAGATAGACAGACAGATAGGCAGACAGATAGACAGACAGATAGGCAGACAGATAGACAGGCAGGAAGGCAGACAGAACAAACCTAATGGGGTTTGGACCTGGTTGAGTTGGCCGCTGGTCTCTGCTCCCAGACAGACGGTGTGGGTCACACAGCTGCTTAAACCCTCCGATCAGACCATGGACCACTCCCAGCCCTCAACCTCCCCTCCTCACTCAACCCCAGTCCCCGATCACCATCAGGGTCAAACCCGCATCATCATCAACCAACACCCAGGAGCCAGACTCCCTCAGTGACCCCCACCCCCCTCCCTCCAAGGTGGGTAATTGGACTTGAGATACAGATCAGCCATGATCTTATAGAAAGGCGGAACAGACTCAAAGGGCTGAATGGCCTCCTCCTGTTCCTATGTTTCTACGCGAGAGTGTGCGCATTCCATTGCAACAATCCATCTCTGGGATTCCATGTGCAGGTGGGATGCCTGGATTCTCAGTTTGGTTTGTGTTGTCTTAAGCATTGGGATGACCCCCCACCACAAGCTCTCTCTCCCGCAGTGTTAATTACAGTTATTGATTAGTGTGTGTGACGAGGCCCCCCTTCACAGGCTAACGTTTCACACAGCAGCTCGGGTGAGGGGTGCAGCCGGGGACAGCACAGGGCTGGAGTTTGGGGTCCCCGCCCAACTCAATCTGGCTCTCCCCAAACTGCATCCCTGCCTCGAAGCTGGCCTTCTCCGCAGCGAAGTCCCGGAGCAGATCAGCGAGGCCGGGGAAACCCGCGCTGGTCAGGGGGTAATTCTCAGAGGGATCTGTCTCCAGGTCAAACACCAGGGGAGGATCGTGTTTGATTAGTGGAGCCGTGAAGTGACAGTCATGGTCCGGGGTCGTCCCACTCTTGATGGAACCTGGAGAGACATAGGCCATTCACTGGGGCTCGCTCCCCCACTGGAGCTCTCTACTCTAACCCCATTCCCCGCTCTCTCTCTCTCTCTCTCTCTCTCCCCATCGTGTCTGTGCTGGGGCTCGCTCCCCACTGGAGCTCTCTACTCTAACCCCATTCCCCGCTCTCTCTCTCTCCCCATCGTGTCTGTGCTGGGGCTCGCTCCCCACTGGAGCTCTCTACTCTAACCCCATTCCCCGCTCTCTCTCTCTCTCTCCCCATCGTGTCTGTGCTGGGGCTCGCTCCCCCACTGGAGCTCTCTACTTTATGCAGCCTCCCCCATGCAGAGCACAACTCACAGCCCCACCCCTCTCACAGCCCTGCTCCCTCATAGCCCCCCACCACACACACAGCCCCCCCACACATGCAGTACCCCCTCACACACACACAGCCCTGCCGCCACCCCCTTAGCCCCTCCCCGCAGCGTGCTGTAAGCCTACGAGTCCCGGTGTTTACCTTGTGTGTAGTAATGGGCCTTGTAGTGCCCAAGGCGAATGGCAAACAACCCACGTTTGGCGGAGATCGGGTAATAAATTACACTGCGGCGTCGTCCCTGAAACCACATTGGAATAATAACAATACTAACAATCCAACCTGTGATATAGCACCTTATCACACTGTGGAGACTGCAGCTCTCTACTCTAACTGTGGGGCTCGCTTCCCCACTGGAGCTCTCTACTCTAATCCCATTCCCTGCTCTCTCCCCATGGTGTCTGTGCTGGGGTTCGCTCCCCCACTGGAGCTCTCTACTCTAACCCCATTCCCGGCTCTCTCTCTCCCCATCGTGTCTATGCTGGGGCTCGCTCCCCCACTGGAGCTCTCTAAACTAACCCCATTCCCTGCTCTCTCTCTCTCTCTCCCCATCGTGTCAGTGCTGGGGTTCGCTCCCCCACTGGAGCTCTCTAAACTAACCCCATTCCCTGCTCTCTCTCTCTCTCTCCCCATCGTGTCTGTGCTGGGGCTCGCTCCCCACTGGAGCTCTCTACTCTAACCCCATTCCCTGCTCTCTCTCTCTCTCTCTCCCCCCCCCCCCCCCATGGTGTCTGTGCTGGGGCTCGCTCCCCCACTGGAGCTCTCTAATCCCGGGAACATACCTGGCCACTGTTGAAGAGCATGTTGCTCATGTCGTATCCGTCCAGTGGGACCCGGGGCAGCTCAGCCCCCGTGATCTTGGCGATGGTGGGCAGCAGGTCCAGGGTACTCATCAGCTCGTGGCTTACACCTGCCAACACAACTTCTCACACTGAGACACACAGCCTCACACACTGAGACACACAAACTGATAAACACCGAGAGAGAGAGAGCGAGAGATGGACTTGAACCGACATCCCACTCCCCTCCCACCGGTGATGGTGAGGACTCTGACCTGGGGGGATTTTCCCAGGCCAATAGGCGATTCCTGGCTCCCTCATTCCTCCTTCGTACGTCGTGGCTTTCCCACACTTCAGCAATCCAGCAGTCCCGCCCCGAGACATCCGCATCAGTTCCGGCCTGAACACACAGTAACATAGTCAGACTCCCACACTGTCCCTCCACACTCCCAGGTCAGGGTTAGAGACACAGTGACTCTCTCTCTCGCTGGGTTAGTGAGAGAGACCGTGTCAGACTTACCCGTTATCGCTGGTGAAGAAGATGAAGGTGTTATTCTCCACCCCAGCGTCTCGCAGCGATTTCACGATCAGCCCGACCGAACCATCAAACTCCATCAGAGCGTCACCAAAGGCCCCGCGTCCAGACTTCCCCGTGAAGTGGGCACTGGCGAACTGCGGGTAGTGAGTGTGCTGCGGAGACCAGGTTACTCAATCAGACACTATCACAGCCGCTGCCCAGGGTGGGTAACAGACACCGGCACAGAGCGGGGCTATGATCAGCCACTGCTTGTCCCTCGTCCCCTCAGCTCCACCATTAGGGGCTGCACTTTTAGCCACTGAGAAACTATCCAAACATGAGCAGAGGGTCATGCTGTGTGTATGTGTATGTGGGTGGGTGGGCGTGTGTGTGGATTGGTGGCTTTGTGTGCGTGGGTGTGCGTGGGTGTGTGTGTGGGTGGGTGTGTGGGTGAGTGGTTGTGTGTGTGTGTGTGGGTGAGTGGTTGTGTGTGTGGGTGTGTGGGTGAGTGGTTGTGTGTGTGTGGGTGAGTGGTTGTGTGTGTGGGTGTGTGGGTGAGTGGTTGTGTGTGTGTGTGTGTGTGGGTGAGTGGTTGTGTGTGTGGGTGTGTGGGTGGGTGTTTGCAGTATAAAAGCCGGTGTGCATGTGTTCCCGTATAACGTCTAAGTTACTAACTGGAGTGAAATCAGGGCCAGTTTTTCACCCAAAGGTTAGTGGAAATCTGGGACTCTCTCTCTCTCCCCCAAAAATGTATCCAGTCACACTGTCCAGACTGAGGTGGACGGATGTTTGTTGGGTCGGGGGATCAGGGGATACGGTGCAATGGCGGGTAATTGGAGTTGAGGTACAGATCAGCCATGATCTTATTGAATGGCGGAACAGGCTGGAGGTCCTGAATGGCCTCCTCCTGTTGCTATGTTCTGAGGATAATAATTCCTTCAAAAATAAATAACAAAATAATAATAATTTGGTCACCTTGAGTGATGGTAATACCTAAATAAAGATTATGCTACAGACGAGAATTCTCCTTTGCATTCCATTCCAAAATATGAATCCTAATATTTAAGTAAATATTTAAAAATGGGGTAATAATCCCTCCCCCCAAAATAATAATAATGTGGTCACTCACTGCACAACTGTTTGTGGACAAAATATACAGTTCAGTCCATTCTGTGAAGCTCTGAGAGGCGCCTGGAAGACGAGACAAGGCGCGGTACCAAACGCCAGGATTATTATTATTATTATTATTATTATTGTCGGGTGGGCTTACGTGTGAGGCGTAGTAGAGGAAGAAGGGTTGTCGTGCAGAGGCCGAGCGGTGGATGAAGTCAGTGGAGAAGCGATTGTAGCGGGCGGTGAGGGTGGGGAATGTCACCGGCTGCTCCACGATGTCCCAGTCCTGGAAGACTGGCAGCGGCACCACTCCCTGGTCACACAGCCCAAAGCAGCGGGTGTCGGGGGGGAAGCAGGTCAGGTTCTGACAGGGACCCTGGTCATGGGAGTAAGGGACCCCGAGCCACTGCTGGAAACCCTGGTTCAGGGGCAGGAAGCTGCCGTTCAGCCCGTAGCCCAGGTGCCACTTGCCCACCATGGCCGTGGCGTAGCCTCGTGTCCGCAGCAGCTCCGCGATGGTGGTCTCGTTCAGCGGCAGCCCCCCTCGCGAGTCCGGGTAAAAAACCCCGGGGTAAACGCCAGAACGGCTGGGATAACGGCCGGTCAGCAACGCTGCCCTGAGTGAGGAAGCAGAGAGCAGCCGTCAGTGACATCAGTGCCCGAGACCCCCACCCCCACCCCCACCAGGTCTGTGTGTGTGTGTATCCGAGTGGCTCTGTGTCAATGTGTTTGAGTGTATCAGTGTGTGAGTGTGTGTGTGTATGTGTGTGTGTGTCACTGTGTGTGTGTGTGTCACTGTGTGTGTGTGTGTCAGTCACTGTGTGTGTGTGTGTGTCACTGTGTGTGTGTGTCACTGTGTGTGTGTGTCACTGTGTGTGGGGGTCGCTGTGTGTGTGTGTGTCACTGTGTGTGTGTGTGTCACTGTGTGTGTGTGTCACTGTGTGTGTGTGTGTCACTGTGTGTGGGGGTCGCTGTGTGTGTGTGTGTGTCACTGTGTGTGTGTGTGTCACTGTGTGTGTGTGTCACTGTGTGTGTGTGTGTGTCACTGTGTGTGTGTGTGTGGGGGTCACTGTGTGTGTGTGTGTCACTGTGTGTGTGTGTGTGTGTCACTGTGTGTGTGTGTGTGTGTGTGTGTGTCACTGTGTGTGTGTGTGTGTCACTGTGTGTGTGTGTCACTGTGTGTGTGTCTGGTGTCACTGTGTGTGTGTGTCACTGTGTGTGTGTGTGTGTGTCACTGTGTGTGTGTGTGTGTGTGTCACTGTGTGTGTGTGTGTGTGTCACTGTGTGTGTGGTGTGTCACTGTGTGTGTGTGTGTGTCACTGTGTGTGTGTGTGTGTCACTGTGTGTGTGTGTGTCACTGTGTGTGTGTGTCACTGTGTGTGTGTGTGTGTGTCACTGTGTGTGTGTGTGTCACTGTGTGTGTGTGTGTGTCACTGTGTGTGTGTGTCACTGTGTGTGTGTGTGTGTGTGTCACTGTGTGTGTGTGTGGGGGTCACTGTGTGTGTGTGTCACTGTGTGTGTGTGTGTCACTGTGTGTGTGGGTGTCACTGTGTGTGTGTGTCACTGTGTGTGTGTGTGTGTCACTGTGTGTGTGTGTGTGTGTCACTGTGTGTGTGTGGGGGGGGTCACTGTGTGTGTGTGTCACTGTGTGTGTGTGGGGGTCACTGTGTGTGTGTGTCACTGTGTGTGTGTGTGTGTCACTGTGTGTGTGTGTGTGTGTCACTGTGTGTGTGTGGGGGTCACTGTGTGCGGGTCAGTGAGGCTGTCACCGGGAGGGGCTGCAGACACTGGCCGCGGTGTAGAGGCCGGTGAGCCTGAGGCCGGTGGCGGACAGGGAGTCCAGGTGGGCGGTGCTGGAGGTCGGATGGCCGAAGCAGCTCAGGTCCCCGTAACCCAAGTCATCAGCGAACAGCAGCACTATGTTGGGGGGAGCGGCGGCCGCCAGAGAGAGCGCAGCGACAGCGACAGCGAGAGCCGCGGCCACGGCCACAGCCACCGCCATCACCACAGGTCCTCCAGCGCCGCCCGACAGGTCCTCCAGCCCCGCCCCCACAGGTCCTCCAGCCCCGCCCCGACAGGTCCTCCAGCCCCGCCCCCACAGGTCCTCCAGCCCCGCCCCGACAGGTCCTCCAGCCCCGCCCCCCCAACAGGTCCTCTAGTTCCGAGCCAACAGGTCATCCCGTCCCGCCAGTCACACACGTCCCGTGTCCTCCCGCCCCGCCATACATCATCCAAACCCGCCCCCACCCCCACCCCCAGCCCGGTCCTCCAGCCCAACCCCCGGTCTGACAGGCTGAGGGTGGGGGGGATTGAGGGGGTGAGGCTGGGGGTGGGGGGGTTTGTGGGGGGGAGGCTGGGGGTGGGGGGGTTGAGGGTGGGGGGGTTGAGGGGGTGAGGGTGGGGGGGGTTGAGGGGGGAGGTTGAGGGGGTGAGGCTGAGGGTGGGGGGGGTTTGAGGGGGGAGGGTGGGGGTGGGGGGGGTTGTGGGGGGGAGGCTGGGGTGGGGGGGGTGAGGGTGGGGGGGGTTGAGGGGGTGAGGTGGGGGGGGTTGAGGGGGGAGGGTGGGGGGGTTGAGGGGGGAGGGTGGGGTGGGGGGGGTTGAGGGTGGGGGGGGTTGAGGGGTGAGGGTGGGGGGGTTGAGGGGGGAGGTTGAGGGGGTGAGGCTGAGGGTGGGGGGGTTTGAGGGGGGAGGGTGGGGGTTTGGGGGGGTGAGGGGAGGGGGGTTGAGGGGGGAGGGGAGGGTGGGGGGGGTTGAGGGAGGGAGGGTGGGGGGGTGAGGGTGGGGGGGGGTGAGGGGGGGGGGGGGGGGGGGTTGAGGGGGTGAGGGTGGGGGGGTTGAGGGTGGGGGGGGTTGGGGGCTGTGGCACGTGGAGAGATTTAAAAATGAAAGGTCGGGCGACAGTGAGAGATGATAAAGTTATTAGAAATTTATTACATTATTATAACAAACATAGAGTCTCTGGTGCGAGGAGTCACAGTAAGAAATTCTCTTCCCTCAGTTTGTGATCTCCTGAAATTATAATTATTACAAAATGGACCTGATCGGCCGTTGCCTTTAGTACAAAGAGGAATAATCTGTGCCCTCGGCTCCCCCCAGCACCCGCACACAGCAACCCCCACCCTCCCTCCCCCAACACATACAGCGCCCTCCCAGCCCCTATCATCTGCACACAGTGCCCCCCCCCCCCACACAGACCTCCCACCCCCACAGCGCTGTCTCCCCACTCACACACAAATCGTTCTCCCCTCCACACACCTGCACACTCCAGTCTCCGTACACAGCGCTCATCCCCCACACACAGTGTTCTCTCTCCCCCACCCCACCCCCCACAAAGTACTCTTGCCCCCACACAAATAGCGCTTATCCCACCCCCATAGAGTGCTCCCCCACACATACAGACAGTGCTCTACCCCCTGAGGACACACAGCTCCTGCAGTACTATAGTTCCTATATAGTGATTGGAGGGGGAGCGGTTTGGTCTCACAGTGATGGTCAGAGGCACAGTGACACTGAGATGTAGAGGTGGGGGTGGGCCGTTGAAGGAGAAGGGGTGAGGCACAGGTTCAATACACAGTGTCACAAGCTGGAGCTGAAAGGGTTAAAGGATAACCAATCGAAGCGTGAGGATCACGAAGGGTTACGACTGGGTAAACAGTGATCGGTTATTTCGGTGGCCAGTGAGTCAGGTTGTGGGGGAGCGAGGGGAGACTGGGGTTAGACCGGGGGGGGGGGGGAACGCCTCCCAACATGAAAGGCGCTTTACAAATGTAATTTTGTTGTTTAACCCCTCTTTCCTCATTCTCCCCAGTCTAACCCCACTCTCCCCTCACTACCCCCATTTTCCCTTCACTCACCCCAGTCTAACCCCACTCTCCCTTCAGTGGTTAGTCAGGCTTCAGAGTAGTTTTAGACCAGGGGTGGTGAGGGGGCGAAGGCAGAGTGGGGTTAGACTCTCCAATTCCTGTAGAAAACATTGTCTCCAGTATTGTTGGGTATCCATTCCACATCCTAATGCACCTGCATTTACCCATCGCCGCCCTTTGTACAGGGTTGCGTGTCAGAACCAGTGATGGGATCGGACACTGGGAGGGGACGGTGGTGGGCCAGGGGGAGGGGAGGGTGATGGGCCAGTGGGAAGGGAGGGTGATGGGCCAGTGGGAAGGGAGGGTGATGGGCCAGTGGGAAGGGAGGGTGATGGGCCAGTGGGAAGAGGAGGGTGATGGCCCAGTGGGAAGGGAGGGTGATGGGCCAGTGGGAAGGGAGGGTGATGGGCCAGGGGGAGGGGAGGAGGAGTTCGGGAGATGGAGGCTGGGGTCTAACCTCTAGTGACTGACTCAGTGACTAGCGCTGACACCTTCTCCCTCGTCACTTTCTCAAACCCTTGTTGTTGACCTGGTTTCTGAACATTCCCGTTTCCTCGCTCTCTCCTCCCGGGGGAAGCCTCTGGCTCCGGGATTCCCCGCCTGACTCTCTTCGGCCTCGAGGTAACTCTTGTACCTTGTCTCATGGCGCTGGTCCCGGAGGCTCTTGCCGTTTTATTGAGAGCGTGTTGCCCTCGGTGGGGGCGGGCCCTACAGTCCAGCCCGACTCGCCCTCACCTGATACCACCGCCCGGCACAGGTCACCGGGCAGGAGCTCAGGATCAAGACCTGGGGGCTTAACTGTGCCCTCCCTGACCCAGGGGGCGCTGAGACCATGGCCAGCGACCACCCTGCCCGCCCCGGCTGAGATCGGCAAACTCAGCACCGACCGGGGATCGCCACGATCCACCCGGTCTTTATCACTCACTCCGACCAGCTCTTCCATCGCTACCTCAGAGGCACGAAAGCTCATCTTCCTCTTCCTCACTGACTCCCAGCCCAGAGTCCTGTCCACACCACCGACCATCTCCCTCACTGACTCCCAGCCCAGAGTCCTGTCCACACCTGGTTGTGGTCTTGTTTCTTCTTACGTATAATCGACTCCCAGTCCCCTGTTCTACCTATAAATGGTATCATGTCTCGTTCCCTTCTATCGACTCCCGGTCCCCGTTTCCCTAGCTGGAGTTAGCACAATTGTTGCTCTTCATCACAAGCTCACGTCCATCATATCAGATCTCGATCACCAATTCCACCTGTCACCTCTCCCAAGAGAACACTCCCCCAGTCTTACCCCTCTCTGCTCACTCCCCTCCAGTCTAAACCCACTCTCCCTTGCCTCACCCCACTCTCCCTCCGTCTCCCCTTGGGAAGGGGCCTGGTCGAGGGTCTGGGGCGCAGGGGGATGTGTCCATGTGGGTCTCACCAAACCTCACATACTAGAATAAGTCACACTCTGTCCATCAGGTCGTTTCTTTTTGGTGAAGAATTAAATACAAAAAAAACTATTTTCTCTCTCAGCCGAAATGCGGAGCTGTCCCAGCCGAGCGAGGTGCTTGAGTCAGTGTGGGAGAATCCTAGCCCAGGTCAGTGTGGGGCTATCACGGGTCAGTGTGGGGCTATCACGGGTCAGTGTGGGGCTATCACGGGTCAGTGTGGGGCTATCACGGGTCAGTGTGGGGCTATGACCAGCTCTGACCCGGGTCACTGCTTCATTCCTACTCCTGACCTGTAGACACGCAGGACACTGAGGAGCCCTGTGTCACCTGCGGTTCGTCCCCTTTGCTTGTTGTGGAAGACAATGGGTTAAAATGCTCTAAAGTTTCCCAAACATCACGGTGTCACCCACCCACAGCCCCAACCAACTGCACTCACTGTCACACCTGGTCACAGAGAGAGAGAGCGAGAGAGAGAGACTGCTGGAGGGAGAGATGCAGAGACAGAAAGACACACTGCCAGAGGGAGAGATAGAGAGACGGCCAGAAGGAGATACAAGAGGGAATGTCACTAAAACCAAATAAATGCGTGTCCCATCGGTCCTGTCGCTTTGATGTAATAATATATTTGTAGTTTTAGTAAAATTATAACATAAAAACTTTTTTTTATATTATTTTTGTTCAAATATATAATTGATAAAAAGATGAGAAATTCTGTGACTCGGTGTTAAAACGTCAGCGTCGTTTATCCCCCCCCACCCGAGCTCCCCCCAGCCACCCCTCCCAGCCAGAACCTCAGACCCCCACCCGCCCAGCCTGAGCCTCTAGCCGCCTGCAGTGGCGAGCAGTGAACATAGGAACAGGAGGAGGCCATTCAGCCCCTTGAACCTGTTCCGCCATTCTATTAGATCATGGCTGATCTGTACCTCAACTGCAATGACGGGTGAGTGAAAGGTTTCCTATCCCACTTCCCGGCCTGACAGTCAGCCTCAGAGAGAGAGCCTCTCAACACCGCAAGATTGGTTCCGAAGGCAACTGAATTTTGTGGATATAAAATCGGTGTGAGTTTCCTCTCTCCTGTGTGTTTTAAAAATTATAAAAGCAGCCCCTCAGCGCTTCCCATCAGAGACTTTCAGCCCAGCTATCGCTGTCCGCCACCCACACAAGCCATTAAACTCCTCTAAATAGTCATGCAACATTTACCGAAATGGCGAGGTCACTGAGCTCCGAGCTCTCTCTAGCCACCCTCAAGTGCAGTGTAATAAACTCCCCCCCCCCCAACCCGCCCCAGATTACCCCCTCCCTCCCCCCTCCCCCGGGGTGAGCTAACTCTCCAATAGACGCTTCAGTGCCCGCTCCATGTTCATCCTGTGCCCGACCCGTGTGACTCCCAACTCCACAAAGTCCTCCTTGGTCAAAGCGGGCAGATGGGAGCCCTCAATCTCGTTGTGGAGGAAGCTGTCCCTGTGCTCGGACAGGTTCAGGTTGTCCAGCCAGTCGGCCACATCGTACTTGTTCCACATGGCCACAGGCTTCTGACAGAAGGGTTTAGGGGGCAGCAAGGAATGCATGGGGGCTCCCGAGGGCGAGGGCGAGCGGCTCCGGGCACTGCAGCTGCGCATCACAAAGCGCACTTCCTTGGGCTCGTGGGGGATGTTGAGGCTGGAGGATTTGAGGATGGTGGGGGGTGTCTGGGTGGGGCTGGGCAGGGTGGGGGGCCGGGGGGAGCTGACCAGCTCTGTCCTTGTTTCCAGTGTGGCTTTGCCGGGGCTGGGAGTCCGCCGGCTGACCGGGTGCCTGGTTCCTGGGCGGATGGTGAAGGTCGCCCCGAATGTCCGCTGGGAGATGGTGTTGAGTTCCCCTAAACTACTGAAAAGTCTGTAACAGAGAGAGAGAGAGAGAGAGAGTCTGAGCGTCAGACAACACTGTGCTGGCAGCTCACACGGCGCCCACTGCACAGATGCCAACACGTTTCTTAAGAAAAGGGTGGATTCAGGCTGACCCCCCTCCCAGCTCCAGTCTGACTCAGATTCCAATGGCGGTGTTTCCTGCTGCTTCACTGGACTCGGTGCTCTGGGAAGCTTCCCTGCGTGAGGCGTTATATAAATACAAGTTGTTGTTCCTGTGGCTTCACCGGACAATTGGGATGCCAGAAACCGGACAAACCCGGCAGGATCCCGGCTTCCAACACATTCAGTGGCCAAATGCTGAGGGGCGGGGAAGGAGGGGTCCTCACTGATATCAATCCCTATTAACTCCCTGAAATTCTCTTGTTCTTAACACATTCCATCTACTAATTATCACTTTCCCGGGTGAGGTGTGGGGAGAGTTCCCTCAGGGTTGAGGTATCAGGAGAATTCCCCTCCAGGGTAGTGGTGTGGGGGGAGAGTCACTCATATGGGGCATCAGAGTCCCAGTCCTGCCGGCCCCCCACCCTCCAGTCTGAGCTCTTACATCACCACCGTCCCAGGAGCTTAAAGTAACGTTTGTTGAGATCATTTCACCCCCTTCACTCAGTACAACGCAAAGTTCCCAGGTCTGTGCCCTGTGTCACTGACTGTCTCTCCTGGTGTTGCTCACTGCTCTAATCCCACCCCTCTTCTCTCCCCGGATCTCCTGTATTCCCTTGCCATGATGGAATGGCTTTCGGGAGGCATGGGTGTTGAAAGCTCGATCACATCCCCCGATCTTCTCCACGCTGGGAAACCTTGGATTGTCTCCCCAGCCTGTGTGTCTCCATAGCCCCTCTCAATGTCCTGTTCCTGTCTCTAATGGGATGCTCTGACCTGGACACAACTCCAATAAGACCCTGGTCTCCAGGATTAGGAGGTGATGGATTAATGATTCTTTGACTGGGGGAAGCAGGCAGTAATTAACGCTCCACTTCCTGCTTGTTTATCTTATTAAATACTTTGTTTTATACCCACAATTTACAGGCGTCTGGGAGACAGACACCAATGTGCACCTCTGCCTGGCTGACAGGTCATTTCTCCATGAGTTGAATATGGTACAGGTCTGTGGGACATTCTTAATCCTGCCCCTAACAAAAATAGTCTGTTTTAGAATCAGACACCTGATGTCTGCAGAAAATCCAGAACATGGACAATATCTCCGCAGATAATGCTAACTGGGTCAGATGCTCAGGGCCTGTCCCTCTCTCCCTCGCCAGCTCACCTGAGGGCAATGGCAGCCAACAGGACACTGACCGCTCAGACGATCCAGTGACATCTGTGGACGTGTCCAGGTCACAGTACAGCAAGCAATGTGATGGATTAATGGCTTAATGCAATCGGTGTGAGCTAATGCAATGTCCCAACAACAGCACAAACTCACAGTGAATCACACAGGCCAAGAGGCAGCCCTCTCTCCTCGGCCAATCACATCACTGCCTCCACCACACGCGGGTCTAATCAATCAATTGTCAAACTATTGAATTCTTCACACTGACGGTTTGTGGTCAATAACGTGAGGAATGGATGCTTCCTGACCCACTGTCCATCCACACTCCCAGGTCAGTGACAGAACGGCTAGAAACACAGTAAAGCCCCTCTTCGTGGAGTCCTGTAGCTCAGTGGTTAGAGCACTCGCTTTGCGAGTGAGAGACCTGAGTTCAATTCCAGGCAGAGGGTGAAACCTTGGGCAAGTTTCCTTACTCCACACAGAGCCTAATAATAATCCCTCCAAAACCAAAAACAATAATAAATTGGTCATTTTCAATCTACGACTGTTTGTGGGACATTGCTGTGCGCATTGGCTGCCGCGTTCGCCCACAAATATACAGTCAATTCACTTTACAGTGTGTTCTGTGAAGCGCTTTGGGACGTCCTCCCGACGTGAAAAGCGCTATATCAAATGCAAGGATTTCATTATTATTATTATTCACTGTGCGTCCACACTCCCAGGTCAAGGTTAGAGACACATTTGGTTCACACTGTTGTAATGGTGTCACCCCACCTTTGACTACTCTCAAGCTAGTGCATCATCTCCATTCCTTTCTCACCTCACCCTGTGTGAGCCCCCTTCATCCGGAGACAGTGGGAACAGTCATTGAAGCCATCCTCTGTGTGAACAGGGCTCCCTGCCCTCAGCCTCTCCCTGATGTACCTCTGGCTCTGCACACTCCCTGGTACCTCTTCCTACCTGTCCCATTGTCCTCTCCCCGGCCTCTCCTCTTGGTAAGGTGTGACATTCCCAGTACTCTCTCTGGGTCACATGTCCCATCCTAGGGCTCTCTCCCTTGTCCTTTCTTCATCTACACGCTCTCCTTGGTGACATCATCTGCAGACATGAAGCCATTTTTTTTATGTTCCTGGATGGCACCCAACTCCATTTCTCTGCGTCTCTTCGCTGCAGCATCACGGCTGTCCTGACTGATACCCGTCAGTCATCAGGTCCTGGAAGGGCCGTAGCTTTCAGCTCAATGTTAACAAACCTGAGATTCCTGGCAGCGTCTCCTCCCCTCAGGCTCTGACGGATCCCCCTCCCTGCTCACTCGCTCCAGCTCAGTGCCTGTGGGCAATCTCAGTGATTTGTTACACCCTCACCTCTCCTTCACATCTTCCACCCGATGACTGGCCAAACGCTTCTCTCCATCGCCATCACATCTTCATCAGCACCTTGCCCTCAACACAGACCAAACCCTCCTCTATGCGTGTGACACATCCGCTTCCCCATCAGACTCCTTGCGGGGTTACCCAGCTCCCCTCTCCAGAGAATCCAGACCCCCACAGCCTGTGTCCCATCCCCCCGCCCCATCTTCCACAAGTCCTGTCACTGACCTGGGAGTGTGGATGCACAGCGTAGAGAGAGCTTTACTGTGTCTAACCCTGACCTGGGAGTGTGGACGCACAGTATAGAGAGAATTAAATGTGGTGAAGACACAGCAGGCTGCAGAAGCCTGTTGTTTTCCCAATCCCATTTTGCAGGTTCTTCCAGATTCCTATCAATTGACTCTGATCTTGTGAAGGTGTCCGAGGGGAGGTTGGGAAGAATTCCCGCAGTTTAGCTGTCATGAAGGCAACGTTCCCAAGGCTGAGTTCAGTCAGAATTTGGGGGCGGGGGATGGGGGGGTGGAATAGGGGGAGGTCAAAAGCAGCAGTTGATTGGCCCTGTGGAGGACAACCCTGTGGTTTGGAGGAAGCTAAAAAATATTATGTAACATGCACAGCACACACACAGCACACGCACACGCAAACAAGCCTGAGTGTGAGCATGCAGCAGAAGCCTTGGCGTGCCTGAGGAGAGCTGGGGGGAGAGAGGGAAGGCAGGGGAATGGGGTGAATGAGTGTGAGCACTTACACAGTTTGCTCACCGTCCTGTTTGACGCCGGATGCAGTTCGAGACAGAGCAGCACACGCATGCACAGTGATCGGAAAAAAAAGAGGCAATGAGAGAGATGTTAGCATCAATCCATGGATGTGAGCAGACATTTCCACTACACGCACCAAACAGTAACTCCTGACACACACTCGCTAACTGTCCATCTCCATGTTCTCACCCATTACTCCATCTCCTCACCCATTACCCCATCTCTTCACCCATTACCTCATCTCCTCACCCATTACTCCATCTCCTCACCCATTACCTCATCTCCTTACCCATTACTCCATCTCCTCACCCATTACCTCATCTCTTCACCCATTACCTCATCTCCTCACCCATTACTCCATCTCCTCACCCATTACTCCATCTCCATACCTATTACCCCATCTCCTCACCCATTACCTCATCTCTTCACCCATTACCTCATCTCCCATTACTCCATCTCCTCACCCATTACCCCATCTCCTCACCCATTATCCCACATCCTCACCCATTACCCCATCTCCTCACCCAGCATCCCATCTCCCCTCACTCCCTGCTCCTGCTCCTGATCTCCTGCCCATGTGAGGGCAGTCCACAGTGAGTTGGGACAGTATGTACAGTTATACTCTTGGCGATTATTATTCATTATTTAGAAGCAAATCAAAGTGTTTATAAATTCTCTTTTACATAAATATTCTACAGAAATGGGATTAAATTGCTAAATCTAACAAGTTTGTTCTGAATGACAGTGGTAATTACACAAACAGGAGGCACTCCACCCAGCCCGGCTGTTACTGTAACACTGTTAGTGCGGGGCTGAGATCAGCCACTCAGCACTGGGCAGAGGTTTGAACCTGGGACCTTCCCCTCTGGGTGCCCTGGCTAACAATCTGCCAGATAAATCTCGTTCATCTCGTGGCTGTTTGTGAGCCCTTTCTGTGCGCACAGTCACTACACTGCCTGTACTGGAATTTCCTGTGGTCTTGGTACTGTATCAAACACAAGCGTTGTGAGCTAACAGCTCCTCTCCCCACTCGCTCGGCCCCCACAGGCCCAGTGCAGCTCCAACCCTCACTTCTTGCCCTGTCACTGGAGGAGAGCCCCGCACACACCACTGTGTATGGAAAGGATTAAGAGGTTACACTGCAGTGAGGGCCACAGCGTGAGGTGTCAGAGCCCGTGCCGAGGGCAGGCGGCAGCAGGACGGCACATACCAATTACTGGGAGATGGCAAGCGTTACCCTGTGTCTATAGCAGAGCCATACCAAATGACAGCCAGCAACGGAGGTCATTAATGACAGAGGGAGAGGTATATACACACTCACAGAGAAACACATTCAGAGGAAGAGTGAGAGATATACTGACACACACAGAAAGAGATTGAGAAAGAGAGAACAGTAAGAGACAGAGAGAAAGATAGATACATAGAAAGTCAGAGAAATTGAAAGGAAGACTGACCGAGAGAGACAGAAAGACAAAGAGAGAGAGAGCAATCAAGAAGGACAGAGAGAGAGATGAATAGAGCGAGACAGATGATAGTAGAAAGCGAGGAAGATAAAGAGACAGGGAAATAAAGAGATAGAAGAGTAGAAAGCTTATTGTTTGATCAGCTGAGTGTCTGACACGCATAAACCCATCATGATTCTGTCTCCAAACCAGACTAAGAGTTCCACATATGCCTGCCACTTACAAGTGGAAATCTCAATGTGTTAGGAATGGAATGCGCACTGCACTCTCTCTCTGGAGGAACACATCCGACTTTAGAGTCAAGGCTTGGGGACCCATAGCCCCAGGGTGTGTGGAAGGGTTAACAGCTGGAGCTAACCCTGGCAGAATTGGGTTTGCTCGCTCAGATACAGGGTAACGGTCACGGTAAACACAGGGAGGTTATGGTGCCCGGTGTGCGAGTCAGTGGGTGAGAAGCTGAGTGGGCTCGTGCTAAGTGAGTTAGTGTGTGACCCGCGGCACAGAGGTATAAAACAAGGGGCGTTACCCTAGAGTACAAACACTAAGGGACGCAGTCTCCGCTCTGACATTCAGATCTGTAGGAAGACAAAGGTTGAAGGCAGTTTCCAGCCACTGATTGATACAGACGACAAACAAACAGCGACGAGACACAGTAATGTGTGATGCTGGGTATTGCTGTGCTGTGCGGAGCCACCCACACCCAGCCGTGACTGTACATTGGTTTATGTGAGCAGTGAAGGATGGGTCACATTGACAGCAGCCAGGCTGATCCTTGACTTTAAAAACCTGAGTCCCAACCATTAGAGACACGTAAATGTACAGCTCTCTCTCCATCTCCTGACAGTCTGCTGCCCCAGCATAGCCGGTCAGACTGATCACTGGCAGGTCAGCAATGACCCACCTCAACAATATCACAGGGTATCAGATAACCAACTTATCCCAGGAGGTGAGATAATAATAATAATCCTTAGATTTGATATAGTGCCTTACCACGTGCTCCGGCCTCACCACATGCTCCGGCCTCCTGCTTGTCATTCATGCTCTCAGTTGCACCATTGGTGGCTGCGCTTTCAGCCACTATGCCCCGAGACTCTGGAACCCTCTGCCTTGCCCCTCCTTCCCCATCTTGAGGTTGCACTTGAAACCTTCCTCTTCGATTGTGCTTACGGTCACCTCCCCCTCCCCCGGCTCGGCATCAAGCGCTCTGGGCTATTACTCTGCGTGAGGTGAGCTGTGTAAGTGCAAGTTGGTGTTGAGATGTCTCAAACAAATAACCACTTTATCACAGGCTGTGAGATAATCCCCAAGTTTATCACACGCGGTGTGGTAACCATCTGAATGCTGCGTGCTGATCCCAACCACCAACTTGGGTGTGGATCCCTGTCTGTCCAGCGCCTTGGGAAGTGCTCCTGACGTGAAAGTGTCATTTGTTATTGTTGTTGAATGGTGGAGTGACTGGCCTCACCCTGTTGTGCCGCGGACGTACTCTCCGTCTTACTCATCTTCAGTTGAGAAACGAGCAGAAGACGGCCAGCACCTACTGAGCCCACACAACAATGAGAACCCCCCCCCCCACCGCCCCCCAACACAGGTCACCGTCAGATTCTCAGCCCCTCAATGCTGTGTTACTGGCCATCTGCTGCTCTGTCCTTTACCCTCTCTGTTGGTGGAGCCTCAGACACTCAATTATGTGGAAATGTTCTGTGCCCTCGCACTCACTGCCCAGCAGGTTACACTTCACAACATTCCCAGACTCGGACATCCTCCAGAGGCTCCTCTTGTCCACTGCCAGGGTGTGCAGTGTGAGTTCATTGGGACCCAGACATGCACTGCTGACAGCACGCTCAACACAGAGCCAATCTTCACGTCCATACTGTCCCCTGTGGATGTTAGCTCGCACTGGGCCATATCCTCACTTCAGTGTCCAGGTTTCAGGTGGGTGTAATGGAGCTGGAATGCCCCATACTGTCATCGCCAATAGGAGCTTTGTGATCATACTGATATAGGCATTCAGTGAATTGGGTCGTGTCTGCTAGACACACAGAATTGTGTCCCATACTGGTCTTAACTACAGTCTATGGCTACTCACCTGACTCAGCAATAGTGCTTTAAATGTTGTCTAATGTGGCAATGTGGCTACATACAGCACTGTGTGCTGCCCATTTATAGACAGGCGGCAAATACCTGCTCGCTCCCCACTGGAGCTCTCTACTCTAACCCCATTCCCTGCTCTCTCTCTCTCTCCCCATCGTGTCTGTGCCTTCAGCTCCCCTCTCGACTCTCTTCCCCCTCCTCGCTCCCTCCCTTCCCTCCCCTCACCCTGACCATTTCCCCCTCCTCGCTCCCTCCCTTCCCTCCCCTCCCCTGACCATTTCCCCCCTGCTCGGGTCATGACCCAACTGTGCAGCGCCTTGGGACGTCCTCCTGACGTGAAAGGCGCTTTATAAATGGAATCTTGTTGTTGTTGTTGTTGTGCTGGGGCTCGCTCCCCACTGGAGCTCTCTACTCTAACCCCATTCCCTGCTTTCTCCCCATCGTGTCTGTGTTGGTGCTCGCTCCCCCACTGGGCCTCTGATCTCTGTTGTTAGGAGATAATTTGTGATATGGAGGAGGACTGTCTTGGCTTTGACCGGCAGATAGCGGTGTGCAGGTTAACATCTCACCAAGCTATGAGTGATGCAAGCTTTATTTTGCTTGCAAACTGCTCTGAGACAACATCAGTGTGCTGCGCAGGTTTACACAGTGGCCTGTGTCAGGGGAAGAAGTGCTTGCTGGTGGCAACTGTTGTGTTGGGGGAGCTTGTCAGCACATCAGGTTATGTGAGTGTAAATAATTAAAGTCTTGCCTGCAGGTGCAGTTTGGATCTTGTTATTTGCCACATCTTCAGTGTGCTCCAGAGGCATGATTCCAGGGAAAAGAGGAAATCAGTTTATATAGGAATAACCTGCTGCCTGCTGACAGCCTGGGCCACAATTAGTTATCAGAGGGAAAATACTACTTTAAGCTATTTCATTATTAACTGGGTATTGTTCCTGGGATAGTTAAGTGCAGGTTAGACAATGTTTTTTCCACACTGAGCGTCACTAGCACATGAAGCATTTTCACAAAAAAAACGCTGAGGCTGAGAACAGAACATTTAAAAGGGACGTGACTAAGGATATAAAAGGGAACTGGGAGAGAGCAGGGATTGGGGTTAGAGTAGAGAGCTCCAGTGGGGGAGCGAGCCCCAGCACAGCATGACGGGGAGAGAGAGAGCAGGGAATAGGATTAGAGTAGAGAGCTCCAGTGGGAATTTCCAGCACAGATTGAGATGTACAGATTTCCATCTCATTATCAACGTTATTCTGAATAACATTGCTCCCAGATGCTATCCAGCCTGTCGTCCGCTATATACATGCAAGTTGTTGTTATTGTGTATCACAGACCTCTCATCCAAACATGGGGAACTTCCTATTTATAGTGACATACATATGTTGGAACTCTCAGTCTGGTTTGGAGACTGTTAAACATGGTGATGGGTTTCTGTGTGTGTTAAGACACTCGACTGATCACAGTGATGGGTTTCTGCTTGTGTCAGTCACCCACTAGTATATAACCCAGTATTACCATGTCTACAGAGCTCTCCTCACATGCTGCACACCTCCAGTGAGTGAATGCAGTCTGACCTCTGACTCTGCTACCCCAGCTCAAGGGATTGACAGTGGTATTGGAGACCTTGTGCTTGAGAGGAAATTGAGAGTGTCTGAGAGTGGAGGGATGTGCCTGGCGTGTGCTGCCCTCGGCTGCCTGCAGACCCGCTGCTCCTTCTGGAGATGTTTAATGTGAGATGGGAGCAGGAGAGACCTGACCTGCCCTGTGCTCGCTCGGCTCTTGTGGAGAGACAACTCCAAGTCCTGAGGCCTAGAAATCCCCCGCTCTCAGGACAGTGCACTGCAACCAAGAGTCTTGTTTTGGAGGTACTCGAGCGAAGGCT